GATGATGATGATGTCACCATGAAGAGTCCAGAACAAGAAACTCAACCAGAAGAAGGAGATGATGATCAAGCCTCGAAGAAGGGCGACATCAATGATGAGAAAAGAGACTTCAGAGAACAAGATGAGGTCGACAAATTTCTCAATCAAGAAGGAAAACCGACCGATGAGAACGATGATGAAGAGATAGCGGTCGATGAAATCAACATTGAAGAGTACGAGGCTGGAGAAGCTCGTGATGCAGTGATTGAGTACCCCAAGTGGATGCAGCGGATTGAGTTTGGATCAAAGGTCCTGCCGATCGAACCTTGCACAATTGGAGATGCTCAGCCAGAATTCATCAAGATCCTCCTGTTGCAGATTGGATTACATATCGTCAGGATCTACAGACTATTCCAACGGAACTTCTGTGGAGACATCGAGACGGCATGGAAACATTTTCAACAGAACCAGAAATTCAGGATGGACCTGGACTCAAGAACACCTTACCTGGGCGAGGATGAAAATGGTGAACTCATTGAACCAACTGCACAACAGATGAAAGAGCTCTACAAAGAGATCGGCCGACCAAATCAAAAGGACGACATCGGAGAAGAGGGATTCGTCAATGCATACTATGGGGCAGTGGTACTCAAAAGACTTCTCATATATACCCTTGAATGTGGCTACACGTATGATGACTTGCAAAACATATTCTTTGATGAGGAGATGGAGAAGCTGTCGAAACGTGACACCACAATGGATGAGATGAGAAAGACCACAGCGGCCCGCGACGCCCTTGACCGACAAGACGTCATGGTCAGAAGAATCATTGCAGGTGCATATAGGGTAAATGCTGTTTATTTCTTCAGGAACGTTGACTTTCAAGACACAATCACACTGAATCCAGTTGACATTGTGTGTGCTCTTCGTCCACCACTTCGAAGAATATCACTTTTACACCTGATCCTTCAGAATGGCCGACAATTGCCGCGACCTCTACTCCAAAAGCTATATGATGCGATCGATGACTACAATCACATCAAGCAACGGGAAGATCAACGACCAAGGTGGGGCATCCACTTGTCTGAAGCTCACATACTTGCGATTGCTGATACCCCGACTCCTGCTGATCGTGAACGTGCCAATCCAGCCGCTGGCAAATCGAAAGCAGCCCCGAAAGCTGCACCAGCACTGGGAAGAGTGTCGAAAGCGAAAGCATCATCGTCAGCGACATGGAGAACAGTTGAAACCGCTCCTCCGCCAAAACAAGCTCCAGTGACCCCGCCAAAGAAGGGTGGAAAAGACCAAGGAAAAGGTGGAAAATCTTATTCACACCGTGGCGGAGACTGGAACCAACAGGGATACTATGGATGGGGATATAGATGATTAAGCGATCTGACCTCTGCATAGGTCCTGATTGAACCTGGCGATGCGAGGATGCAATCATTGCTCGAGATTTACCTCTACTTCATTTTGAATGATTTCTGAGAGGACTCTGAGCCGGCTAATTTAGAACCACACATTTTTTTTTGAACATCATTGCATGAAACGCTGAGTTTCTACAGCGGTCTACGTCTCAACCGACGAAGGGACGGGAAGGTAAACTTCTAGTTCCATAGTCAACTTTGTGTTTTGATTTCTTTAATTCACATGCTTGAGTGAGACTCCATGCTGGCTACGCCACATTGGATGAACCTCAATGCTAGACACCGACTACGTCGTGTCTACATGCACGTGAACAGAACCTTCATTTTTTTGGTAGAGATCGTAGCAAGCCGCCATGTAGATATGAAGTTCTGAACGGACTTTAGCTCTCCATAATTCAATAAATGAACAGCTGCGAGTGTAGTGGATCAATTCAAAGAACACTCCTTTGCGCGTAGCCAACAAAGTTGGCTATGCGTGGGGGGTGCGAATAGAGTGTAGGCTACGGATCAAGCATAATATCACAACTAAACACTCTGTGATCCAGCACCAAAGGGGCAATCCGAACTGGCCTCTTTGGCTCAAGACCCACTGCAGCACTGGAGAAAAGATCAGCAACGCGGAAGCAGCTGCCCGTGTGACGTCGTCGAACTGGAACATTTATCCTCAACATCAACCATTGGAACATAATCGGGTAGGCAATCCCCGATTCGCAATATATCTATCTATCTATCTATCTATAAATAATCAGAATTCTGTTTAAGTGGTAGGACTGGTGGCTATGGGAAATAAGGTTCTTATTTCCTTCCTTCAAACAGGTCAAAAGAATAGGTACTGTATATATTACAGTACTGTTCAAATGGTTGGAGCAGTGGCTATAGGGCCTAGGGGAAATAAAGTCCTTGTTTCCTTTCCCCATATCTCCAAGCGTCTAATCGTTCAACCAATCTCGCGGGAGTTAGATGGACGGAGACGCAGATAGATATGTTTTTTCTTTTTAAACTAGATAATTACAAATTAGGGTCAACCTTTATCTCTTAGAAAACTTTTCAACTGCCCGTTCCCCCTTCCCAGGTTTCTGACTCACGCTGCTGATTCGCCCTGTTTCCTGACTCATGCCCTTTCCAGGTTCCGGCTTCTTCACAGGTTCCGACTCTTTCATTTTTATTCATTTTCTCTTTTTTACTCCCCCTTCCTGGCTTTGGTTCGCCCGGGTTCCTGAGTCACGCTGACTGCAATGGACTGGGATGACTGACTCTGTCGCCGCCAAGTAATAAAATCTACCTGCTTCCCAGCACCATTTTCTTCCTGAAAGTTGTCGCTCTTTGATAAAACAGATTCATTTAGCAGTAGAGTGTCAACTTGACCAAAGAAGCGTGAGTGTGAGAGGAGTATTCTATATGCACCTCTGTTCTGGCTCCTCTGATGCCAGGGCTCAAATTTATTCTGTTGGTGGTGCCATTGTACTATTCGTGATCCTTGTGACTTGGTCTCACTGCAACCCTACTGGAAGCAGCAGTAAACCAAGAACATTTGGGGAGAGACAGAGAGAGAGAGAGAGAGATAGATAGATAGATAGATAGACAGATAGATAGATAGATAGATAGATAGATAGATAAATGTAGATGCAGGTGATGATGTAAAGCGCAGCGGCTTCTTCTTTCCTGAGGTATTCCTAATTCTGAACACTTGACCGCGGACGCGGCTGGTTTGGAATGCAGAGAAGATGCCGGCATCAAAACAGTGCTCAGTTTGAGCGCTTCGCATGCTCTAAGTGCACAGCGGGACGCTGTCCCTGCGTTTTGAGTGACCATGTTTGCAGAATTTCTGTCGTGGACTCAAAACCCAATTCGCCCTCGCAGTTTCAGACGTTTAAACGCTATGCGGCTGGAATTTTCCACTACCGAACGATGAGGCTTGTGACCGCATGTGACCGCTAAAAAGACCCAAACTAATAGGTCTCATAGGTACTCGTACCAGTAGGTACTCAAGATCCTGCATTTTGTGGAACAGCATTTTCCAGACTTTCTATTTGTAGCTACTTGCCTACTTACTCTAAACCCATATGAAAGCTGCACTACTTGGTCTAGCACTCCTCAACTAGGTTCAGAAATGGTAGTGTAGCGCAATTTTGAAAGTTGAACCAAGATGTGAGACATGCTATGTGTAGGTGGCTGGATTTTAATGGATTTTAGGTGAGAAAGAACAAACCAAATGACAGGAGAAAAGATAGAACAAGTATGTAAGATTACGTAAGTATGATAAAGTATGTCTCAAAGTGCAGTTTTCTCCGAAATGCCTGCAAAGTTGTGATATGCTTTTTGTAGTGAGATGTGAGTACTGATTGATGAATCCCAATGTTGAAAGTACATTCTGTAGTAAAGTCGTGTCATAGCGGCAGTCCAAATTGCAGAATATCACCTATTGTCCTTCGTTTTGCACCTCCGCATTGCCCAATGGCGATCAATGAAGCGCTCACGGAAAATCACTCGAAGGAGTTCATCAGTGCCTGATGAGTGCCTCCTTGCTTCTTGGACAAATGCAAGACTCGAAGACTGAAGTGGTGCTGCCGATGCAGGACTACCGCAGGAACCTTCTCTATGTTTTCATCTCATATTTCTTCAGCATATCCTTGATTCTTGGAAGCGATTTTCTGATTGGCACTGAAAACAAGCAGTTGCCAGTTACTGTACAGACTGAATCCTTCGGCTGTCTTCTGCTAGCTTCCGCTCCTTTGCTTAGCTCCGCTTTCACATCTGAGGGGTGCTCTGACTCTTGGGCCAATCTTCGATGCATATCTTCTCAACATTGGTGGAGAGAGTCTCGCTTGCACAGATGCAAGAGATGTCAGAGCCATCAAACTAAGTCGGAGATGTCAGAGCCTGTTTTGAACTGAACAAGGCATGAACGGTTGGACTACAATAACACGATCAGATAAAAAGAATCAATGAGTCGCACAACATATTTCTAAGTCTGACTTATAGACTTAGACACGTCTATACTGCTGCATGTCTCTCTTGATCTCTCTTGTTCTATTTTTGGGGCATTCCTATGCAGGCATGGCAACAAGCTGGTAGGTGCCATGGAGTCGACGCGCTTCACTCAGAGCTAAGAAAGACAGGTGTTGTTAAGACTCAATAAGACTCTACTCCGACTCTACTCGACTCTTGAGACTCTTACTAAGACTCTTACTAAGACTCTAATTAATCGATTCGCAAATTTTAGAGTCTTAGAGACTCTTAGAGTAGATCTGTCAGATCTGCTTTGCTCAGTGGAATCCAGGCGTGGGATCCTCCAGCTGATCTTTGCTTACCCAATAGGATCGTTGTGGCTCGTCTCATCTCGTCTCAATGCAGCCATCAATGGAGTCAGGGGATACTTTCTTTTCAAAGTATGGCATGTGCCGAATATGTGCCGCACAATATTCACACGCATCGCAGAACATATCTTTGGAGAGAGTTGTTCCAAGCGCCAAGACCCAAGATGCTGGCAAGAAATGCGGTCCACCTGGTTTATTGTTCGATATGGCATCCTACGGTGTGGGGAGTTCAAAAAGGATTTTCCAGCAACGTCCCGCTTTTGTGAGGTCTGACAGGATGTCCAAGGTTCGGCTTTTGAAGTGGAACCTTGTCTTGTGGACAATCGGTAGCTTGGCCGATGTTTTATGGCTTTCATGATATATATATATTTATTTCGTCGCACACAATTTCAAGATCAAGCAGGTAAATCCATGGTAACATTGAAGTTTCTTCCACACTGATAACGAATATTTGGCTTGCTTTCATGTCACAGTCAGTAAATTGAACCAAACTACTTGAGTCAGAAGGCTAAACTTGCACACTTTGTGGCCTTGGTATTCCCTGCGATTGAACCACAAGAACCTGAAGCAGCTTGAAATCAGCTGCGTACACCCATTGATCCGTCTCATCAACTTCCAGGAGTCTTGCCATGTCTCAGGTCTTGCTCTACTTGTACTGGGAATCGCAGGGGACATCTTGCCGCTGATGTTTATTGGCATGGGCGTTTGGGCTCCAGCATCCCAGTGTTGGACTAGTGTCCTGGCAGAGGTTTAACCCGGTTTTGCATACTGGGCAACATGCTGATTGGTCAGCTGGCGAGGGCGTAGTCTTTCCTGTGTATACATTGCAATATTACGAAAGCCAGCCGCTAGGCTAGGCGATGTTTTTTTTGTGAACAAAGTGAGTTAAGGGGATCTGGGGGTAGAGCGGGCAAATTAGGCGGAAAATCACAGAATTAGGGGCAGTGGAGCGAGGACAATTGGAGCATTTTTGAGGGGTATGTACCAGGTGGCAATTGGGTGACGGTGGGGTATCGATTCCCCCTGGTCCGTCCTCGGAGGTGCATTTGGGGAGGCGATAGGAAAGGTTGCTGGAGGTGTATTTTGGGAGGCGACAGAGAGATCGGACGAGAATATGCATCTGTCTCTTACTTTTCTACTGTTGGGCTCCGATGTGGGATCATTGTGGTCGCAATTATTAGAAGGAACTTCTGTCAGTCAGTATAGGATGTGGACGAGAATGTACTCGTCGACTTGTATTTGTTGGGTACTGATGTGGGACCATTATGGTCGCAAGGATTAGAAGCAAGTTCTGTCAGTATTTGGGCTCCGATGTGGGACCACTATGGTCGCAAGGATTAGAAGCAACTTCTGTCAGTATACGATGCTTTGGGAGAGACTGGAATAGAAGGGAGTCAGAGGAAAAGGCATTGCTTGGAAAGGTCGCCGGAGGATGTGGATGAGGATGTACTCGTCGACTTGTATTTGTTGGGCCCCGATGTGGGGCCAATATGGTTGCACGGATTAGAAGCAAGTTCTGTCAGTATTTGGGCTCCGATGTGGGACCACTATGGTTGCAAGGATTAGAAGCAACGTCTGTCAGTATACGATGCTTTGGGAGAGACTGGAATAGAAGGGAGTCAGAGGAAAAGGCATTGCTTGGAAAGGTCGCCGGAGGATGTGGATGAGAATGTACGCGTTGAAAGACTGTTCAACCATAGATAGACTTTTCACCCACAGACTTTCACCCGGCCCATACACTTTTCGCCCACAGGCTTTTCACCCACAGCCTTTCACCCATATACTTCTCACCCATATACTTTTCACCCACAGACTGTTCAACCATATACCTTTCACCCCCAGACTTTTCACCCAGAGACTCTTCACCAATCATTTTTTGCCCTCAGACTTTTCCCCCATATACTTTTCTTCGTCCATATACTTTTTCACCCATACACTTTTCGCCCAGAAACTTTTCACCCATATATTTTCACCCATAGACTATATGAGCGTAAGGATCCTTGAAAGTCTGTGGGCGAAAATTTGCGGGCGGAAAGTCTGTGAGTGAAAAGTCTGTGGAAGAAGAGTCTCTGGGTGAAGATGCTCTGGATGAAAAATATGGGTGAAACGTATATGGGTGAAAAAAGTATGTGGGTGAAAAGTATATGGGGGAAAAATCTGAGAGTAAGAAGTATGTTGGTGAAGAGCCTCTGGGTGAATAGTCTGTGGGTGAAAAGTGTGTGGGTGAAAAGCTTGCGGGTCAAAAGTATACGGGTGAAACGGGTATGGGTGAAAAGTCTGAGGGTGCGAAGTCTGTGGGTGAAAGAGTGTGGGTGAAAGAGTGTGGGTGAAAGAGTGTGGGTGAAAAAGAAATGTGGGCGAAATATGTATTGGTGAAAGCCCCTGGGTGAAAAGTATATGGGTGAAAACTCGAAAAGTATATATGTGAAAGTCTGTGGCTAAAAAGTCTGTGGGTGAAAAGTCTGCGGGTGATAAGTCTGTTGGTGAAAAGTGTACGGGTGAAAGTCTGTGGGTGAAAAGCCTGCGGGTGAAAGTATACTAATATAGGGGAAAAGTCTGAGGGTAAACGGTGTATTGGTGAAGAGTCTCTGGGTGAAAAGTATATGTGTGAGAAGTATATGGGTGAAAGGCTGTGGGTGAAAAGTCCCTGGGCGAAAAGTATAGTATACGGATGAAAAGTCTGTGGGTGAGGTGAAAAGTCTGTGGGTGAAAAGTATGTGGTTGAATTGTCTTGGGTGAAAAGTATATGGGTGAAAGACGGTGTGTGAAATGTCATGGGTGAAAAGTCTGTGGGTGAAAAGTCTGCGGGTGAAAAGCCTGTGAGTGAAAAGTCTCTGGGTGAAAAGTCTGTGCAAGAAGAGTCTCCTGGGTGAAGAGTCTCTGGGTGAAAAGTATATGGGTGAAAAGTCTGTGGGTGAAAAGTATGTGGGTGAAAAATCTTTGGGGGAAAATAGGGGTTGGTGGGATGCTGGCTTTCGTCCCCTCTCAGGTTTTGTGATCATGGTGTGGTAATTTGCATTTAGGGTGTTGTATGGTGTTGTATATACTTTTTTTTTTGTTTGGTTGTAGCGCAACGTATTTTATTGGAACCCCTTTCAATATAAAATCAATGTAATGTCATGTAAATGCAATGTAATGTAATTTAGGAACGTATTTTAGTAGCTGCTAGACAGCTATTGGGCTGTACCGTCCAGGGACCTATGAAACACAGTGCCATGTATTTGTACATGTTTGTGTATTTGTGTAGAACATGCATTCATGACTTTGTTGCGGTATGTTATGATATGGATTGATACGGTATACTGTTTCATGTGCATGTAGGTAGGTGGGCACTTTAAAATGGTGTATGATTCAGTATCAATGAATGGCTCGGGGAGGAAATCGGGCGTTCTCAAGAGCGGTGTTTTTGAGAGGTGTGCTTTTCCCAGTGATTGCTAGATGATCCGTTTGCATGTTAAGGAGAAGATTGATCATGCGTCATAATGTGGACTGCAAGTAGCTACCTCCCTGAGACAGTTTCTGTCTGGGCCATACTCAGAGTTGCACCGGTCCTCTGCAAGTACCCACGGCACTGTTTCCACATGACTGCAGAAGATGGTTGCGGAACATGGTGGCGGAGCAGGGTGGTGAAGGCCTTGAGAGGGTGCTGTGTCGTCGTTGGCAGTGGAGACTCTGGGGCAGCCTGTGTTGGAGATCGTCTCAGGATGACGAGCAGTCCTTTGGTAGGTGAGGGGGGGTCGTGGAGATTCTGGGGCAAGCTGTGGTGGAGAACATCTCAGGACCACGACGCTCAACATGCCGCCCAGGACCCTCCAGACCCCCCCGCCTGCCCCCAGGACGACGATGCTCAACATGCGGCCAAGAGCCCCAGGTCGAACTTTTCTTGTCGAAATTTTCAACGAGCGTTAACGGCCACGGTGTGCATGAGAGAAAAAGAATCTGACGAGTGCGCATGGTGGAAAGCACCGCACATACGCTCATAGGGAAGCCCCCCAAAACACACACAAAAACCAACGCCCAACTCCCATCCCTAACCCAACGAACATATACATTATACATTCAACATTGACGGGGTGGGAGAGGTTATACAGTCTTCAACGACTTGGTTACATGCTTCTCCTTGAACTTGATTTCAGAACGAACTGCAGACGTTACAAGGTATGGACATGGGCATGTATCATACTGGCACCTGGTACTCGTAGCTTCCATGGGCGCGAAGGCAAACATATGGGTTGGTTTTGTGCACAGATGGTAGATGAGGCAAATGGATAGGTAGCGTAGCAACTAGACAACTAACCCTTCTATTCATCCATAATGAATTCAGTGTTTCGCTTTATCTTTGCATTGAACATATGTACAATCTAATGCTGAAAGTTTATTTGTCTGCTTGCTTGGGACTGGCGTGTGGTTTTCAATGTCTTGCCCTTAGTTTTCCAGCAGAGGCACAGCACAAGTTGTGGTTGGGGAGTCAGCAACTCCATCGGAGCGGACCAAGGTGCTACACAACAAGTTGCCAGGGGTTTCTTGCACGCGTCGCATTCAATTTGGAAAAGTCTCCATGACTGTCACCACGTTGGGCAGGTGCTTTCCAGACTCACTACGCTTAGATTGGTGGCTATCGCATCAGGGCCCATGCTCCAGGGAATTCTGCTCTTGATTTCCGGAAAGTTCCTTGACGGTGTTCCACGCGATGTTGTGTAGCAATGTTATTCAAGTTGTTTTTCTGGACTGACTTAATGCGCAACGATGCGCTTGTTTATTTTGATCACGGCGAAAACACTTTGAATACATCTGATTTTGAGCAATGCCAATTATGTTGTAAACAACTCAGGAATCACTGGGGCAATTCGCTCCTGCGGGTTGTCATTCTTTCTGGCGTCGTGCTGTGGCCTGGTTGTTTGTGGCTTCTAAGACTCAAAAACCTACCGCCATTGGAGCAAACTGAAGGCCACTTGCAAGCATTCACTCACATTCATTCATTATATTCATTGCACTGCCTAGTTGTGTTTGGTTTTGCTGCAAAACTTGAAAGGAATTCTCACGTGAATCATGGCCCATTTGCTGCTATTGAAAACCAGTTTCCCTTTTCGTGATTAGGAGTAGCGTTTGAACAAGGTAGCTGCAAGAATTAAATTTTCCAAATTATACGCCTTTTGCATTCTGATGTTTGAAAATCTGAGTTCTTTCTTGCAGGAAATGCTCAAAGCAGGTGTTGCAGCACTTTTTCACAGGAAGACCTGGATCGACCACTGCTTCGGATTCCTCTTAGGCCCGATTCGGAAGTTTCGTTTCGTTATAGCTGCTGTTCCCTGGGATTCACATGGAAAGCAACATCAGAGTTTCAGGTACCATATGCAGAAATTGTTGCAGCGACCCTCACGGCATCAAACTACCACAACTGGGAGTAGTCGCGGAAAAAGAAATACATAGCGAGTGGTACATCACCGGTGCAATTGCAGGTGGTGGCTTGCAGTTTGGATAGAAATCCTGTCCTTCATCAGTCTTTTTGGCGCGGGAATGACAGCGCCTTGTTTTCAAAGCCAGAGATCACAATGCGTTCAGAATGCTTATGATTCGTTCTGATCCGTTGTGCTCTGTTTGAACATGTGAAAAAATGTCATTGATTGACAAAGTGTCACAAAGGTGAAGTTCTTTCCTCTTTTCTTCCGCATCGACTATCACTTTACACCCTTCGAGGTGTGCAACTTGACAGCATTTGGCTAGTAAGGACCTGAGATACTTTGCAAATGTTCTGAACCTTTTATGACCTTTTATGTGCTGCCACATGAGGGAATTGGATACGCAGGAGAACTGGGAAATTTCCACGAATTTGGACATTCTGTAGCTGAGGTATGCTTAGTTTCGTCTACCCGCTAGGCATTGCTGGGATGGCTCAAGCCTCAAGAATCTCGTATGTTGAAGTGACTCAACGTCGTGCCTCGGATTTGGACTGTTCTGACGGACACACGGATGAATATGCGGTGACACATATTTCCACTATGAACATATTCACGTATACACTTACACATTAATTTGCATATACTGTATATGTATGTCTATAATTGTATATATATAAATACATATGTATATGTACATATATATATATAATAGATAATATGTTTATGTGTATGTGTATGCAAATGTACATGTACATGCATATGCATATGTGTGTATAATGTACATTTGTATATGTACAAATACAGCTTCCCCTGTACACGCACATGTACATGTATTTTGTATGTGTAGATATGTATGAAGAGGGCGGGGTGTCAGGAGTACACGCGAAGAACTGGGTCAGCTGCACACGCGGACAGAGATGTGGTGACAACATGTTGGAGGACTGAATGTAGGTGCACACGTTTCAAGAACGTGATCATGCTTACGGACATGTTGACTTGTTGATGAAACACAGCAAACCCTAAAGGTGTCGCACTTATATACTTACTTAATGAAACAAAGAAATCCTAACGGTTTGGCACCTGGGTACTTACTTGGTGAAAAAAAGTCGCCTGCGTGCATGTCTGACTTGGTTTTCTGTGCCCCGCTGAGCCTGATCTGTGTGCGTGGCTGATCCCTTTACCGTGTACACACACACACACATATGTATAATTATATATATACATACATATAGATGCATGCATATGTGCATACTGGGCAAACTGATGCACACACACAAACACATGAACATGCACATACGTGCCCGCCACATGCATCGGACGATTTCGTGCTGCCCTTAGGTGGAGATTTGTGGCATCCTTAGCTGATAGACTTGTGGCCTGCATTTCTTTGCCAACTTCATGCATTCATTGCAATGTTCCCACTGAGGCAGCCGAGTATCCAAACATCTTGGTCGATTTCCAACTGTTGTGTGGGGTACTTACTATGTAGGTTCGCGGACCGAACCCCACCAAAAAACCTGCTTTCAACAAGCTATGTCTTGTTTCTTGTCTTCCATCTTGACTGACTATGCAGCCAAGGTTCTTCCAATTCACGGGCACTGCTTGCCTGTGGGCGCTTTGCTACATCCGTCTCTCTGCTTATAAACTACTGAACAGTCCGCAAGTGCAATGCATTCTGATCCGAATTCATAGTATTGCCGGCCGCGACTTGTCAAGTTGGCAGTGCAGGGTGAACAAGATTGACATGGAACCCTAGACCATGGATGAGCATGGTCTTTGGGACCAAAATTATTTCAAATCGGGACTTTAAACGAAATCCTGGACAAAGCCAAGGGCCTTTGGCCATCGTATTGCCCCTCTTTCTGTTGAGAGGAGCCCTTATGAATGCCAGAGGCCTGAGTATTGGAAACACCTTTCAGAACGGCGTTTTGGAAACCACCAACCTTCAATCACTTCAATCAAATACATTTCCGGCTTTGAGAACAGCATTTGAGAGGGCCTCAAATTGAACAACGGTTTGACACGCTTCGTGTGTTGCATCTCATTTCTTGCAGGTCCTATTGGCAGAGCGATCATCATGGATTTGGTGCACTCGGAATCTTGGCGTGACCTATCATGAAACCAGCTTTGCAAAGGAGCCTGACTTCATGAGTCCAAGGAAATGCGTGGCAGATGGAATTCTCTTCAATCCCTGTCCATGTTTGCCTGGTCGGGAAGTGCTGCGCTAGGTCAGCATTCACGACCTTTCTCATATGCTGTTTGCTGCTGGCACTCTTAGTCGCTTTGTCCGTTTGTCATGGCGATGCCATTTCGGCATATTTGGGCCGTTTGCTCTTTTAGATTTGGATAGGTGGCTATTTGGCTGATCTTGCTGGCGACTACCGCTTTACCTTTGTGGCAGGGAAGCTCAGTTCCCGCCAGGTCGCGTGACAGCATGCATCATACACCTGGACTTGACAGAAACAAGCATCACAAAAAGTTGCACGGGACAACATGCACACTTTACGAAATATTTTTCATTCCGATCAATGGCGATGCTGAATGGGAATTGTGCCGCATCCATTGAGGTCACTGCTGGAATCTACACTGTTGGTTTTTTCTTGCATTTGCAACTCGATTGCAACTCAGACATATACACATAATGAGGCGTGTGTGTATATACCTAATTATACCTATACAAATTTATGTACACAGTTGTACACATATCATCACATATCCTGACTGTCCAATTTTGCGTTGCTGCTGCAAAGACGAGCTGGAGTTACTCGAGGCCTTTGTTATTGATTTATCCAAAGGAGCATAAGGTGCCTCTTGATGACAGCCTTTGGACGGTAACCCCTTGCAGCATTTTGCAGCTGAGTACTCTGCTCTTTCAGAAGTTGTAGCAGCTAAAGATATCGATGTACTTTTGAACGCAGGAGCCGCCTCCTCAACAAGCACGAGAAGCATCGTGTCTCCGGCGAAATCAAATTGACATGCTTTCAGAATAGCTACAATGCAAATTGACATCGCAGGTCTCCAAAGTTTGAGCCGACCTGGCAAGGCTCCCGAATCTACAAGAAGCCCAAGGCTCTGTGTCCACATCCTCCGAAAACATCGGAAATAAAAGAGCTTCAGGCTCGGTCTCTCGGTCTTGAATCTAGGCAAGATACCGACAGGTCATATTTTCCATGGAAGATGGGGAAAACGTGGAGCATGCTGTCCGGAGAAAGGTGGCCGCGGTGGCTTGGTGCCGAGAACGTCCTGAGAATTATCTTCTGTAAATCTTGTTGCACGATCGTGGACACGGTGACATGCTCAAAGCTGAGTGCAAAGTCACTAAATAAGAGTAATTTTCCCTGGCCCAATTGAGCTATGGGAAAACTGCCGAAAAACAGCAAAAGAGAGCAGAACAGCACACTTTTCAAACATTGCAGTCTGCATGCGGGTTGGGGAAAAGCTGCTTTCATTTCCTATTGACCCTTGGATTTTCGATTGTTTTGCAAGCCTGCACAAGATTGAATACCGTCAAGAGTCAAGAGACTCATCGCACTGAAGGAGTGCAAATCGCACCATATCGCATCTCATTTGGCTTTAAGACAGGAAAGGATAGGATAGAACAGAATGGACCAGGATGGGGCCAGATTAGCTTTGTGGTCGTTTAACTTGGGAAAGACTGCGAGTTGCACTTCGGAGCAGAAAAGGTAATTTCAAAGTCGGAAATGTGTGAAATTGATCAGTTTGCTCCACAGGCTCCACTCAGGTGATCTATGAAATTTCTTGCTGAGAAGCTATGACTGGCTATGACCATCTTGGAATCCTACCGGAAAGACTTTGGAAATGTCAGACATTTTGATGATTTGTATTATTTGTATTCGAACTGTAAAGGTCCTTCTTGACAGTTGCAGTTGCATGGTGCCTGCCGCTTTGGAGGAGGCCGAGGAGGCTGGTGTTTTCCCTGGGAAAGTAACGGACAGTGTCAGTGATGTCATTTTGCGTTTGACATTTTTTGACCATGGCAGATTCAAAATGATGAGTCGCTCACCACGACAATCAATCCTCAAGGCCACAGCCTTAGCATCAAAGGCAGAGCAGCCAAACTGGCCAAAAAGGGATTGAAAATGAATCAATTGACAGCAATGCCTGGCATTTCAATATCATTTAGATAACTTTCCTTGGAATGAATGTGAGACAAATTGTGAGCAAACTCCTGGATTTCCTTATCCCTTCACAAGGACGGGCAGGAATCAGGAATCAGCGGGTAAATAGGTACTCCTACGACTGTGATGCCGATTCAAATACTTCAATGACTGAAAAGATATGACTTGTGACCACAGCTGATGGGGAAGGAAAGGAAGTCGGCCCAGATGCGGCGAGCCCAACCCTCTTTGCTACCGATCCCCTCCGTTTCCCCTTTGCTTTGTGCAGGTCTCCTAGGTTCTGGTCCTGCACTGCCGTCTAATATACAGTATGCTTCATAGCAGAGCCCTGGTTGTGAAAGCCCCTGGTTTGCCCTGGTTTCCCCTGGGCTGCTCAGTTTGCTCAGGGAAGCCTTAAGCAGTGCAAAACTCAGAGCACTTGAAGCGCTGCAGTTGCGTTTGCTGAGGGCATCCATCAACTCATGCCGCATTCACAGGTCCACGCTGTCAAGTTTCTTTGCGTCCCAGCGCAACTTGACGTCGCCAGAGGAATGCTGCGGATCCGGGCAGGTCAACGCGCTCTCGTGTTTTTTTGCTGGGCCTAAGAATCTCCAGACCTCCGAGGTTGTACCCAAAAAAACTCTACTCTAATCACTAATCTCCAACGCCGGACATCCTTTCAGTTTTTTTTGGAAGCTACTCATAGAACCACAGGTCTTTAGGCTGAGGGCCTGAAGGCTTGAAAGTTGAAAGAGGGGATATAGGGGATGATAATATTATTGCGATGATGAACATTGAACTGTTGAAGATTGCTTTGATGGTTCCTCTGTCACTCCGTGAGGAGCGAGTACAAGCAACCTTGGCAGACGTCGCCGACTCCGCATGCAGGACCAGTGATGTGAAGTGGATGCAAACACACATTTTTTCAGTAAGTAATTACTGTAACAGAAACAGATCATAGTCCGTGACATTTTGGATGGATATGTAGAGGATATAAATGGACATCATATGATATCATATGCTGATGATGCAAGGCCCGTTTCCCAGAAAGCGACAGCATGCAGCTACTGCATTTTCCTACTGTCATTGCTGCTGTGGGCACCATGATTAAGATTGAAAGTATTTGAAAGTACTGTCTTACTAAAGAAGTCAGAGTTCCACCCAACAACCAGTCCATGTTGGCACAATCGGTGCAATGATGCAACATCTTTTGAGTCTCAAAGTGTCCCAGCCCTCCATGTAGATATTTGACACATACACACAACCTGACATGTAACCAACATGCAATGTTTTGCATTCATTCCTCACGCATGATCTTACCGTACATCTATATAGTGTTCTTTTTGGACAGTGTCCGATGATTCATGCAGTTCAAAGATGTTTTTTTGGTATCAAATAAGCAGAAAGGCCCTCAACTCCGGAGTAAGCACTGACTCCTGACTCCAAGTTGGTTGGCCCACCCGGAAAGCATAGCAACAGAAACACTAGAAGAGAAAGGCAAGAAGGGAGCAAAGAAAGAGGAAGGCATAAGGGAATCAGCCAAGCAAGTTTTCGGATGGGAGGATAGGCGCCAGATATTTTGCACATTTTGGCTTTTGCCACACAATCACTGCTTAGAGCTCTTAAACCACTACTGCCACAAGTACCACTACTGAGCCCCACTACTGCTGTCACCACAGGCACCACAACTACTGCTCACGACAGACGGACAGGCAGACAGACAGACCGACCGACAGACAGACATACAGACATACCTACATACAGACATACGTACATACGTACATACATTACATTACATTACATTACACTACACTACACTACACTACACTACACTACACTACACTACACTACATCATATACATTACATTACATTACATAACACAACATAACAGAACATTTCATTACATTACATTACACAACATAACAAACATGACATGACATTACATGACATGACATCCCATTACATTACCATACGTGCATGCATGCATACATACATGCATACATGCATACACACATGCAGACTTGCAGACATGCATACATGCATGCATGCATCCATACATGCATTACATGCATGCATACATGCATACATGCATACATGCATACATGCATGCATACATGCATACATGCATACATGCATACATGCATACATGCAGACATGCATACATGCATACATGCATGCATGCATGCATACTTGCATACACACATGCAGACTTGCCGACATGCATACATCCACCACATGCATACATGCATGCATTCATGCATGCATGCAGACTTGCAGACTTGCAGACTTGCAGACATGCAGACATGCATACATGCATACATGCATACTTGCATACACACATGCAGACTTGCCGACATGCATACATGCACCACATGCATCACATGCATCACATGCATCACATGCATCACATGCATTACATGCATCACATGCATCACATGCATCACATGCATCACATGCATTACATGCATTACATGCATTACGTGATTACATGCATACATGCATACATGCATACATGCATACATGCATACTTGCATACACACATGCAGACTTGCAGACATGCATCACATGCATCACATGCATCACATGCATCACTTGCATCACATGCATCACATGCATTACATGATTACATGCATTACATGCAAGTATCGGTGTATGTATTCATTTTCAGCCAGTGATGTATCCTTCATCGCAAAAACCGCGAAAAAACAATGCTGCGTTGGCATATGCGTTGACTCGTTGTCCTTTTGAATATCATCCACTGGCCTTAAGAACTTGAATTTTAAATCCTGACTTTTGGTGAAAAAATCACAACCAACGAGTTGAACACTTGACCTGGCAGGACGTTGCATCAAACAAGTCAGAAGCACATGCCATGTGCAATTCAACTCCTGGAAGGCTGGAACACAGCTGGTATGGTTTCTTGGCCATTGTGTGTGGCAATAACATGGTAAATAAATGGAACGCATAGTAATGTCTAGTATGTATGGCCATATTCACTCGGCATCACCCAACCATAATTGAAGTGTGATTGAAACATTCACCAAAACTCTGTCCAGCTGCTCCGATGCGGATTGTTTTACCCTCTTCGGCAGGATTGCCTCGAGCGGATCGGCAGGAAACCCTTACTTGGATGGCACAGGCTTGAAAGAGAAGGATTCTGACAAGTGACCAATTGATTTCTTGAAACAATCATCATCAATCATCCATTATGAACTGCTGGTTTTGACTATGAATCATTGCTCTCTGCAATGAGCAGGCTTTTGATGTCATGAACTTCCCGCAAACTCTATTTTTCGATACGGTTGGCACTCAGATGAGGTGCACACACACAAAACATTCAAAAAATGCAAAAAACATGTTGTCCTACCATGGGCCATTGCCTGCCAAATTGGTATTCCCCAAGGCCTTGCTGCTCGACAGATATTACGCACGCTTGCCCAAAGAGGTACTGTTCCTGCACCATGGTGCATTGGATGTGTTCCAACATGCGTTTTAATTGAACAAGATGGAAAGTGAAACAGACTTCCAAGTAAAGTAGTTAAGACCTCCAGGATCTCAGCACTGCAGAGTCTCAAAGAAGGATTTTGGCAGCAGCCCGGAGCTGGGGGTACGAAGCCGACCTGCATCCTGGAAAATGTACGTCATCAATTTCCTGGTTTCAACATGGTTCTGGTTTTCATCTCATGCGATTCCAAGGTTTGTGTCGCAATCAAGACTGGATCGAATGCTGAGACTCAGCTTCCATTGCGGCAGGCAAGCTGATGACTGTCATAGTCCTAAATGCCAACATGAAATCTCTTGTGGCGCTCATCTTTGACATGCATTTGTCAAATAGCAAGTCCGGTTGTCTTCTGCCATCGCGGTCTTCGTTGCTCTTCACAGCGGCGAAGACACTGACCTCAGTTTCTTGTGCCACTCGACAGGTAGTGACCCACCTGGGCCACGACGAGGTGCCAAATTCTCGCAATACATTGCAGCATTTTTATGCATTTTTAGCATTGTCTAGGGACAGGTGGAGAGACAGGCGGAGACGTTTGTTTGCTTCTGATGATACCTTGAGATTGTCCTGCTTTTGTGAAGCTCTTCTTGATAGGTACCCTTTGATGAAGTCATAGCAGCAGAGTTGTGCATATTGAGGAAGCTGAGGCAGGAAAGGATTGCTTGTCTTTCTGCACAGAACCTACGTAAATAGGGCGGGTAGATAGGCTGGATATGGTGTCCATGCAAGGTGTGAGAATCCTGCAAATGACCCTCGAACCAAGGTGAAACACAGTTGCCCATTTGAGACAGTTTGAGTCTGAGACTATGCAGGTTTGATGTAGGGACGCCAACCCCGCGTGACTTTCTGGAGGCAGCATTTCTTCGCTAGTGCATTTGTCCGGAAAAGCAATTATTCAGTGCATGAACATCCAACCTGTGCAGGCCCTTGGGGCAAGACTGAAGGAGTTGCAAGTGCCATCCACTCGGTTGTGGTTCACTTGAAAGGGAGAAGACTGTACAAAAGTTGGGTTTTAAGCACAACTTTGTGACACCAAAGCGGCCAAGGGCACCTGAAAACATGAGCCTGGCGGACTACTTGCTTGATACTTGGGAATCAAGCATCTTTTCTCTATTCGCCCGCCGGATGCGGAATGGTTTGGACCAAGATGGAATTGTGCCGATTTGTTTTCAACCCACGAATGTGGCACTGGAGGTTGAATTTCAGTTTTTTCAGGCTGCCTGTACTCTATGCTTTCAGGCTCCAATGGCACAACTAATCGAACATTGATGCACATCGCTACATCTTCTTTGAGCCCAACCTTATGAGCTGCAAACGGAGCCGGAAACAACAACTGAGGCTGCAGCTGTCTTTGGCAGATGCAGTCTTTCACTATAGGCTCGGCTCTCGGGTTGCACTGGACAAAATTCTGCAAGACTCTGACATGTTCTGGCTCATCCATTCATGATTGTTCATGAGTGAGCGAGGTATCCCCATGCAGTCTTGGCAGCTGCAGCTTTGCTGCTGGCACTGTCAAGCACGGGAGCCGGTGCTGCCCCTCATACGGTCCTCCAGCCAGCTTGACCTCGAAACATCCGTTTGGACGTTTGCATACGTTTACTGTGCATGTTTTTCTTGAATATGATTGAACTATTGCAGCGCTTGTGATGCAACTTGTGATTTTTGATGCTGCACAATGCACAACATCAATCGCAAGGTGGTGCTAGAAGACCTGGCCCTATATGTCGAGGCCTGAAGAAAGATGGAATATCAACATATATCAACTGTTTCTTGTAAGACTGAGTTGCATTCAGAAGGAATCTCATCAAACGATTCTTGAGTTCCAGTGGCTTCTGTGAGATACTGTATGGCATTTGCAGCACATGTGAGGAGGCGGACCAAAGTGGAATGCTTGCAAAGATCTCGGTCTGTTTTTTTGCTGACAGGGCCACACAATTCAAATCCACACAGTTTGTTTTTCGTTAATTGCTTTTATATCCAGGCAGGTAGTTTTGGAATTTTGTTTACCTCCCTGACTTGCTTCACCGGTAGCTAGATTAATGTACACATTTTCACACATTTTTGTGACGCTGCCATATTGACTTTACAGGGCTGTATCATTCATCGGGTCATGCGCAACTTGCGTCTTCTTAGTCTTGACCACCCAAGGCTCAATGCCGCCGGGAGCTGCATGCACTGTGGGTGACCGCGTGTCAGGAGCAGAATCTGTGCGACCTTAGACACCGCAGCTGGGAAATGCTACGAAGTCAAATCGACAGTTTAGATTGGTTTAGCAAGCTTGGTAACTGAACTTTGCATTCAGAGTCACATTGTAGCTATAGTTCAGATTCGGCTGGAGAGATGATATATGGCTTGGTTTACTTCTCTCTAGAAAGTGGCGTGATGCAGCCTGTGAGGTACGTGCATCATTTGCGCTTGAAATTTGCAAAGCGCTCTTTTCACGGAGGTCTGCAGGAGTTTCGTGAACATTATGCCGATACGGTGAATAGATGTATTCACAGTTCACAGCCATGTGAGTCATGTGGCAAGTTCATTCGCAGTTTCTTTATGGCAACCGTTGACCCCACGATCACTACACGGCCCCCGTCAAGGCCAAGGCTTACAGCTTAGTCACAACAGAGTCACAGCAGCTGTGACACATTTAGAACCCAATTTGGCTCAGCCTCATGTCATTTTTGAGCTTTTGGCTAAGGCGCAGCTCCAGTCTGCTCAATGGCATAATCTCTTGTCATAACAGCAGCCAATCTGCCTCGAGGTTGCATTGCACCACAAGATCCGTTGCAGCAAAGCCCTCAAAGTTGGTGTCTCTGAGCCTTTATAGGTACTTGGAAGCCTCGCGGCAGGGCTCAAGTGTACCCAAGTCGTCTTTCTTGACCATTCTTGCCCTAAGAAAAGTAAAAACTGTTTATGTTGTTATACAGTTATACAGTACTATATAGTACTATACATAAGTCATTCAAGACTTTCTTATATATATTTATATTATATTATATTATATTATATCGTATTATATTATATTATATTATACTATACTATATTATATTATATTATATTATACATATGGTCAACGGAACGGGGCAGCACCAGTCCAATAGAGCAGAGCAGACACAAAATTATATCAGAACGAACACAATATGACTCTGATATTGCTCTTATCAGCATTTCTCATCTCTGAACTGTTTATGTTTTGACTAAGGTATACGAGCCTCGGAAGCCTGTCTTCCTATCAGGGACTTCGGCCATCCAAGGCTCCGTTCGCATCGAATGTACCAACATCTTGGCTAACAACGGCTAACAAGATTATACAAGATTCACGTGTTGCGCTTTGTGGCTTTGCGGCTTTGTGTTGGGTTGCCTTTTGGCTGTGCGATTGCACTGAAGCAACCTTTGGATGTCATTCCGCCCCGTTAGTTGTGTGACTCACGGCGACAAACAGTGACCGACGTTGAGGCTTGCGACCTGGAAAAAGCAGGGGCCCCGAGGCCCAGAGGCCGATGCCACGACGTTGGCAGAGTGGATCTGTTGAAATTTCAACGCGCAGTCTATAAGTCTAGAAGCATCTAAGTGACTTTCCAGAGGCAGGAATGGGCAACGAGATGAGAAATGTTAGGTGTGCTGGAGAGAATGACTTCATTTGCTTTGGTCAGGTGCAGGATTCTTGATGGACATATGACACATCACATTGTGTGTGTGTGGTTTTTTTAAATATATATAATTATATATATATAGATTATTCCTGTATGTTTTTATTATGTACCTGGTATTTTTCGGGCAGACAAAGAGATCGTCATGAATCTATGATTAAATGACTATTTAGCGGAGGAGGTGCAAGCACAAGGCTTGGATACTTCAAGAGCTCACCGACAATCACATTCAAGATTCAAGATATTTCAAGATATTTCAATTCTCAAGGACAAGTCATCTCAAGACTCTAAGGCCCCCAATTCTTCGACTCATGCTCGGTTGGCCCTCAGCGCTCAGCCTTGTTTTTGAGTTTGTCCGATAGTGAGAAACCTCCACGATGTCTTTTCTCAGACCAGATGATGTCATGGTAACATATCGTAATTGTATTCAATTGTAAGTCGGTGTAATCCGTAATTTATATTTGATGTGCCGATTGAATTTTGGAAATCACGGTGGTCGCACAAGAATGCTTCTGGGTTTCCGTTTGGTCAATCCTTGCCCAGTCTAGCTGATTCCAAGAAAGTACTTGTACTGAACGATCTCTTTGCGAACAGTTCTACCAATCTGAAGCCTGGCTAGGAGCCTTGCCAGTGCATTTCTCATCATTTCTCTCGTTGGCTACAAAAGAGCTGCACACACACACACAGAGCTATTGTCAAAGCTAATGGTAGCTGAATGGCTGCAAAAGCTTTTTGCCTGTATTCCTGGAATTTGTGCTGTCAAGGCGGCCTACCGATCGCGAGCGGATGTGGCGGGAAATTGTGCGGATTGCGAAGGCACTCAACAATGACAAGCGCTTAAGCTGTGACTCTCTGAAAACACACACTTTCTGTGCAAAAGCATTTGGCTGTGCTGACGCAACTTGACCTGAGCTGTCACGACTTACATTTCAATTTGAATGGACAACTTGCAGACGTGTGTGTGTGCGTGTGTCAGGGGAGTCAAGCTCCTGTGACCTCTACATTTGGATTTGACCGCGTGTCACTCGCAGAAAGCTCAGAGTGTAACGTAACCAGCTGAACAGCTTTGGTTTTGGCGTTTCTTTTGACATCTATTGTTTTGGCATGCTTCAGCATGTTTCAGCTATTGGGGCAGACTTTCCTTTTCAACAGCGCGAGATAGTCGGGTCCGACCAAAACGCAATGATAGATATGCTCAGGTAAGTCAAAAGTCTTCCTTAGCCTCTGAGTTATTCTGAGTCACTGGTAGTTTCCCAGATGGGTCCCTCTTACACTTTTCTTCCTGGGCTGGTTCTCCATGCTTTCCATGCTTCAATTTGGCGAGATTCTCGGGGCTCACGGCCTAGTCATTGGTTCAGCTCTGATTTGAGGCAGATAGACGACCTCGTGCAGCATCTTGGTTTTGACCTCAGTGCAGGCAGTGCATGAGGCATCAATTGCATCAATTGCCAATACCTTGGCCGTCAGAAGTTTGAGCTACTGTAGATTTCACTTCACTTCAACTTCACTTCATTGTTTCTTGTCGTCCTTTCCTGCTTCAAGTCTTTGCCATTCCTTTCACTTCCTCTACCGCAGGTGCGGGCAGAGACCTGCGAGGACAGCTGTGAAGCCAGGCGGTGGGGTGGGGGCCTACAGGGGTCCACAGTTTGGAGACTTCGTAGTCTCGCCGCGACGCCTCCATTGGCCGGCAGACCATGGAAACGAGCAGACTACATCAGACTACAAGTGTGGTAGAGAATGGTAAAGTAGACATTGTCACAAGTAGACTAAATAGACCATCAACACAAGTGGCCTTTCCCCGCTACGCATCTAGAATCCATGCCAAGCTGAATGCATTGGTTGAACCACTGCATGTGTTCCTCAAACGAACCTAACAAGCAAGACATTCGTTGGATTCCTTTTCACCCTTCAACACTTTAGTTGGCAGTCACCAAGGTAATTTTTTTATTTTTATTTTTGTTGTTGCTTGGTCATTTTGCTCAAAGAGACGCACACAGACACAGACATACACGCACACACATTTGTCGCTTGTAATCAATCTCTGAGCACAATAGGAATTTGATGCATTCTCAGCACGGCAACACAGCAGCGGCACTGCTGATTGTTGTAAAAATTACATTTTATTATTCTGCGATTCGAATTCTACCTTCGTATTCGTAGCCCGGCTGCAGCGCTGACTGGAACTGGAACTGGTTTGTTCCGTCTGCTAGGCACATCACGGTCTCCATGAAATTCCTGTGCGATCCTCGGTCTTTGACAGCAAAGCCGTGCCCCTTCCAGTTGGTTTCAAGTGAAGGTGTTCGAACACGGATCTAGAAGCAGAGTCATCGGGCCCACATTGAATCACGATATATTGTCCAGCATAAGAAATCAATGTCCTGGCATGCACGCCGGGATGTTGCTCGAGGATGATCACGAATCACTTCAAACACAGTAGGGTGTATGTTAATTTTGACCATGGCTCACATTTGATGAAACCAGAGCAACTCAGCAAGTCTTTGTTTTCCATGACATGAAAAAAGTAGAATGTACAGTATCTTTGCGACAACAAGGAGGAACTGGCGACTGGAAGGTGAACCTTCACTCTGTCTTTCCTTTTTTTTCCCTTGTCACTCTTGCTTCTTGGTAACAGCATGCGCATTTCTGTGCCATTCTTCTCTTCACGTTCCCGCTTATATTCTTCGTGTCCTCTGGTAATTTTGATTCTTGCTGGACCGTTTTTTTCTCACGATTGGGGGTTGATTACATGTCAAACGGATGATTTTGAGAAGCAAATCGTGTCAGCAACCGTTTTTGTAATTGACCAATGAGCATATAATATTGACTAGATTTGATGTAGTGGTCAAGATATGTTGGGACACATTTTCCAGCTTTTTGATTTTGATTGTAGCGGTTCAAGAACCGTTGAAAGTGAAATGGTTCAAACACGTGCCCCCTCATGGCTCTCAATCTCCCTCTGCATTTAGTGGACTAGAGGGCGCTAGAGGGATCAATTCTCGACCTTTCGAGTATTGCACAAATTGCACAACCCAGGTCCATGGCTACTTTGGCTACTTGAGCTGTGGTCGTAGATGCAATTTTGCAAGGCAGTGGTCGAGGGGATTCGCCGACCACTGCCAACCACTGCAAGTTTAGCTGCCAAGTGGATCACTGCAGATTTCAATGCGTTGAGCCGCTAAGCTTGTGAGACAAACCTGTGGCAGCCGCACAGGCTTTCCTCACACAGTGGCAAGCTCTATGTCGTAGTGGCACAAGTTGGAAAGGACATGAAAACTAATATGCAGATATTCAAAAAGACCCCTTACCGGTCGAAAGCTTAAGGGTTCAATCCTTGAAGACATGCAAAGACTGGAAACGGTCCACGTGTATGTAGGAGAAAGTAAATGTCATGTGTCTCATGATATGCTTCACGTTATTTTGGCTGAGCTTGCCCCCTCTGCATGGTTTTGCAACCATGCATAATTCTAGTCACCTGTTTGTGCTAGCAGACAGACCTGGTTTGTGCAAGCAGTTTGCACGGTGCTTTGAGCTTGCCAGAGTCGACTGGATGAGCTTGAAGCAAAAATTAAGGTGTACAGTGCATGCCGAGAGTGCAGAATCCTGGTGGTGTCTAGTGGCAACACATAGCAACGAGATGCAATGAGCTCTCATTTTCTGATTTTTCTGGTGGTCATCAGTGTACTGTCCAAAATCGCCTTTGCCAGGACACCCAATGCTTGCAACAATTCGGGCAATGAGATTCGCTTTCTTCCGGTGACAAAGCGATACCTCGGAGCCACTTTAGTTAGCTTAGATCTTAGAGAATCTCAGGCGGAACCCAAAGCTTTGCAAAGCCTTTGCAGCCTCTGACGAAGCATGGCAACTTCTCTTCTGAATTATCTTTCTCATGAGATCAGACTTTTCCTGACACGGGAAATGTATCGGATAATATACGTATGATAATATATATATATATCTATTGTATATTGTATATATCTACACACACACAGAATCATCCACGCAACTGCAATATTTGCATAACAACCTTGTAGAAGTTCTTCAGCGAGCTTCATCCAAAGGAAATTGGGCTGCAGTAGATAGATAGGCGGCTGGTGACTGGCCTTGAAGCCATTTCACACTTGAAGCCGTTTCACAGAAAAGGTCTGTCTCTTTTTGACATCTCTTGATGCATACAAGTAACTCCAAGTAGGAAAGCAAAGTTGAGCTGGTTGCATGTGATTTTGCAGCTCCATGACACCAGTACGACAAACTTATCCCACCATTGGTACCAGTGCCATGATCAAATCTGGGCTCGACTTCAGTGCAAAAACAGAACCAGTGCTGCTCATTGTGCCTGGTGGAACAAGTCAAGAGTATTAGACATTTTTGGATCCTACAGGACAAGAAAGATCTCACTTCGCTGAAGCTGTTGATATTCCAATCACTAATCTTTTTTTCCTGGCCAGGCAAGTCCCAGTCCTCTGCATAGATTCACTCAATATTGTCCAAAGTGTATTGTCGGATCAATGGAGAATTCAACGCAGGAGGCAGGGAATTTTTAAAGCGGAAAACGCATGGTGCTAGGAGCACTAAGGAGCACTTGGAGCGCTTAGGAGCACCGAAACTGCGCCAAACTGCACCGAGAACCTCTGTGGCTTGAGGTGGAAACCAAGCACGTGCCTGTGGGCTTTGGCAAGCTGTTGGCCCATACTGACAGGTGCGATCAGCTGTGACTCCTGTGATCTCTCCCCGCAATCATCCCCTCAGCTGTCACAGATGCTTTCTTTGCATATTGTTTTGACATGTTTTGACAATCAAGAGAAGCCAAGAAAAAAATGACATGCAGAAGCAATTTCGCTCCTTTCCGCATCGCACACGGCACGATGTTTCAAAGTTTCGGTGTGTGTTCAGCCCTCACTTCGCCAGAACAGTCCGGGACCGTGGCTTCAAAAAGCTGAAGAAGTGGTTGCAGAAGACTCCTGACTTGGGAAGGCAGGACTGATCCTTGGCTCTTGAGAATTCTGGAAGATGAGAGCCTGAGAGCATTACAAAGAATGGACACCCCTTACATCCCTTTGTCAATCTTTGTTGCAAATTCATACAAATTCCCTTTGCATCAATTGATTCAATTGGCAGGCTTGAATACATGAAAGTCTGGAAAGGCCTCTACTTCGCAATGTGGATGGCTGATAAGAGACCAGTTCAGCAGGACATTCTTTGATTCATTGATAAGTGTATATCTTGCTTGTCAGCGAGTTGGAGATTGGACGGCGATCCCAATCAAGACTTGGAAAAAAACTGATATATGTTTGTTTCGCATTTTTTTCTGTTCATTTCATTTCGCACTCTTTTGGGTCGAGGTCTTTGCACATTTGGCCCAGGAGCTTTCTGTGAATATTGCACTTCTCCTCAATGACGTTCCACAAGGAAGGCGTGAAAGACAATCCTGACACAAGGAACATGTTTCTGTAAATGGAGAGAGAGGTCCGAGTGATGTTGCTTACTGGTGCTTGTTTGGTTATGTTTGGTTCTGCCTCAAAGCGTATCGCATCGAAGTCTATTTCATGGGTCTCACACCTGCTCCAGCCGGTTGCAGACGCACCATGTGGATAGAGTGCTTTTGGGACACAATGCGGGAGCTGGCCTCAGAGGCGGCAGGCACAGTTTCTGTCGCCTATCATTGCGGAAAAGCTTGTCCAATGTTGTCCATGATCTTCCCTCAGCCGCCTCGTGCAAGTCCAATTCCCAACTTCAGGATTCGTGGGAAAAATTGGATGTGCACCGAGTCCTCAGCTCAATGAAACTTGAATCGAGTGTGTCCTTCTGGAAGGAGCAAAGCGGCTAACCAGCTGCAACTGTAGTTGCAACAGTTCTTGACGAAGAATAGGTTACTACTGCCTGCTGGTGTTGCTGTGAACCTAAGTGACAATGTCTCTCCCAATTTGCAGCCCTCAGCTGCTCAAAAAGATACTGTAGATTCCGCAGATTGTTGAAAATTCCATGTTCAGATTTCCTTGCCCGTCATTTTTGGGTTTCACACGTTGATGTGCGGTCATGGTTTAAGCAATGCTGATTGCATTTCATTACAGCCAAAACGCGCACACACACACATGCACACACTGCCACACACACACATACACACAAGACCACCGCAATCACAATGACAACCGGAGCGATAGCGACAATGACGACAGCACTCACAAAGACAAGAACGACAACATGAACAGTTTATAGTATGTATATAAGAGCAAATAACAATAAGATCAACAACGAACCAGCTACAAACCAACATGAACACTGTGGTTTACGCCAATATGATCCCCAACGCTAAAGCATGCTAAAGCTACCCTGTCAACACAAAAGCAGTACAGGTACTTTACATTACTTTACCCTTGGCACTCGATGGCACTCGAACTTACACATCTTACATTGTCTTACACCACAAAGCTTTCATCCGCGTCCAAATGAATGCGCTGGCTCCACCTGCATTGGATCGAACTCCATCGGCTCACAGCAGGTTGGAGTCTCTGATTTTCCATGATTTTCCAATTTTCCAATGCATCAAAGTCTTTTAAGTCATCTTAGATGTCAGCTTAGATGTCATCTTTTGTCTTGTTTGTTTCACGTGTCCTATGTCAAAAAAAATGTTTATCCTCTTTGGTCGCAGTGATATACTTATACCAAGAGGATAACAGGATTCTCGACAGGTACACAACTGCAGAAGTCTGGTGCTTCGAGCGGCAATTTGAAGGCCAGTTGCGCCAGTTGTCCTATCCACGAAGGTACTGATATATAGATGGAAGATTGAGGAAAAGGTATTGTGCCTGTTAGTGAGTGGAGTTTCCTTTGACTTTGAATATTCAGCAGCAAGGTCAAGAGCAAAGACCACCGGTGCGAGTGATCATCTTCGACTGTTCGGCTCTGAGTGACGCAAGTTTCATGCGAACAATATTCACTGTGAAATCCAGTTCGCATTTTGTGAGTGGATACTTGTTTTATCTCGTTTTTTGGGTGGGGACAAGTGCATTTTTTTGCCTCACTGTCACTTTCTATCACGTTCTGATTCCGCCATACCATCCATAAACTCTGGATGTTTCCCTTGAACTTTAGCAGCGTGCTGGCCACTGACTTTCCGTAAGTGTATGGCATCAAGCACATTCCAGCAAAGAGATTTTAAGTGTTGTCCTATGAATCAAACCACATTCTCAGCAAGAAGGTGTTTTCGTAGTTGCGTGTTCAAAATGCTTTAGTGCAAGTGGTGCAAGTGGTGCAAGTGGTGCCAGTGGTGCCAGTGGTGCAATCTGCTTTCATCGCTTTCAATTTATTTATATAATTTTATATAATTCATTTTCATTCTTAGGTGACGAGACCTTGACCTTGTCAACATTCTTGCCCCATGACGAAGACCTCCGAACAAGACTTGATTGGAGTTCCCAGTGACCTGGCGCGGCTTGAGTCCTTTGAGTCCTTTCCCAGTCCTTTCCCATGCTAAACTATGCTAAGCCTGCTTACTTCATCTTACTTCTTTCGGATTTATTTGCTGCAACGATCATCAACGATCAATATTCTTGCCAGCTTGCTGCGAAAACAGTGCGGCTTCAGGTGGGAAGACTACATTGCAACCATGAATTTTGAGTCTCCATTCTTGACATCAAGTGCCTTACCAGCAAGTACTCGTATCAGCAAACATTATCATGAGCTGTTTTGTTTTTGCCTCATGCTCAGACTAGCTTCGGTCTATCGGGCAGCTATATAGTTTCAAAGAGGTATGTACTATGGCAAACTAAAGTCATCTCTGCTAAGGTAGACGAACACTTCTCCGAGAAATGCTTGAGGAGTTGTGCAAAGGCAGCTGCGCTCATTAGATTGGTCGGAAGATTTTGTGAAACACTTCCTATCATGCAATAGACAGGCATGAACATGAAACAAAAACATACAAAAACATGTATTGCGCGCTCGCAGATTCTGGTGATAAAAACAAATGTCAGATTGAAAGGGATAAAGGGACCTCATTCCATAAGGAATTGCTTTGGAAACAAAGACTGTCAAAGGCAATCGCCGAGTTTCGGGACGGCTGCTGGCGGTATTGACACGCAACAACAGCGGAGCAATTGCTTGCTTAAACCTGCTCAGGCAGGGTATGACCGTAGCATGGTAACAGGATGTAACAGGCAACATATCATGACATATCGTAACCTATTACATGAAGCATTTATAAACTGTCGCCAGGGCAGCGCAACTTGACCGACATTTCAGTGCTGTTTGGGGCATGCACCATGGCAATGGCACTCCTGCTGGTGTCTACAAATCGAGCACAGTCCCTCATCGGCAATTTTGGAAGCTTAATATAACTGTTGTAGCTGAAAGAGTTGTCACAGACCCCGTCCTGGCGTTTGGGATCGTGCATGCTTCTATTTTTTTTGAAGCGGCATGATTGTATGGTTGCAAGTAGCTACAGCACAGAGCAGACCGTTGATTGAAGCGCCGAACGGGTGAAGACAAAAACAATAACCAAAAGTCAGGAGGCCTCAATTGAGGGCAAAGAAATTGAGTGTGTGCTTGACACTGAGCTCAGTGTTTGACTCCGTGTTTGACTTTGAGATCCCTGCATGCACAACTTCCGAGGGATGGAAAGTGTTCGAGCCACCCTTCGGCTCTATACCTGACCACAAGGCTTGGCGGCTGCGATGTTTGGCATGTCCTCTACATAAACAATATAATATGAATCTCAAGTGGAGATTGGCAGGTAGATACAGTTTTAATATCAGAGAAAAGATGGCTTCCTTTGTCGCTGCTTGCTTGATCTTGCTTGTATGTTTTGGCATGGATTCTTTTGGCACTTGGTGACCTTTCTCAGGCCCATGTGCTCCACAGTATTGCTGAGTGTCCTTCCAACTGGTTTCCTCAAGTGGCTGAGAATGTGCAGGGGCTTCCGAGTGTTTTGAGGCGCAGCTGGAGGATTGGACAGGCAAAGTTGGACAAATCTGGAAACTATCAGACACTAATTAGACACTAATACTGATACTATATATAATATATATATATAATAATTATATATGTGTAGTATATATATATATATAACTAATTATTAATTATACGATGTATTCTATCATCATTTTTCCGTATTGGTACTCGTAGTGAAGCACTGCATGTCCACGTAAACTGAGCATACAGGATCACAGTACACAGTAATGCGATGCACTCTGCAAAGTTGCCGTACTTTTGCTGCATACCTTGCTGTCATTTTGCCTTCCCAACATTCTTGTAGTCCTATTTGTACATCTCCGGCTACCAGCGGCTACCAGCATCAGGCCTGAAGAGATTCTCCTGGTAGATGATGTGAGGACAAACTTTCAATCTGGTGGGACCACCGCCGCCACTGCCAAGAAAGTTTTTCGCTGCTGTAAGGTTGCACGTTGCTCAGCTTCACGGTGAAACAGCCAGGGCTACTGTAGAATGGCAAGAGACGAACTCCCTGTGGTATTGACTCCCACAAAACTCCAAAGCTCCAAAGGCTACGATGCTCCATCCTTTCGAGATATGGGCTTTGTCAGGGACATGGGTGGCATTGGGGCCCACAATGAGGACCGAGGCTCTTGTGACTCAAAAGCAGACCGTGCACATCCGCATGTCTTGACATGGTTTGATTATATAGTTACTTGAAATTTGCGGTGTTTGGATGTGTTGGCAGCTTTGAAGCATTGAATTGAATGTGCAAGTGATATTCTGACGTGCAGGAGGATTACAGAACCCTCGTGGAGTTTGCCAACCGCCCATGGGCCTTCAATGTTGATTGCAAAGCACAGTGTTTGGAACGGACCTTTGAAGGAGCAGAGAAGAAACCACCTGTGAAGCTCCTGATTTTCGATTTCGATGGAGCTTTGACCCTCTATACCTTTATGCCAGAGGACCTTGTGTGCAGAAGATTAAATGGTTCTTCTATGTTCTTATCATTGCAGTGCTTGATATGATCCATGTGAGAAGCACTTCAACTGTGGAAGGATCCACGGTGTAGCACTGACCTGAAATTCACTCCGAACGACTCTGTGAAACAACGATACGTTTCTGGGCTGCACTGCGTCATAGTTGGCATCATACTACGTCTCCCACAAGCACGGTCTCGGTCTCGGTCTCCATCTCGGTCTCGGTCTCTCTCTCTCTCTCTATGTCTCAATGTGCTACTCTCAAATCCGCGTTGAAGACTGGTTTCGTAGACTGCTTGCGTTTGGAGTCTCAATTTTCAGGTGCAGTACAACTTTGAGACGCCATACCTGGAAGGGAGCAGGGTGGACCAACTGGTCAGCCTGCTCAACTGCTTGGCAGATGACCCTGACACTGGCGAGAGGCACCATTCGTACTGCCTTAGATTCCTGCTTCAGCTTCATACCCGAATAATGTGACGTGGTTTGACGGCACAAGAGTGCTCGTCTTGGATGATTTGGTGATATTTGGTGTGTTACATAGTGAACTGATTCTCCTTGGGTTCTTCTCTGTTTTCTTCGTTCTGTCAGGCGAGTGCTTGCAATTCTTACAATCAATGAGGCGAGAGAACCTGGATTGAAGAGGGCTTCGCAGAGTTCATAGTGTCCCTAACTTGGCTCATCCTTGTGAGTTAATAGCTCATCTTCAAGGCTTCTCAAACTTGTTTTCATCTTCCTATTCTTCCCAGATTTCTATACGTACATAGATTCTCCATATATTCGATGTACTGATCCCTTCATATTTATATAATATTTATCATATGAGTATATTCATCACTCCATCATTCCATCAACCCATGCTTCGTTGCTGTGCCTTGGCTGCAGCCCTCCAGTGCCTTGATATGCTTCGATATGCTTCGATCATCATTGTCATTCTCCATCTTCAACATTCCATCATTCCGAATCATTCCGAATCATTCCGAATCATTCCGAATCATTCCATTTCAGTGTAGACCTGTGTAGTTTTGCTATTCTTTTGCCATGCTTTCCCATGCTTCCAACATGCTTCCACCTTTCCTGCCAGGCTGGAGCAATTGCTGTGCTTAACGTGCTTCGTATGGCCGGCCTCGCCAACTCTTTCAGCGCAATTTGGACTTTGTCCACCCGAATCGGCCAGCCCGGTGGCGTCTACCAAGAAGGCAAAGAGTGGAAGACGCAACTCAGCTGAGACTCACTCAGCTCATCGCATCTCATTGCAATGTCCTTGAATTGTCCTTATTCTCTACTCTAATCATCTCTAATCACTTCGCACAAACATTTGCAAAATGTTCGAATCTTTGAACAATAACGCGTCACATGTCCTTGTGGTCTGCAGGAGCCCAAGTCTCGCTTTGCGGCTCAAATGCACAGGATGTTTGGTCTCAAGCCACTGTTGTTTGGTTAAGGTTTACTTTGCCGCAGCAAATCGCCGAGGGCCATTATAAGCCTTCCGCCAGCTCCTAAGAAGTGTTTCATGAAGATAGATCGTAGATGATGGTCATAGAATGTCGAAGATGTTCTGAGATGTTCTTGTTTTTTTGTTTAGATTGTAGATGACTTGTTTAGATCGTAGATGACTCGTAGATGAGCCGTAGATGACTCGTAGATGACTTGTAGATGGTAGGCGGGCATTCTGAAAACGTCAAGTGGCGCTCGGCTCAGCGCCAGCTGTCCATAAGTCGCCTCGTCGCCTCAGGTGATTGAAAGCATTTTGGCCTCTCCAAGTGCTTGGTTTCCACAGTCAGGCCAGGACAATGAAGGACATGGACTCAGGGGGACATTCCTGAGTCCTTTCAAAAGGGGATTTGAACTTCGGGACATTCCTTATCATTCCTTTAGTTTTCTCACTTGTGCTCCGAAAAACTATCCCAGGAAGTAGTGTAATCAAGCATGTGTAAAGCGGTGGGTAGCACAACCGAGTGCTTCACGCTGCTTTGCAAGGATCATTGTAGTGTTTTGATGTCTTTTGACGTCTTTTGACGTCTTTTGATGTATGCTTTCTGTTCTCTGCTGCAAATCTGATCATTGGTCAGCTGTAGCTCTGACCTTGGCCGAGGTAATGCACCTGAAACGCAGGTGCTGACGGACCTGAGTCTACCCAACATAGTCCTGGTGGATGACGAGCGAGAAACATCTTCCCACCAGGAGACAGAGTACCAAGCTGTGCGACATTGTGCCATGCTGGAATCATTCTGCAAACCTTCAGAGACACTGTCTGACGACATTCAAATTCTTCAGCTGCTGTAGAGCAGTTTTTTCGGGTGCAGTCGATAGTGATAGTATTGACTGGAAATGAAGCTTCTTTTGTCAATTTGTACACCTTGCCCACGGATGCCCAGGGTATCCTAGAGTAAATGTTTTGAATTTAACATTATGCGACTTGTATTTGATTCACATTGGGGATGTTGGGGTGGGGCGCTTCTCATCATGATCATCATGTATTGCTGTATTGCAATATGTGGTTCACCGCAAGAAGTCACTGAGTGCAAAGCTCCGAGGTCGAGTTGCAAGCTATGACGACGAATACCGTGATCAGGGCTTGCTCTGGCATATGGGTGGGCTTGGTGCTAAATATGTGGAGGACGGAAATCATCCCTCGCCAGCTAGTCAGAGCATGAGATATGTAAGAGCAATTATTTATCTTTTACTTGCCTGAGAATGGTTCCAAAGGATTTCAGCTTCTTTGAATTCCTTGGGTGCTTTCCATGTGACTATACTGATACAATCCATAATATATTCCTGTAGTAAGAGACCAATAAGGAGGAACATTCATAAGCGGAACCATATCGACCATGTATGACCATGTGGCATTTTGCTCAAGAACAAGAAGGTCGCGGGTCTGTGTTGACCAAAGGGAGACACGATGGGCGTGGCTGAGGATGTAGCCCAGGCGCTGCAATCTTTGTTTGCTTTGCTGGATATGAGTGGAAGACATTGGAAGACACTGGAAGCAGGTTTTGCACTCTTTGTGCACTCTTTGTGCACTCTTTGTGCACTCTTTGCTTCTGTGGTTGATTCTTTCGTGCCTTTCCGTCTCTTTCCGACTTTCCTACTGCCTATTCTTGTGTCGTGGCCGCCTTAGCTTGATTTGCACAGGCAGCTGCAGCTGCGAGCTCTCATCATGCGAAACAGGCCGGTCGATAGTATCGGGTTGTTCGTCGTTGTGACTGTCTTACACTAACACATTGTTGCAGGCAATTGCCCTCGATCATGTGTTGATTTCAAGTTGTTCCGCACTATTCAAGGACTGCACAATGGACATGTGGCCGGACAACTGATTGAGCATGCCTCTGCAAGGCTGTGCAATCATGCTACGAGACTTCCTATCTCTGCTTATTCGAGGCAGACTGGCTTCTGTCTCGGCGATCAATAAGCGCTGCCAGTTTACTTTGCAGATGTTGCAGATGTTCAGCAACTCTTGCAAGATGTGCTGTCAACACGTATCAAATCTTGTCAACATTGTTCGACATGCACTGTACATGTCTTTTACTCTATCTATCACCATCCAGACCATCCATCATCCATGCTTTGAGTCTGACAAGACAAGATAGACCTTGTCAGGCCCCGGGTCAACCGGACCGTCGTGCTATGCATTTTACAATTATTTTACATATTTTTACATTTGAATCATTTGACTTTTCGATTTCCGGACTTTGGAGTGGTTTCTGGTGCAGTCCAGGACCCTTCAACTGTGCCTTCCAGAAATTCCCGCAACGCCGCAAGGCCATCAATCCGTACATGTGGTCCTATATGGGCATTGCAGTTGCGCTTGGTATTTCTGTTCTAGGCGAGGACGATTTGAATGCCTTGGACTCTTTGGATATAGTGGACCTGAATTCACAGACACATGCCAGAAAAGACTTTCTGCATTCTTGATCACTCTTGTGATTCGTGTTGACGAACATCCTGACTTTATGCATGCATGTGTGCTTGCATCAAAGCCAATGTGCAATGCGCTCCCATCTGACATGAAGGAGCAGCTTGGGGTATTTTCTTGACGGGATCCAGCATTGTAGGGGCTGGCATCAAGGCACCTCGCATCAGTTCCTGAGCATGCAAGTGGAAATGAGTGAAAGTGTGCTGTAAGTGAGGCCAAATTTCACCAATTCCAGTAGTCGCAATATATTTGCTCTATTCCTACATGTACACCACTACGCCAGTGTACTTGTGTTGTGGAAACACCCCCCATATCAGTTTTAGTGTGGGCGGACATGTTTCACTTTGCATGCCGGAAGCAAGGCTCCAAGAATCTGGTCAGCATCATTTTCTGCGAAGCAGTAGCGATCTATGGCGTGTCTTGGCCAAACACGACTTACTGTAATTCGAGCCCAGATCCCAAGACTTTGAGACAAGATCCAGCTGGCAAGGTCATCATAGCTATTATCATGGCGAACAAGATCGAGGGCTCTGAGATCTTTGATGTCCCCGCCCAGCCCAAAGGTTGGCAGGCGCACTCTTCTGAGCTTGGTACCGCCAAGGATATGCAAAAGCAAGTGGAACATTTGTACCTAGACGGTTTTCTCTGAAGAGACTGACAAGGTGTCAGCATCGGATTTGACTCATTTGACTCATTTGTCTGTATTGCACAACCTTGGTAAGCAGACCGAAGGGAGACATTTTTGCTTAAGAAGAGCCTTACAAAAGCCTGGGTGAAGTTGCTACTTAAAGGGACTCGACTTGAGACTTAGCGCCCAGCGCACAAGTTGTATCTTGTGTATAGACGCATATTTACAACTATAATAGATTATAATATTAACTGTTATAGTACATTATTATATATTATATAATATTATATGAGTAATCATATAATCATATATCATTTATCTACTCACTCAGTTACTGAGTGCAAAGAAGTCCACGGCTGCTGAAGATAGACTTGTTGGTGCTATGTCGCTTCCACATATGCTGTGGACACCTGCTATACGAGCACTGCTAGCCCTGTGCAGGCCCAGACAATGGTTGCAGGCCGCTGCCTTTTTGTGTTGGTAGATTTTGCAGCTCCAATGCAGTGGGTCCAGAAGGCACTTATACAATGCAGAGGAAGAGCTGTCGGACTTGCGAAGTGCAGGATGGTGTATGTTCTGCGTCGGCCTGTCTGTTGGCCTATCGAACCTGTTTTGTGCTTTGATAGCAAAAAGACAAGCGTGCTCTCAGGCTTGAGTCAGTTTGAAAGTGTGAAGTGTTCAGCCCTCTATACTACTCCTGTACTGAGCAGATCTGAGCAGCGCAATATTTGTTGGTATTTGTTGCCAAACAGAGAGCTTGCAGTATTGAGTGCCAAGGTGGGATTTGCGTGGGAGTTTCAGGAAGTGGCTGCGCACTAGGCGATGCTCAGAGACCCGAACTGTTTGTCCGGTACCTCAGTACTACTCACTATTCAGGAATGCAGATCGATCCAGCCCATCGCAAGGTCATAATGTCAGAATCCGTCAGAAATTGGACTGAGATTGACTGAGATCCGAGAGATTCGATTTTCTGAACATCCGATGCCCTGAGGTGAAGATGCTGATTGTGGAAATTTTTGGGAGTGCCTTAGGCCTCTTTGGCGTAATCGCTCAGAGCTCAGTGGACCCACGCAGTTGGAGGAAGATGAAGGAAGTAGTTAAGTAATGTTAAGTACACGTTTGCTGTACTTTTACTCAAACACGCTCCTTTGTTAAGCTTCTCTTGAAAGTCTTGATGCAGTGAGGTGGGGATCATTCAGGCCAGTTTGGACAGTGGGTCTCTGTTTTCCAGCCACATGGAAGCACATGACAGGTGTGTTGTGGGTACTCTCAATATGTTTGGATCATATTCATTCTGCGAGTTGCAACTGACAATTCTGGGAGGCTAATGGAGCAACGTTTCCTAAGCATTTGTCCTGAGCGGCTTCACACCACAATCGCAACTGCGCATGGTAGACCAGATACTGTCGGTAGGTGCTCTGTGTGTCGGTGAAAGAATGCAACAACTGAACTTAACTAAACATCCCACCCCACAGAAGCTTGGTTTCAAAGGCCGTACAGTCTACAGACAGTATACATTGTAGGTTGAAAGTGAAGGGCACTGCCTTTAGCTGCTTTGAAGTTAAGAAAGAGAAGACATGACAGAGGACAGAGGATGACAGGCAAGTCTTACTAGACTAGACTATGCCCTGCACGGATTGAACACCAGGAAATGCACCAGCAAGCTGCATTGATGTGCTCTTGTCCTGCAAGGGCTTGACACTTTCAATGCCAGTGGTTAGAACTGCGGTGCAGCAGAAACTGGTGAGTCAGCGCCCAGTACAAAAAAGTCTTGTAAGTTGCGTTCCTGACTTCAGCGTGTCGTTGCGGGAAAAGAAAAGGAAGAACATGCAACGCCGCGCAAAATTCTCGGACTCATAGTTTGCAAAAAGATGTGCTGGCCAATTCACACCATGCTGAGGGAAAGATCAACAAATGCCGTTATTGGGGGTTGTCTCCTGCAGGACTACCAGACGCTGCTGTCCTTTGTACGACAGCCGTGGCAGCATGCAGAGGTCCAAATGCCCTCAAGACCAAGCTTTTGCTTTGGTGTCACTTGGTTCAAAGCATTGCATTCCTTTGGATTTTCACTAGCTTCGATTTCAAGCACTTCCTGACAGCGTTTGCAGTACATACGAAGACAAACTTGTAAAAATGACAAGTTCTCCAGTATCTTCACTGAGGTATCTGATGGTACCGACCATCCCATCGAACTGCAACGATCCAAAACCGAAGAGGACAGAATCTTTTGTTTTTCCTCTGGTGCCAGAAGTTTGAACAACGTTCAGGGAGTTAACTTGAGGATTCCTTTGGATCTGGCTCTTCACTTCCGCTTGAGATTCCCTTCCAATCCAAAAGCCTTGTTGGTCTCTCTCTCATGCGAATATGATTCATATGATGAACAAATGATACAGATCGTGTCGTCCTTGAACTGGTCGCTCTTTCTTGCTGATCTCCTTTGCAGAATTCCTGGCCTAAGCCAAGCGGTAGGACAGATAGGTTGGACATGTTTGCTACAGGTAGCATGGGAGTAGAATCTTGTCACGTTCTCCAGTGCTGAGCGGCGTTTTGAGGATTTGGCCCGACGTTTGCCTCAATTTCTGAAACAGAAGGATCTACAGGTGCTTGCAAGGCCGAGATTTTCCACTGTGGATTGACTGGCGTGCTGGTGGATTTTAGCGCTCTCCACTTGCTTCGTGCTCCTTCTCAACTTCGCAAATGTCTGAAACTGCAGAGCCGGATTTCTTTCGATTGAAGTGTCTATGCAGTATATATGCACATTATAATGCAGTTCAACTGCATTCAACTGCATTCAACATGTAAAGAACATCATTTTATGCTTAGTTTGAGCTTTCCACAGGGGCTCAGCTCCTGGCCCAAAGTGGGTTCAGAGCTGTGCCTTCAGCTGCCGCTGGCGATGGCAGAATGCCTAACCGAAGGCAGCTGCCTATCTCATCCTATCTCTTTAGTTCTGCAGCGTGCTGCTGCCAAAGAATGGAGCGACCCGATGGACTTTCTGAAAATGTGAACTGACAGAGATGCACGGTTGAAATAATGTTGAAATAGCTTGACAAGAGATGAAAGCTGAACTCGTAGCATTCGCAACTAGACATAGCTGGACAAGAACAACTGACTTGGTGTTGATGTGCAAAAGAGAGAGCGTCCCGAAGGTTAACAAGTACATGCTATTCCTCCGAATCGTGCTCGCTGAAATGTTCAAGGACAGAGAGGCTTTGTTTCAAGAGTGAGTGCAAGTGCCGTGAAGACCCCACCTCTTTCTTTCCCCTCTCGATAGATTAGAGATATTGGTTTGCTTTGCGCGTTTCTCTCTTGGAACTATACCGAAAGAATTTGAGACAGACTTTGCAAACCTTCATCGTATGCACAGGACTCACAACTATGTAATATAGGTGTTTGATCTAAGGTCCTTGTAAATTGTAAAGAATTATGATTGCGAGACTGGTTCATGTATGTTTATGTTGTGTTTTGAACCCCCACAAACGTGAATTTTTGAGTTCGCGAAAGTGCAATTTTATTTCGTGCAAGTTCATCGAAAGTTGTATAATGATTAAATATATTAATAATAGATATTATCATGAACAATAGTTGTACACATGCATAAGTTATAAGGATATTTTCGCGAAAATTCCACAAAAGTACGCGAGAGAGCGGGCAACGTGAAAGTGCATTTTGAAGGGGGTGGCCCAGGAGCCTTACAAATGTAATCAAATATTTACCCAACGGATTCTGTTATGCTAGCAGCATGTTTACTAGGCTATCATGAAGTAATCTATGATCATTTTGTTGCCCCACATGGATCCCGTGAAAGCTAAGCTAAACATGGAGTTCGTGAAAGTCTCGCGAAAGTTATTTTGCGAAGAATGGCCGTTTCCGGATGAAAGAATTTCGATCAACTACCATCATCTGGACATATTGGTCCAGAATCAGAGAGATGCACTTCACCATCCGTATATCCATCATATTACGTTACTGGACATACCAGAGTTCCTGCACAAAGATGACAACCGGCGCGCCAGAGCGCAAAGTTGCCGTCATGTGTTGGAGCAAACTGGGATGCAGAGTAACAGTTGAGCAACAAGAACCATGCCAAGTGCAATAGCTCTTTAAACCATTCTGACGAAACATGCACACTTGAGCCACTACTTGCGACATCTTGTGCTCATATAATATGAATTCTTGATTTTCTTGGTTGTTAAACTGATTCTGATTGATTCTACTGCATTGTGCTTGATGCTTTTGTGATGATCAAGTGTAGCTATTTCGGCATTTGTGAACGTGCAGGATCTTCGTCTGGGTGGTTGGTGTATTCATGAGGCTAACCCATGCTTGTTTTCAAGAAAAGCAAATGCTGGAGTGGAAACCTAATGTCCAAATCATGTTCCCGTTTTTCTTAGCAACTGCTCAGGTAAAAGACCGAATGGATATTCTGTCAAGGCAGTCTTGGCAGTGTTGTTTGCTACTCGTACGTGCAGTGTGCATAGACCCTGCTAGCTGTTCGAAGTATAATGTTGCCATCAATTCTCTCAGAATGTAGCAGTGCAGGTCATCATCACATCGGCACAACAGCTCATCCAGCGTGGGCATTGTTATGCAGGCAAGGGATGGCAGGGCTTCGCCGCTGAAGCATTTCGCATATCTCACAAGTGGCGCAAGTTAGTGTTTCTCAGTGTTTCTCAGGTTCACTCAAACCTGCACTCCTGACATCTGACGTTGCAGTTGACCCGAGTGCTGTGGGATGAGCTGATGCCGCAGTTGGAGCAACAACCCAAAGCTTCCCGACAAGCCACTCAGCTGTGATGGCTATACAAGATTGGGTATACAACATGTGTTGACAGTACAAGCATGTCAAAGCTGGCGCAGGCTGTTCTTCGAACCTCAGGTCATTTTAACGCTACTGGAGCCATTTGTTTGCTTAGCGGAAGGATCATTTGTTGAAGGACTTGTGCTGAGCTCAGACTCAAGATGCCCCAGCTACAGTACACCTCCTTCGAAATCACACATTTACAATCATTTACATACGTTTCTAATCAAATATATCATTTCATATCATTTCCATGCTACGTATTTAACATGTGGAATTCCAATCAGGATCCTGGAGTCTAAGAGTTTGATTACTTCATTCCTCGGCGCAGACTCAAACAAAATATTGTGACAATATTCCCAATGACCTGAGCGAAGGTCCGCAGTATTCACGAAAACATTTTAAAAAAGCCCGGGGCTTGGTGTGACGGCTACTTTGAAAGTTGTTGAAAGCACAGATTTCATGCCATCACTTTCAAGGAGATTCATGGAGATTTAAAGGATTTGTCGGGGAATGTGCCTAGCTCCTTGGTATATATCTCGGACAGCTTCTCGGACTCAGCAGGCACAGCAGCAGCAGTGCCGTACTGTCCAGCAGTCTGAACCTAGATTGGCCGGGCCACGTCGGCAGTGCGACGAATGGCCCTGGAACTGGTGAAATCTCCAAGCAAGGCCTGGCAACGTGCAATGGCTCTGCAAGAGAGGCGAATATAGATTCCCCCAACAGGCTTGTACACTCTGAGATCCACTTTGCTCAATTTCGAAAACAACACATCAGGACCTTCCAAACAAAACCCCACAAACCAAACCAAAGCCCGACGAATGTATCGCATGACATAAGCCAAAGTGGGTCTCTCAAATCGGGAATCCAAAGTGCAAAGTTTGGTCAAACCACTGCCTGCATTCTGAAAAGGAAACATGAAACGAAAATCCCTAACCAACCAAATAGACAACTCCTCAAAACTCAGCGGATAGACCCCTGAGGCCTCATCCACATGACTGGCAAGGTGGTCAACCAAGGCAAAAATAAAATCAGCCGGCAAGTCCACAGGCCGACTATCGGAGTTGCGAATCAAATCCCTGGCATCAGAATTGTACAAATCGCCAAAAGATGGCTGCAACTCATCAACAAAACCAAACAGTGAAACGTCATTGCTCTCAGGTGGCTCAGTCAGAACTTCAGGCCCGTTGGCCGCAACTTTGAAATAGAACGCCTGCAGCTGCCGCATGCGTGCCGCGCTCTGCTCAAAGTGAAAGTTCATGTCATCACGAAGACGGAGGAACTCCCTTGGGCTACAAACATTGTACTGCCCAATGGCAAAATCAATTCTATCATTCCAGCATCTAACCCAGTCTTCAAATGGATCCTGCAACTTCGTCTCATCCAAATGACTGGGAACCCAATGTGGCACAAGTTCAAGCTGTTCAAGTTGTTGCAACAACAGATGGATATGCTCCCAAATGTCCTGGTTGGACTAATCTCCTATCTCCCCAGACCGGAGAATATGAGAAATACCATCGGCTACATATCTTGAATCTGTCCACAGGTGCATGCTGACCTCAAAGTGAATCTGCCATTGAATGGCGCTCCATGCCGCCATCAATTCTGCCCGGTCGCTCGATTGGTTGAGCCCTGGCACGTGTCCCATTGCAACTACCTCGCCAGTAGTCGCATTCATGCACCCCCATGCCGCCAGCTTAGCCGGCTGTGTTGCCGCAGTGGCCGTACCATCAGTGAAGATGTGTTGGACCCCTGCTGATGGCTGGGAGGTAAAACAACTCGTAGTATCTGAAAGGAGAAGCAATGCCCTCTTCCAAGCAGCCGCAAATGATGACCTTGGTGGTATATAAAGGAGCCACTGCATTTTGGTACCGGCGGGCTCCTACAGTTAATAGTGCAGACAACAGACGGAAAAAATCGAGTAAGCTGGGAATCTCGCAACAGAGGGACAATAAATCCTTGGGGCACCGACGATGCTTCAGAGCTGAAACGTGTGAAACTTCTTGTAGAAAACAAAAGCGCATATTTAAGTGCTTTTGCCGCACAAGCAGCTTTCAGGGCGCCGCCGACAGACCCAGTGGCATCAACAAAACTTAAACTTGAACATATGATATGACAACAATTAAGAACATCAGAAGCTTTCTACAGAAATCCGACCTTTGCACAGGTTGTTTCGCCTCCGCCACTGCTCTCTCACACGCACACATGTTTGATCAACAATAAGTGTGAGCCTTTTCCTTCACCCTCCTATAGTCAAGCTTTCTTATATACGAATGCACACTTTTGTAGCCCTCTACAGTTCCTGCATATAAATGTAGAGGATAGGTAGGTTGAAACACCTGAGCACATGCGCATTCGTATGTCGTATGAATGCATGATGCATGTGATTTTGCGAGATAGACCTAGGTAATCATAAACGATAGACATTCAATTTCATTTGACTGTAGAATCATATTCATAAGAAATGAATCAAGTTGGTTCGGTTTCAGATAGTGTGGCTTGGAGAGTCCTAGGTGTCCCTGGGAACTCCTTGTTCCCTTGAGCAACAGACTGCCCTGGCCTCAAAGACGGCCTCAGATTTCCAGCAAGAAGCAGAGCTATGGAGAGCTGAGGCTGGAAGCTGCTGCACGGACGGACATCTTCCAGAAAAATCGCGAAGCAAAACCCCTCAGCTCTTGATGCTTTGCGATGCCTTGCGATGCTTTGCGACTTTACTTGTGACTGTGAACTGTGTGATGAACTGGAGCCTCCTGGGCTATGCTGGAGCAGCTTGCAATTAGAGTCCAAGGCATTATATGAAATGGTTGATGAGATGGAGAAGAGGGCAAGGCCAAAGCTTTCCTCTCTACTTTCAAGCTGGACACTATTCTTATGGATCTTATAGATCTTATAGCACTTCTGGCGCAAGTATCGGCGTTTTAGCAAATGTTACAAAATGCTGGCTCAGCTGAGACAAATCTGCAGGGAACCTGCTCCAGAAACGCTCTTGCTTGACGAGGCATTGGTCAACTTGAGAAAATTGGACATGCGACTGAAAGATCTTTCTGTGAGAAATGAGACCCTGTTTTTCTTCCCCATTTTCTCTCTCTCTCTCTCTCTATTGGCAAGCTATATAGTTACAGCGAGTTGTACTCCTTTCCTGCCTTTTTCAGGTGGCTCTGTGTTCGGATGTCTCCGCTTTACTTTGCTTCTGCCCCTCTGTACTGTGCTGGTAGAGGCTGAAAACATCTCTGGGGCTAACCACCCTACATCGGAGGCGCCACAGACTTTTATCCGAAAAGACTTCTATGACATGCATAGCTTTCTGAGGAAATGCTGTAGTGATCTGCAGTGTATGCAGTGTAGAACTGGTGGCAGCTCAAAGGATTGAGTTGGAGTGGTTTTGAAGGGAAAAAGTCCGGCAAAGCCAAGAGCAGGCTAGCAAAGGCTAGCAGAGCAGAAGTTGGTGCACAGAGTTACGGGATATCGTCAGGCTAAAAAGCCTTCAAAGCGGAAGAGGACCAAGCGCCTCAAAGGTGACAAGGCACACTTGGTATTCTCACATCGCTTCCTTTTGCGACGCCATATTGTGTCACTGCAACCTTCAGGATCCTTCAGTGCGATGAGTTCACTACATTGCGGATAGTCAGTCACCTGTCAACTTGCTGATCTTCACACCAGGTTAAAAAAGCTTCCAGCCAAATGTCTCCACTGATGCTTCCAAAGGCAAGGCATTATCTAGTGATTAGCTGTACCTCACTGGCCTGCCTCATGCCCTTGTTTGTCTCCGGCTTTTTGGATGCAACGTTCGTTGTCAAGCTGGGCCCTGGGTAGCCTTGCCGGACTTCGTCATCTTGAGCTTCCGCTTTCAGAGACAGTGAAATTGAGGGGCAATGAATTGCAATCTTTAAAAGACACACGCAGACATGTTGGCAAAGCTTTTTCAAAAATAGTGGAAGACATCTTCATATAATTTCAATATATTTCAATTAATTTCATATATAGAATCATTGCAAGTAATGGAAGATGTCAATGCTGTGAGCCTGCTGCTCGTTGCAGGCCGCTGAACCGTCAGTGCCGGCATTCAAAGAGCACTCTGAGCACTCATCCAAAAGGACCATGTACGTGGAAACCTGTAAACAGCAGTGTGAATAGCAGTGACTTTAGCAGTGTACCTCAAGCGTAGGTGTGGTCAATGCTGAGCCTATTTGAGTCTCACGCTTCCCTTTCAAGCCAAGCTTTTTGATCACTTCGTATCAGATATAAGTAGCGCAAGTAGTCCGAACGTCAGCTTCTCATTGCAAATGACCTTGGAGTTTACAAGCAAGCTCAGGAGGTATCCCAAAGTAGACAGATACGATTCTCTGTGCTGATGCAAGATAACTAAAATGGAAGAATTCCATAGAATTCCACTCTATCACCGTCTATCACCGTGTCACCAAAACGGATGAATGTCTTCATGAAAACGGATCACGCGAAGGAGTCCATCAGACCTGGCCCATCAGGCAGCTCTTTCGCAAACGCGCAAACACGTTCGACTTCAAGTGCAAGACTACGGTGTTGGCCAAGTCATAAATGTCATAAATCTCATAAGAATCTACATATTGACAAGATTTGACAAGCTCCAGATCTCTGAATAAGACTTTCGGTACTGCAGCGATCCATTTCATGGTGCGCAACCTTTTTATTGCCTTGAAACTCCTTGCACAGGTGAAGAGAAAGACAAAGAGAAAGGCCTGTCATTGAAATGTTCAGATAGGATCGTGACTTACTTCCCATCTGCATATTGCTGACGACGATATTATATTTGTGAAAACTTGGACTCTTTGGATCATACCAGGTGGTTACCAGTAGCCAAGACAGTCCCCAGCTTTGCTTCTCGAGTGTAGCTTCTTTGTGTTGTTCTTCCCAGTGTTGAATCCAGCTCACCACTGTTTGACATTTCAAGCTTGATTGCACTGTTGCCGATACTTACTTATTCATGTCGAGGTGTTTTGACGACGTTGGAGGATGAATTTAATTTTTGCATACTGTTGCATTCCATTCATTCACCTACATACACACATAACAAAGACAGTTGAGCTCGTTTCAGAGATCGTTTCAACATGTTTCAACCAAGATTGCCAGGTCAAAACTGCTGCTGCCAATGCCTCCGGGAAGAGTGAGTGCCCATCCTAGAGATCCCAAGCTGAGCGACTTTGATGGGCTGCCTATCTTTCCATATCTTTCCATATCTTTCCATATCTTTCCATATCTTTCCATATCTTTCCATAGATCCCTCAAGTGCCTTCGGCGAATTCCTTTGAGGATTTTGAGGTTTGGGAGACAGAGGGATTGAGCTTTAAAATGCTGCAACAGTCACAGGTTTTTGAGAACATTTGAGGATGCTTTTGTGAAAGTAGAAACGGAACCTGATCCGAGAACACTATGCCTTGCAAAAACATCCTAGGCAAGATGCTCAAAAAGCTCAAGAAGTGTCGTTTAATCCCCTGGACAAGGCATGGCTGGTCGCGGTCAAGTGAGGGTAATGGATTAGGCTTATGCCTAAAGATTGGTTACTTGACTTCAGCGAACTTTCTCATTTTGCAATATACATATATCATATATATATATAATATAGATACACATATACAAATTGCATACATACGGTACATGTACATGATTCACATTTGTATGATATATCACTTTATATCACCGTATTATATACTTTATATATGAAGGTAGACATGAGATGAGAGAAGGTGTGGCACGGTTTCCCATGTTGGACGTGAATTTGCCTACAACGGTTTCTCCGTCCTTGCGCAAACTTTTAACGTAGTACGTCACAAGTGAGCAGACAAAAAAGATTGCTCTTTGACAGTTTCCAGACTGCACTGGACTTGCAGCACTCCAAGACATTGCAAAATGGACGGTAGTTGATAGTTATTAGTATTGTTTAAACGGCTTCCTGATCACTTTTTCAGCCGACCCTACACCCTCTTGTTCATAGATTGGATTTTCTATGCAAACCTTGGAGGTCGTCAAGTACTCCGAAGATGCTCCAGTGTCGCAGATGAAGGCACCCCCATCCGTTTGTTTTTTTTCTTGTTTGATTCCAGGAAGTGTGTAGAGACATTTGCCAACATCAATCAGTAAGATGAAACGATGCGATAGAAGACAGACACGTCAAGTCACGTTCATCTTGCAGGGTTCAGCAGTGAAGCGGAAGAGGCGAAGGCTTTGGAAGCACATTTGACAGAACATACAGAACCAATGAAGCTCTCACGACCACTGTGCATCTCTCAAGCTGCTCAGACTCCAATTTTCATAGGTGATGTGGGCTGAGGATGCTTTGTCACACTATTGTCCCGTGTAGTCATGACTTGTCATCGCGGTCAGGCTTCAAGATCTTGAAAGCACACCGGGCACAGACCCAAAGCAGGGCAAGAAGAGCAGCAAGAGGAGGAAGAAGTGAGCATAGGATTCAGGGCTGTGCAGCCTTTGCGTGGGGCGATGCAGGGCAATGTGGTACGCTGACAACGCGCACATGAAAGCAGAAGCCGCTGAGATTCAATATGCAGAGCCTGCGTGCTGATGAGATCTGAGGACGAGGACCTCGAAGTTTTGCGCAGAGATTGCTCGGACGTCACAAACATTTGGACATGTGGGCCACTCATCATCGCCATGCCCACAATACATACAATACACTGCTGCAGCTGCAGTAAAATTGTTGGCCACAAAAAAAGGCGGACACATCCTGGGGGGGAGGGGTCAGTCAAAGAATGGCCTCTGGCCTGTGGCATGTTTTGCTTTGTTCAGAAGCGCAAGAACTCTTGTGCAGGGTTTATGTTTCTCCGGATTTAGGATGCTGTTTTCACGTGTTCTTCACCTTTGAAGCCAATTTCGGTTCACAAGAGCGACCAACAAGCTGAGCGCATTTCAGACTGGTAGAATTCAGTTTCTGCAAGTGACATGATTTGGGGAAGCTACTGCTCATCTATCTCATTTTGCCAATAGATCTTACAAGGCCAAGACAGATACCAGGGCCTATCATGATCATGCTCGACGAAGCCGCCGAAGCCTCTGTATCTGTATCTCTTTGAAGTTCCTCCCAACTCCCAACATTGAATTCCAACAGAAACCATCAGAAAACCATTCTCGCTACAAGCGCACCAGCTTCAGCTCCACGTGTGCAGTGGCATGCAGTCGAACGATGACGGGCACAACTTTTGGATGCAATCCTCCAGGGTGGGCTGCTGATCATGCAGCCTTATTGAGATGGACAAACTTTGTCTATTTTTGTTGTGTTTGATAATTTGATTCAATATTATGATTCAATATGCAAATATATTCAAATGTATTCAATGCTACTCAAGCCTTCACTCTCAGGTGTGCTTTTATGCAGCTTACGGCACAACAGGTGTTGCAGCAGCACCGGTCTCAGCTTCTTTTTGCTCCGAGATGAGCAAATTAGCATGATGTGCCTTCTGGATCCTCACGCCTTCACGCGAAAATATATCGATATATATATATATATAATGTATACATGTATATATATATATATATTTGTTTTGTTGACAGGTGTGGTTTGCCTTCATCAACTTCCTTGGGGATGAGCTGTACCATCCCTTGGATTTCTTCTCAAACAAGATGCGCACGAGGCACCCCAAACTTGACATAGATTGAACTTCGCAATGCCTCTTTTGCCAGGCCGTACTGGTACTTGCTGGTGAAAATCTCAACAAGTCACAATAAGTCACAGTATGTCTCAATCTCCGAAGAATCGGGTGCTGAATGTTGAACATGTAACACAATCAATTGCATACTCTGACTTGAGGTCCTTGCAGCGACGGGCGGTCTCTTAGGCATAGATATGGTGAAGATCTTAGCCCATTTGGATCCTTTTGTTTTTTTTAGGTTTTGCAATGTTTCTCATGACTTTCATCAGGCTTTGCATTTTGACATTTCTTATCATGTCTTGAAGGCCTCGAAATCCCCTGAAAAAGTCAATGCTCACTTCGCCTCCAAGGCAAGTGGCTATTTGGACGAGCTTTCAAATACTCTGCCAGAACTTGTAGTTTGCACAAATCTGCAGGTCCGTCGGGGAATCGGCAGTGCAGGAAAGAGTAGGATGGAACAATCAAGTGAGAATTCGTTCGTTCGAAACATGCAAAAGCCAGGCAACCAGTGTGACCAATTGCGCGATGACCGGTTGACCTCTGCAGAAAAGTACCTACCTACTCTCTTCGGAATTTGACAGGGCTTCGTCCTCGTGGGAAGAATGATGCTTTCTGAATCTGCCAGAGCCCATAGAAACCTGTGCACTACAGACTGAAGATACTTCAGGATCTTCATTATTCTGATATACAATGATATATAATACATAGTATATACTTTATATATATATGTTATATTATTATAGTTATAACTGTATTGAGATATACATATATACTATGTATTATATATACTATGTATTATATATACTATGTATTATATATATACTATGTATTATATATATACTATGTATTATATATATACTATGTATTATATATACTATGTATTATATATATACTATGTATTATATATATACTATGTATTATATATATATACACTATGTATTATATATATTATGTATTATATATATACTATGTATTATATATATATTGTAAATATACAGAAAATAAGCATATTTCAACCATATGACGATGCTAGTTTTGCGTCGGGGTGTGAGTGAGGCTGGTGCAGCAATGGTGACAATGCTTGCCCACATGATCATCACGAAGGGCCTGGCATGGAGCCTCAGAGTAACTCGCATTGAGAAAGGAAACAGGATCTTAACTCAGCACATGGATCTTACAGGATCTTACAGGATTCAACTCAGCTTAGGTTGTGATCGTAACAGTTCCTACTGCACCCTTCATGCCTGGCGTGACTCTGGCAAGTCTAGGGTGCCAATTTTTCCTTTTTGACACTGTCAGACACTGCCAGCTGGGGTAGGCTTGTTTCCATATGTTTCCATAGTGTGTTGCTCCTGAGCCTTGACTGTTTTGCAATGAATATTCTTGATCTACGAAGAAGCGCGACAGGCGGTATACTCGAATGCATACTTCCTGCTGTACATGTTCTTTGTTTTCTTCCTGAAGGTCCTTCGGACATAGAATGCTCCATCAAAACTGCCAATTGAAGCAAAGGAGAAATTGCATCAAGTGACATCAAATCGCACTATTGAACTTCACGATTTATCAGGTTGCGGCAGAGCGTCATGCACGTACACTGCTCAGAGTCCTTAAAAGTTTGTACATTTGCATCAAGGCCTTCTGTACTCATTCCACTTCCCAGTGCAGAGAATTTACTGCAGGATTTGGGATCCTGAAGTCTCATGATTCGCTAGTTGTGTTGCCAAGGTTATTTGGTGAGAATAGAGTACCATTCCAAGTTTGTTTTGAAAGATGGGGCCACGCCCTCAGCTGACTGTCCATCGTGGCAACCTTTTACGCTCATGAAAAATGTAGAGGACACGTGATGACAAACATGTGCAAATGATAATGATTGCACACATGTGTGTATAGTATGCCTACAGGGGACTTACTTTTCTTTGTATTGAGTTCACTGCTATCCGTAGCCATCTCCGAGAAGATTATGCTGTTTGCACCTTCACATATCTTCACATCACAAAAAGGCTTGGGATTGGTGGGGTAGGCGGGGGTGGGTAGGAGTGCAGGGTGGGTGTGGGTGGGGTGTGTGATTTAGAGTAACATGTGCTGCTATTAAGAACATGACAAAGTTATCCAACCATAGTATACAAAACATCATCCGCACCGCCCACCCCCAAGAAAGCAAGCAAACGATTGAACAAACTAAGCAACAAAAAAGTGATGCACAGTGAAGCACCCAGCGATCATTTTCACCAAGACCAACAAACCAAGCAGAAAACGCGCGCACACATGGACAAACACAAAAGAGATTGGAAGAACATAGAAGCTTCGACTGAAAGCCGCGAGCTGGCAAACAAAGTTTAGCAGCACAGACACAGATGTCACAGATGTTCATACAGAAGGATACCAATACAATATAATAATACAATATAATACAATATAATACAATATATTACAATATAATACAATATAATACAAAAGAATACAAAATAATACAATATAATACAATACAATATAATACAATACAATACAATATAATACACTATAATACAATACAATTCAATATAATACAATATAATACAATATAAACTAATGCAATGCAATACAATATAATACAGTATAATAGAATATAATACAATACAATACAATATAATACACTATAATACAATACAATTCAATATAATACAATATAATACAATATAAAATAATGCAATACAATACAATATAATACACTATAATACAATACAATTCAATATAATACAATATAATACAATATAAAATAATGCAATACAATACAATATAATACAATATAATAGAATATAATACAATATAATACAATATAATTATATTACAATATAATACCATATGATACAAAATAATACAAAATAATACAAAATAATACAATATAATACAATATAATATAATACAATACAATATACATAATACAATACAATATGATACAATACAATACAATATAATACAATTCAATATAATACAATATAATACAACAGCAACAGTATTATCAGTTTAGACAGTTTTTTTTTGTTTTTTGCGAGAATGACTTCATGCTTCACAGGCCGAGCGTGTCCCAAAGCTATGGGTGGATAGCCTCAGCTGCGTGTATTTTGAACATGCAGTCAGAAAGCAAAAAACGAAAAGATCAAGTGAATCCAAGTGAATTTAAGTGACTCAAAGTCTCAAAGTGGGCGACTTTCCAGTAATTTGAATGAAAATGCGAACGACTCTTTTTCAAGGCGCAAACGATTCTACGTGGTTGTCCCATTCTACTTGTTGTTACTGACATCTTGTTCCTGGCCGTGTGCATCTCAGCTGGTCGTGAGTCTCAATGGTCGAAAGGGAACAGGAGTGATGAGAGTGTAGACACCTTGGGGCGGCGCACCTGGGGCCCCTTGGGGGAAAAGAAGAAAAAGAGATCTGTAGATACTAGATACTTGTACTTGAAAGATCTCTGAAGTGTCATTGGATTTGAATGGATTTGGTGCTGTTTGCCATTGCATTGCACTTGGTTATCGAGAGTGGACCTACTTTTTGAACATCTTTCCCAGCTATTCATATCTACTTAAATCTATTCAGAACAAATTGCGTTTTCATCTACAACTTGCTGAATCTGGATCGAGTGTATGAAAACGATTGTCAAGCTGGTGCCGGAGCAAAATTCATATGTAATGTGTTTGTTTGCAAATGTTTGCAAATTTATCGCGAAAGTAAGGTCTATTTGATTTCTCGAGGAGAGTGCCCCAGCCATATTTCCTTCAATGACTCAGGCTCCAGAACAGTTTTCACGGCTGAATATGCAGGTACGGAAAGACCATCACCATTCTATACTTCATCATTGCGTTGCACTGAGCGTCTTATCTGTTATCACAACGCACACTACAGAAATCACTGGAATCCTGATGATTCAAGCGTGGACAATCAACTGTTGCCACTGTTGCCCGCCATTCTCATCGCATCCAAATGCAGTGACATGCCAGCCCCAGGCTTTGGCCATGCTGTTGGGCTGTTGCTCCCAGCAGAAGCCCAAGAATAAATCTTGCACCAAGTGGTGTGCCGTTGGGAATTTGTCAAGAGCCCAACACTTTTGGATACTTTTGGAGTCATTTGGATTAGCTGGACAAAGTCGGACAAAGGTACAAATCTGGCACCACCGTGGAGTGAGCTTGGTCCCACACAACTTCCAGTTTGGCAGTAGATTCAGGATGATTCAGAGACCTCAAATTTGGGATCTCACTCAAGCATACTCGGCAGCCATTGCCTTCATCAATACGATGAAGGCCTGAAGTGTGTGCTGCCCGCAATGCCCGCATCAAAGAAAGATGTGGGGAAAATGTACGCTCCAAGTCTTCGCAAGTCTTGCACAGCACAGATCACTTTCAGATCTTAAACTGTGCTTGAAACGCTTACTGTAAACTTGCAGCAGCTGATGAATGCTTTGACATTTTTGACCGTGGTGCCGATGAGTTTCTCAAGCAACAACCTTCTAAAACCTGCCCAGATACAGCAGGGGCAATGACATGTGCGGCACTTGCTTGGAGCAGAACATGAAACATCATGAAACTCATTGCAACAATGGAAGATGTGCAAGAGGATTGAGAGGCAACTCCACCATTTCGCTCTCTCAGTGAAGACGTTTTGAAGGGAGCAACAGCTTTCCTCCGATAGGACGGGCAAACATTCAGCAGCACAAAGCTACCGTCAATACCATTGCCACGGAACGCGGTTTCACAGGCCTGCAGCTTTTTATTTGCGGTGAATCTCTGTGACGTCCTGTGACCCAATATTGGTTTGGGATGGTTTGGGGATGTTTCCTGACAGCCCGGCTGAGTTCTTCCCGTGCACAGGCACCTCTGATTCTAGAAGGTCGTAGAGGAAAAGTGCCCTTTGAGAAGAACCAGTTTGAAAATATGTTTAAACTGTTTAAACCTGTTTTCCTTTGCTTCTGCAGAAAGATTGCGTTGTTAGGACTGTATAAGAATTATAAGATTTCCAAGGCTTTTGCATCCTGATGCTTCGTGTGCTAATGTGCATGCTATAAGCCTTGTTTTGGGGAGGGGGTGTACCATATATATATATACACATATATATATATAAATCATATAAATATATATTAATATATAATATACTGTATACAATATGTATATGTATATATAATTATAGATATGTGTTTGAAGATGGAAGTGTGACAGTGCAGATTCCAGGCCGCCATGACTGATAATCAGACTGATAGGCTGTCTTAGACAAGCGGGAGCACTCCAATGAACAAGCATGAAAAACAACTAACTATATAGGTGACCATGTCAGTTGAGTCCCAGCACAGCTTTCATTCAGTCTTCGATTGTGGAAGTGGAAGGTGGCCATGGTGATAGCGACGGGCCTTAAGACTCAGAGTTCCTCGGCGACGGCAGTGGGAACATGTGGGAACTCAGCGTCAAACTCTCAGCGCGCAAGGCTACGGAAGACGGCGACCAAATGCCCATCCGGCGAGTCATTCCACAACGCATCTCTTGGATCCTTTGAGAAAAACTGAACACAAAGCAAATATATATCATATGATGTTGTTTTCCTTTGGAAGAGCCTTCTGGCATGCTCTTTGTTCCCGGGCATGTGACGTTTTGATATCATTTGGTATGCCGTTCACTTGCAGGAAAAGGAAGCGTGGTAATGCTTAACCCTATGTGGTAAGTCCTAATCCAAACTATAGCCAGGTGGGTTTTGGATTGGTCGCATTGATGCTTTGGAGCGTTGCGCGGTGTGGTACTGCCCTCAATCGCCCTGAAGCCTGGGCTTCCACATTTATCATGTGGACTTGATGCAGATGGCATTTGTCGAAAGGAAAGCTGTTTCACTGTTTGACTGACTCTGTAGTGGTCATCAACTTGCAAGGTGTTGACCTCGTGTTTTGCGCGGTATTTGCCTTAGATTGCTTGGACTGAACAGACTTTGCAAAGGGCTGGACACCGTCCCTTGGAGCTTTGTCAGGCCTTCTTTGAGCCTTCACACTTGACAGCCTTTGAATGCATTTTTTGATATTTTTTGCATTTTTTTTGTGGTCCCCGAAATACAAATATCAGAATTGTCCACCCTCATGTCGGCACGGGTTCCAGGGTCTTTGCTTACGTGTCTCCGATTTCGCTTTTCTTTACTTTATTTTTTCCGTGGGTGCGTTCAGTAGGTTGTGCATTCAATGTTTGTGTCTCTCAGTTTTCCCCAACAGTCAATTACTTTCTTCGAGTGATCCCCACCCTGACACATTATTCCGACATACCATCTGGAAGTATATATTAGATATATATATATACATATATATATAACTACATATATCATATTCTATCTGACATTCCTTCTGGCATATACTCTGACATTACTCTGTTATTCTATCTGGCATCTATTCTGATATTCTTCCTGGCATTCTTTCTGACATTCTTTCTGGCATCTTATCTGGCATCTATTCTGACATTATTTCTGACATTCTTTCTGACATTCTTTCTGGCATTGTGTCTGGCATCTATTCTGACATTCTCTCTGACATGGGCACTGCTGGTGCCCACTGAGATCTGGCACTCACGGTTGAGGTCTGGCAGTGCCCACTGAGATCCGGAGCTCGCAGTTGAGGTCCGGCAGTGCCCACTGAGATCCGGAGCTCGGTTGAGGCCCGGCAGTGCCCACTGAGATGTGGAGCTCGCAGTTGAGGTCTGGCAGTGCCCACTGAGATGTGGAGCTCGCAGTTGAGGTCCGGCACTGAGATCCGGAGCTCGCAGTTGAGGCCCGGCAGCGCCCACTGAGATGTGGAGCTTGCTGTCGACATCCGGAAGTGCCCATTGAGATCTGGAGCTCGCAGTTGAGGTCCGGCAGTTCGCAGTTGAGGTCCAGCTCGGCTCGACCATGGGCTCCTCCGCAAGCATCTTGCATTACACCCTCGACACCGACAGCTGATTGAGTCATACCTATCTCCTTGCCTGCCACAAAATTGTTGCATCGAAGTCGACTATTCAACACGAGCGTCGGACAGCCTCGGCAGGAAGTACTGCTGCACCATTGGGGGACAAAGAATGCCTGTGCCCACTGAGATCCAAAGCTCGTGGTTGAGGTCCGGCACTGAGATCCGGAGCTCGCAGTTGAGGGCAGCGCCCACTGAGATTTGGAGCTGGTGGTTGAGGTCCGGCAGTACCCACTGAGATCCGGAGCCTCGCAGTTGAGGTCCGGCAGCGCCCACTGAGATTTGGAGCTTGCGGTTGAGGTCCGGCAGTGCCCATTGAGATCCGGAGCTCGCAGTTGAGGCCCGGCAGTGCCCCCTGAGATTCGGAGCTCGCAGTTGAGGTCCGGCAGTGCCCACTGATATTTGGATCGCCCAGTTGAGGTCCGGCAGTGCCCAATGAGATCCGGAGCTCGCAGTTGAGGCCCAGCAGTGTCCGGCAGTGCGAGCTTGCGCAATCGAAACGCGCTTGGACATTTCACAAGAGCAACTTTACACAGAAATTTACAGGTAAAATGCCGACCAGAGCATCCTCCTGGGAATTTAGCTTAAAAAGTTCAGGACATGATGTCTTTAAAAAACTGCATTTTTTAAGGGACATACCTGGCCGGCAAAAAAAAAGTTCTATTTTTTAAGGAAATCCTGTTGTTTGACGGTCTCCTATTCTTTAAGAGGCCTTCCTTGGATCCTCCTGGGAATTTAGCCTAAAGAGTTCAGGACATGATGTCTTTAAAAAACTTTATTTTTTAAGGGACATACCTGGCCGGCCAAAAAAAACAGTTGTATTTTTTAAGGAAATCCTGTTGTTTGACGGTCTCCTATTCTTTAAGAGGCCTTCCTAGGAAGATTCTAGGAACTTGTTTTTTGGATTTTTTTGGTATGTTTGGGATTGTGTGTCAAATGCCTGCCGCTTCTGGAGATGCTCACAAACGTCAGAGTGAATGATAGTGAATGCATGTAAATGGCGGAAAGCCCTGCCCGAGGACTTCGACCCCAAAACGGGGAGGTACAACGAGGAAGACACAACGGGGAGACCCCAAGGGGAGACCCAAAGGGGGGAAAACACAACGGGAAAATGATGCAAAATGAGAAATTGCACTTTTATAAATTTAAAAAAATAATTTCTATCAATAAATTATGTCCACAATGAGGTTTAAAACATTCAGTGGGTCATTCTCAAGGTATTGGAATGAAATTTTGAAAGTTTTTTTTTGTTTTTTTGGTCAAAATATGTTGAAAAATGAGATTTCTATCCATAAATTCAATCCACAATGAGGTTTAAAACATTCAGTGGGTCATTCTCAAGGTATTGGAATGAAAATTTGAAAGTTTTTTTTTTGGTCAAAATATGTTGAAAAATGAAATTTCTATCCAAAATCTTAAAAATATTCAGAACATTTCATGCTTGACTTCAACTTGGGTATCCAATTCTTTAAAGGGGCACCCCTTGGTGTGCAACTTGGGTCTCCAATTTTTTAAAGGGACATACCTGGCTACTGTGTTGCAATCTTGGTTCATTGGGGTTAGATTCTTTAAGGCTGAAATTTGCCCTGGTTCGCATTCTTTAAGAGGCTACCAGTGGTCCCTTAAAGATTCAGGGGTCAGGGTCGGAGGCCGAATTGCAAGGGGGATACCAGAGCAAACAAAACGCGCGGTGCAAGCCTTGTGCGAACCGGCGCTGTCGAAACGCACATGGGGGTGTCACAAGAGCCATCTTATGCGGAAATTTACAGGGAAAATGCCGCGCCCCAGAGTGAACGCTTCGATCAAGCACCGGCCTTAACTCCTACCATAACAACCCCTCAATATCCTCAATGTGGACACACAGTTTGGGGAAAAACATTAGGAATTCATGTTTTTCATATTTCAAGTGCAGTCACGTTTCTTTGGATATCGCCCTGTCGACATTTCATTGTTACATCCCAAAAGTGAGCAGTGAACCGAAAAACCGGCCTGCTCATCAACAACGTAAGACGTCTTATCAAGAACGTGAACAGATCCCCTACCCCACCCCACCGCAAGACCTTCAACGTAACATCAACAACGTAAGACGTCCTATCAAGAACGTCAGCAGATCCCGCACCCCACCCCATCCCAAGACCTTCAACGTAACATCAACCACGTAAGACGTCCTATCAAGAACGTCAACTGATCCCCCACCCCAACCCAACACAGGACCTTCAACATCAACAACGTAAGACGTCTGATCAAAAACTTCAGCAGATCCCCGACCCCATCCCAAACCAAGACCTTCAACGCAACATCAACAAAGTAAGACGTCCTATCAAGAACGTCAACAGTTCCCCCACCCCACCCCACCCCAAGTTCTTCAAGGTAACATCAACAACGTAAGACGTCCTATCAAGAACGTCAACAGATCCCGCACCCCACCCCACCCCAAGTTCTTTAACGTAACGTCAACAACGTAAGACGTCCATCAAGAACGTCAACATCCCCCACCCCAACCCAACCCAAGACCTTCAACGTAACATCAACAACGTAAGACGTCCTATCAAGAACGTGAGCAGATCCCCGAAATTTTAAACGTAACATCAACAACGTAAAACGTCCCATCAAGAACGTCAACAGACCCCCCACCCCACCCCAACACAAGACCCACAGCTCAACAGAAACAACCCTTCCAAGGGCTGCGTATCAGCCACATGCCAAAAACAACTGCTCCTTTTTTGTTCAGGAGTTGCAAAGGTGCTTATGTTAAGTGAAACGAATGATGGAAAAATCAAAGCATCCACTAAGGTGAGCAGACAACCGCCACGAGTTCCAGAGGCGTCAGCGGTCGGACGAAAGGAAACTGACATGGCCAGAGTAGGTTTGGGTAACTTTGGCTTCTTTTGCCAGCTCTTTTGTCAGTTCTTTTCTCTTTCTGCTCCAGTGTCGTGCTTCAATCCTTACAAGAGCAACTTAGGGTTGACAAGGTTTCAAGGAAGCCAGATGAATTTCATTGTCTGAATCAAAAATGGTCCCTATATTTATGAATATTAATGTACTGTATAATGATGTATAATGATGTATAAAGTGTATATATACATACAATTAAATACATACATACATACATACATACATACATACATACATACATACATACATACATACATACAGGCAAGTGATGTGTTAGCCCATAGATACATACATACATACATACATACATACATACATACATACATACATACATACATACATACATACATACATACGTAGATACGTAGATACGTAGATACGTAGATACGTAGATACGTAGATACGTAGATACGTAGATACGTAGATACGTAGATACGTAGATACGTAGATACGTAGATATACGTAGATACGTAGATACGTAGATACGTAGATACGTAGATACGTAGATACGTAGATACATAGATAGATGCATAGATGCATAGATGCATAGATACGTAGATACGTAGATACGTAGATACGTAGATACGTAGATACGTAGATACGTAGATACATAGATACATAGATAGATGCATAGATGCATAGATGCATAGATACATAGATACATAGATACATAGATACATAGATACATTGATACATAGATACATAGATAGATAGATAGATAGATAGATAGATCGATAGATAGATAGATAGATACATACATACATACATACATACATACAGTAATAGTCGTGGATTGCTGGAAGGTAGCGCTGCACGCAGCCAGCAAGGACACCTTCGATCCTTGGACTGCTCGGGAACCTGAGGGACCATTTTCAAAGCAACGCAGTTGAGCGGTTGCATCTACAGTAATCTATTCCAACAAGTATGTGAGTAAAGATGTGAATTATAGAATGTAAATGTCTGAATGTATGTCAGTACATGTATGAGTCCACATGTAAGCCATATGTCAGAGTACATGTCAGCAAATATGCCAGTCAAAATGCCAGAATATGTCAGTGCAGATGTCAGGGAACATGTCAGAATACATGTCTGTATACACACATATGCGCGCGCACACACATACACATAATAAACACATTAACATATGCATATAAGATCACGTATATAAGTATATACTGATATCCTGTACATGTCACCATCTATGTCAACGATAACTTCAGTACATATGTCAGTTATGTCAGTAAATATGTCGGTGACTTTGTTTGTTACTAGTAGATGTGCCACAGAGATGTTGCTATTTACAGTTGAACCTGCTAGTTCATATTATGTCTAAAGTAAGCTTTCCCAGGGGTGGTGGTCAGAGTAACTATTTTCTTTCATTTTCGGTCTCAATGGTCTCAATATTAACGGAAGAAATAGTTTGAACTTGTTATGTTCTTCTGTCCCTTGCTAAGTCACTAAGGTTCTGAAGATATCTCCAGATGCAGGCGTCGAGGAGGCGCAAATCTCTCATTACCAAAAATGTCACTACCACTACCATGACTACTACAGCAACAACTACTGCCATGACTGCCACTAGCGCAGCAGGTTATACAAACCGATTACTATGAACGTAGTATTTTCAACACTATTGTAGCGTTTTTTTAATCTTCAGCACCACTAAAATGTATGCGATCCATTTTGTTGTGAACTGCCTCTCGCCTCTTGCAATTTATTTTCAGGCCAAAAAAGCTTACAGAAAGCTGGCAGCAAAGCCTGATTCCTGGATTGTGACACTATCGCAGAATCCAACATTTCTTGTCACACTGTCTAACCTAGTTTCTGGACCTACTTTATCAGCAGCGTTTAGATTTGATCGCTGCTATTTTGAGGTACCATCCGGACGTAGATCCATCTCCGAAGGCTTATGCCTATTGCTTATATTGAGAGCGGTGAGCAAATGCATGTGAATTGAGACACGTCAACTCCGCTCCACTTCCAGCCTAGGAAATGTTTCAGAAGTTGGTTCGCGCAAATGCAGTCATTACCGGCGAGGAGAGCGCAGAGGTCAAATGCAGTCATCGCAAGAATAGCTTCAACAGCAGAAACATCTCAGGACAAAGGCCTGGATGAAACCACATTGCTTAACAATGCAGCGAACAACTTGCGCCTGCGACTCAAGCTTCAGTCTCAATATGAAGAGCATTGAGGTGGCAGAGTTTGGCACCTGACGACATGTCAAAAGCATTTTGAATAGTTTCCACATTGGTATTATACACATACACCAGGCCTTTGCACGGACATGTTTGAGATCCTATATTTTTGCGGTCGGAAACAGAGAGGGACAGAGTTCTTGATTAGTTGCAGAGAGTTTGGCTTGATGTGTAGCCTCCAGGTGACAATATCGAATATCAGAAAGAAAGGATCGAAAAATTGAAGAAGGAGGTTTGATTCGGCTTGATGGCTTTGTCCATGACAACTTCAGTCTTCAGAATGTTCGAGCTGCTATTCGTAGCAAGACAGGCTGCAGCAGAAGAGCAAAGAGTTCAGGAAATGCAGGCACATCAGAAGATGCACAGTCTGTTTCTGTTTGATTTATAGTATAGATAGTCTTGAGATTGGTGCCTCAGTGTACTCTTGGTTTTCTCAATGTAGACTTGGCAAGATACATGATTTTTGGTGCAAGGAGCAGCAGAAGAAAGTGGAAGAAAAGCGCGACCAGGCTTGTTGGATCCTCCTTCCATCAGTGGTGTGTCGCAGACAGCTTCGTGTCAAAACACAGCGGACATATGCGGACATGCATATGCACATGACTGGATTAGAACGAATTTATTGGATGTGTTGGATTGCTCAGATCTTGGCCCAAGAAAAGACTTAAGAACAGCTTTACAAGCTTGTGCTAACTTAAGTAACCCTCTCAGCTTTCCTTCAGAACTGTAGAAGCTCGGCGCGGTCTTGATGCCGAAAGAAGTTGAAGGAGAGAATGCTGCAGCAGTGGAGTCAGACTTGAGTCTAGGCACACTATTCAAAGTGCAAGGAAAGGTGGCATTGATTACGGGTGGTGGGTCTGGCATTGGTGCCATGATTGCTTCTGGATTTGTGCAGAACGGATGCCGGGTTTACATAGCATCTAGAAAAGATACCTCCAAATATGCGCAGGAATTGACAACAAAAGGACCTGGCAGCTGCGTTGCCCTGGTCTCTGACGTCAGCAAACTTGATCAGCAAAAGAAACTCATTGAAGAAATTGAAAAAGTTGAGGGTAAGTTGCACATCTTGGTGAACAACAGCGGGACCAACTTCAATGCCCCTTTGGGCAAATACAGTCCAGAGATGTTTGACAAGGTGATGCAGCTCAATACGAACGCAGTGTTCGCACTGACACAGTTGGCTGTTCCTTTACTTGAGGCATCAAGCTCCAGGGAAGATCCTGGAAGGGTGATCCACATCTCCTCCGTGAATGGCTTGCAGCCACCACTCATAGACACCTTTGCCTACAGCACCAGCAAAGCTGCTGTGGTGATGTTATCCAAACACCTTGCCGGAGCACTGGGACCAAAGCACATTACCTCCAACTGCATTTGCCCTGGGCCGTTCATGTCCCGCATGATGCGAGCGACAGTCAAGGCTGTTGGAGAGGACAACATTGCTGGTAGCACCGCACTTTCACGGCTGGGATTGCCTGAGGACATTGCAGGAGCCTGCCTTTTCCTATGCAGCAAGGCTGGAGGATACATCACAGGTACGGAGTTTGCCCTTGATGGTGGCTCGCTGATTTGTAGAGCACCAAAAAGCAGCTACTGAGCTGAGAGGGAAACCGAAGCACTAGGACACAGACGGAGATAGTCATGGTTGGACATGGTCATTATGGCTACAGATGCTAGCCAAAGGATTTGCCGAAGAAAAAGTGCGAAAGCAGAAATGCAATGTGGGAAAGGAATGCAATGGATGCATAGCTACAGTATAGGGCGTCTTGAGACCAAAGCTTGTGCCTGCTTTGGTTTGCAACATGCTGTAACACTGTTGTACTGTAACCTGGGTAGTTTCTCATGTCATTTCTCATGTCCGGACAAATTAAATAGAGGTCAGCGGTGAGCTTGGACTTCTTGGGGGCAGTGTGCTTGGATTGATCGCTGGCGGTCCAACAGGCTGTTCATGGCTGTGGGTCACAACCAAGATGAAAGTGAACAGTGAACAGCTGGAGATTGCACCTTGATATTCTGAACACTTAGTCAAATAAACAAGGTGCAGCCCACGAACCCGAATGCTCACACGTACATATGTTAATGGTACAGATGTCGAAACACATGGATATGCAGTCACGTAGAACACTTTTGTGAAACAGTTTATTTGAACAGTCTTGTACATTTTTCCCCTGTGACCATACCATTGCACCGTAGACTGTGGAATATGGAAGAGGGTGGTGTGCTAAGTGTGGAGTGTGGAGTGTAGAGTCTGGAGTGTAAAGTATGGAGTGTAAAGTGTGGAGTGTAAAGTGTAAGTGTAAAGTGTGGAGTGTAAAGTGTAAAGTGTGGAGTGTAAAGTGCAGAGTGTGGAGTGTAAAGTGTAGAGTGTAAAGTGTAGAGAATGTGTAGAGTGTACTGTGTGGAATGTAAAGTGTGGAGTGTGAAGTGTAAAGAGTGTGGAGTGTCAAGTGTGGAGTGTAGAGTCTCCAAACCTGCAACTCATCTTGTGAAAACGACGCAAAAGTACTGCGCCTGCCACACAAAACGACTTTCGACACGTTATCAAACAGGTTGGAATGTCACAAAGTGCCACGCCTGCCACGCAAAGCGACATGACAACCTGCTTGGAAACCTTCGAAAAGGAGAGGTTTTGCAGCTTCCCGCATAGACACGGCGAGGCCACAGGAAAGCCAGACTCGAGACGAGACACGTTGGAGCATCAGAACGAGCACTTCGTGCGCGAGACTTCCTCCAATTTTCACACTTTGAAGCTTCAAACTCGACGTTTTCCTGCGAGTTTTCTTATGAACCTCCAAATTTGCTACCTCAAAATCGACGTTTCATGCGAGGCTTCCGTCAATTTTCATCGCATCTCACACTTGTCGCCACTTGACGCAGCCCTGACACTGCGATTCGCACAAAGCACGCAACACGACACGTTTAAAGTGTTGGGCCTGCCACGCAAAGTGACGGCGATCATGTCCAAAGTGCTGCGCCTGCCACGAAAACTGGAATTGATCTTCTGAAAACGTCGCAAAAGTATTGTGCCTGACACACAAAATTGCGAAACACGTCTGAATCACGAAGTGCCACACCTGCCACGCGAAACGAAGCAACGCGACATGTGCAACCTCTAAAAGTGACCCCTTTTGCAGAACTTACCATAGGCACGGCCATACGGCCCTTGCGCGGACGGTTGCAAACGATTGCGGACGGTTGCGAACGGTTGCTGTGTGATTGTGTTCGGACACCTCTGATTAGCAAAAATTATCCAAATGTCGAGGACACTAAGTGAATGTAACTAGAAAAGATGCAGAAAGAGTAGGACGTCAAGTCTGTCAAGTCTATCAAATCTATCAAATTTGCCAAACCAAGTGACAGGCCTCATCCTTGGGGCCATTGCAGGGATTGCTCTGGGCAAGCGCACTGACAGCGTTGGCAAGGCCGAAGCAGGGAATCTGACAGGATTTGGAAGCATTGGAGATCGAAACATGGGCCAGACAGTATGCAAGTAACAGCTGTAACAACAGTTAAAAAAACTATGCAAACTCTATACGGGGTTTGTAAGCGTTGTAGCATGCCGTATCCAGAGCATACCTTAGATTCTTGTTTGCAGACCACGCATTTTCCTGGTATTCTTGCTGTACCTTTATTTATTTGGATTTTTTTCCGTACTCGTAGGTCATTCGTGGTGCTGGAACTGTTGTGAAAGGAGTTTTCGATGCTGTGCAGAAAGCGGCCGGCAAGAGTCAAGAATGATTTAGAGTGATTGTCTTGCAACTCTTGCTGGACGCTAGCATTTCCACAACACATGGTCTTCCCAGCTTGATTATAAGCGTCATTTTTTGCAGAGTTGGCAAACTCAGCTGTGCTTGGCTTGAAGTGGAGAATGGAAGAGGGTGGAAGTGCTATCGCTTTGATATATTGATTGCCAAGCCAAGCTTGAAACAATCGGGCATGAGAAGAACGCCATCAACATTTTGCGTTTTGCTTTGTTGGGGACCGCAAGATACTTTGGCGGTCAACTTCACACGAATTCCGACCTGCATCTTCAGACAGAATCTAGGAATCCATGATAGATGATAGATGATGATAGTATGTATTGTAACAGATAAACATGTTCACTCAAAGTCCACTATGCACTAAGCACTGTTCAAGACTCCGCAAATGGTTAAGAATTGCATCCATGGATGGAAGCTCAGAAGCTTTGCGGCACTTTTTGTGTTTATGGAGACCGCCATTGGTATGGCCTAATAGGCCAGATGGAGAGCATGCCCAGCGATTGGCTATGGCCTTTTGGGCTTCGACAAATTGTTTGCGTAAAGTGCCTTGCAATCTTTAATGAAACGGCTGATGCTGCATTGCTCCTTATGACCCGCGCAATTTGCGAAGGAGCAGATGCGGCTAAGTCATGCAAAGAACCAAACTTTTTGCGCAAGATTTTTTGAACTTCACTTATGCGGATCGGATAGCCAAGCATGAAAGACAAAGGCTTAGACATGTGAAGACTGCCTGGATGATGAGCCTTGAAGAGTGATGAAGAGTGATTGAAATGAGATGAATTGCGAGTTATTGAAATGTGCGTGAACACACACAAAGATTTTAAAGCAGTGGTGCGTCCAAATCACTCATAGTGACTTCATGCAATCATGAAAAGAAACACTGCAAGTAATGCAAGTGATGCAAGCAGTGCAAGCACCCTCACAGCAAGAAGGCGTGCTGGGCGTGCTGGTCTTTCGGCTCCAAAGCCATGCTGCCATGCTGCAATGCTCCCATGCTGCGGTGCTGAATCGGAGAAAGTGTAAGATCAAGACATAGCACAGTTTGCGCAGCAATGGGCCTACGTGTGTCAACCCAGTCGTGAAGGCGTTGCAAAACATGCAATTCAGATCACTAGCAATGGGAGCACCCTGTAGACAGCAAGATTTGAATCTAGCACTGTGTAGTCTTTACCTTGTAGTTTTTAACTTTGACCGATACCGAGAATTCCCTTTAAGTGAATCTGACAGTCTGAACTTCCTAAACCTCATGGTTGAAGGCCCAAGCATTGACCCACAATGAAGCCGCATCTTGTTCGGTGCATGCTGCTGATGTAGAGATGCGTAATACCGTCAGAGGCTGAAGAGAAGACGACAGCGTGGAAAGTGTTTGACATCTGCCTTTACAGCATTGCAATTGGCAAAACCTGGTTCAACTTTGTAGATCTTAAATTCTATGCTGGGGAGTAGTCTGGAAGTATAGACATGTATAGACATTTATGGACTATGTCGACTGGGCATCAAACTAATTGAGTTGGTGCTGTACAGCTGTTGGGCACTGCGGACTCCAAACCTTTCCAAGCGGTTTAAGCTCTCAAAAAACAGAGCTGCCAAGTTTCTGCGTTTGCAGAGACCACCGATACGTTAAAGAACCTATAATATATTAATAGAGCCATTTTTTTTTAGCCTGGTAGTTGGTTCCAATATGCAATATGAATCAATATGAATCAATATGAATCAATATGAATCAATATGAATCCATATGAATCAATATGAATCAATATCACGAAAGCCAGCCGCTAGGCGAGGCGAAGTTCCTTTTGCAAACAAAGTGAGTTATAGGGGGTCTGGGGGTAGAGCGTGCCAGGAGGTGACAAAATCACGGAATTAGGTGCAGTGGGAGGGGCGCAAATTAGAGCTTTTTGAGGGTTATGTACCAGGTGGCAATTGGGTGACGGTGGGGTATCGATTGCCCCCTGTTCCATCCTCCGAGGTGCATTTGGGGAGACCGGAATGGAAGGGTAAAATTATGGAGAAGTCGAGTAAAACTATGGAAAAAAACATGGAAAAATAGAGCAAAACCATTTGAAAATTGGGCAAACCATGGAACAATTGAGTAAAACCACAGAAAAATTCAATAAAACCATTGAAGAATCGAGTAAAAACGTGGAAACATCTAGTAAAACAATGGAAACATGGGGTGAAACGTTGGGAAAATCGCCGAAAATGGTCTGTCGTCGGAGGTGCATTTGGGGAGGCGTTAGACACACTGGTATCGAAGGGAGTGCTTAAGCAGCTTCTGTCAGTAGTTGGGCTTGTTCTTGTCGACTTGTATTTGTTGGGCTCCGATGTGCGACCATTATGAAAAAAGGCATTGCTTGATGGTCTGTCCTCGGAGGTGCATCTGGGGCCTGGGGAGGCGATAGAGAGACTGGAACCGAAGGGAGTCAGAGGAAAAGGCATTGCTTGATGGTCGCAAGAATTAGAAGCAACTTCTGCCAGTAGTTGGGCTCCGATGTGGGACCATTATGGTCGCAAGGATTAGAAGCAATTTCTGTCAGTTACGATGCTTTGGGAAAGACTGGAATAGAAGGGAGTCAGAGGGAAAGGCATTGCTTGGAAAGGTTGCGGAAGGATGTGGATGAGATTGGTCTCGTCGACTTGTATTTGTTGGGCTCCGATGTGGGACCATTATGGTCGCAAAGATCAGAAGGAACTTCTGTCAGTATAGGATGTGGACGAGGATGTGCTCGTCGACTGGGGTTCCGATGTCGGACCATCATGGTCGTAAGGATTCGAAGCATTTCGAAGCAATTTCTGTCAGTTACGATGCTTTGGGAAAGACTGGAATAGAAGGGAGTCAGGGGAAAAGGCATTGCTTGGAATGGTCGCTGGAGGATGTGGACGAGACTGTAGTGGCCGACTTGTATTTGTTGGGTTCTGTCGGCACGGGATGTGAAATCAGCAAGTTTTGGAAAGGGGTGTTAGCATAGCAGAAGATGAGACTGCTGCGTCGGCTCTGTCAATGTTTTTGCATTTTTTGGTGAAATGAGGAAGCTTTGGAAAGGGGTGATGAAAATATGAGGTGAGGAGGGCAGAGGTAAGGGTCCGTGAATGGAGGCACAGTCGCTATGGAGAAAAAACATCTGTCGGTATAAGATGTGAAATTAGGAAACTTTGGAAAGGGGTGATGAAAATATGAAAATATGAGCGTAAGGATCCTTGAAAGTCTGAGGGCAAAAAATTTGCGGGTGAAAGGTCTGTGGGTGAAAAGTCTGTGGAAGAAGGGTCTCTGGATGAAGAGTCCCTGGGTGAAAAATATGGGTGCAACGTGTATGGGTGAAAAGTCTGTGGGTGAAAAATGTGACAAGGCTGTGCGTGAAAAAGTCTGTGGGTGAAAAGTCTCTGGGTGAAAAGTGTGTGGTGAAAAGTGCGCGGGTGAAAAGTCCGTCGATCAAAATTATATGGGTAAAACGGGTGTGGGTCCAAAATCTGAGGGTGCAAAGTCTGTGGGTGAAAAGTCTGTGGGTGAAAAGACTGTGTGCGAAAAGTGTATGGGTGAAAGTCTGTGGGTGAAAAGTATATGGTTGAACAGCCTTGGGTGACAAGTATATGGGTGAGAAGTATATGGGTGAAAGACGGTGGGAGAAAAGTTTGTGGGTTAAAAGTGCATGGGTGACAAGTCTGTGGGTGAAAAGTATGTGGGTGAAAAACCTGTGGAAAAAGACTCGCTGGGTGAAGAGTGTCTGGGGGAAAAATATTTATAAGTGAAAAGTCTGTGGCTAAAAAGTCTGTGGGTGAAAGGTCTGCGGGTGATAAGTCTGTGGGTGAGAAGTGTGGGTGAGAGGTTTATGGTTGAACAGTCCGTAGGTGAACAGTGTGTGGGTGAAAAGTCCGTGGGTCAAAAGTATATGGGTGAAACAGGTATGTGTGAAAAGTCTGAGGGTGCAAAGTCTGCGGGTGAAAAAAATGTGGGCGAAAAGTGTATGGGTGAAAGTTTGCGGGTGAAAAGTCTGCGGGTGAAAAGTCTGTGGGTGAAATGTCTATGGGTGAAATTCTGTGGGTGAAAAGTTTCTGGGCGAAAAGTGTATGGATGTAAAAGCACATGGACGAAGAACAGTATATGGGGGAAAAATTGAAAGTAAAAATTATATTGTTGAAGAGTCTGTGGGTGGAAAATCTGGGGGTGAAATGTATATGGTTGAACAGTCTGTGGGTGAAAAATATATGTGAAAATGTTGCTGGGTGAAAAGTATATGGGTGAAAAGTCTGTTGGTGAAAAGTATATGGGGGAAAAATATGGGGGTAAAAAGTACATTGGGTGAAGAGCCTCTGGGTGAAAAGTGTGTGGGTGAAAAACCCGTGGGTCAATAGTATACAGGTGAAACGGGTATGGGTGAAAAGGCCGAGGGTGCGAAGTCTGTGGGTGAAAAGAGCGCGGGTGCAAAAAAAGTGGGCAAAAAATGTATTGGTGAAAGCCCCTGGGTGAAAGTATATGGGTGGAAACTCGAAAAGTATATATTATATATGTGAAAGTCTGAGGGTGCAAAGTCTGTGGGTGAAATTTTTGTATGCGAAAAAATTATGGGTGAAAGCCTTTGGGTGAAAAGTATATGGTTGAACAGCCTTGGGTGAAAAGTATATGGGTGAAAAGTCTGTGGGTGAAAAGTCTGTGGGTGAAAAGCCTGTGGGTGAAAAGTCTCTGGGTGAAAGGTCTGTGCAAGAAGAATCTCTAGGTGAAGAGTCTCTGGGTGAAAAGTATGTGGGTGGAAAGTATATGGGGGAAAAGTCTGTGGCGAGAAGTGTATGGTTGAACCGTCTGTGGGTGAAAAGTATATGGGTGAGAAGTATGGGTGAAAGACTCCGGGTGAAAAGTCTGTGGGTGAAAAGTATATGGGTGAAAAGTCTGTGGGTGATTTTTTTTGGGGAAAATAGAGGTAGGTGGGATGCTGGCTTTCGTTTCCCCCTTCTCAGGTGATCTATAGATTGATCTAGTATGTACATGTATGTACTGAGACAATGCTGGGACCAAGTCCTTGGACTCAAAGCTGGACTGCCGAGTTCTCTGTTTTGGCACCTTTTTTTTGTTCATACCGATTCATATCCAAGCCTCGTAAAGAAGTGATCACGTTGCGATCATTATTGTAGCCACATGCTTTCTGTGAAGTGGCACGATGTGGCACGTTGTTTCCTCAACGGGCAATGTTCGGCAGTGGCGCTCCAGTGTTTTAGGCTTCAACTTCATGCTGAGGCACTTTTGCAGATGCGCTTGGATGGAACATTCGATGAACGCCAATTATGTGTCCTTCTCAGCCTCGTGGACGCCATACACAGGTCACAGCCTACGCATTGAAGCAATCTCAAGCACACACACACAGTGACACTGGATAAACATGCATAGACTGATACATACTGTACATTCCACGTCCACCCGAGCTCTGTCAAATAGGAGGCACGGGGTTGTCACACGATAAGCCTACGGTTCATTAGGCAAGTTCAAGTTCTCGAATAGCATTTTCATCTGCTTATGATGTTAGTTAGACTGGCCAAATTGATAAACCCATCCATTGAAGGTGTCGGCAGTGGCAGTGGACTTGCTGGTGTTCCTGCCACTTCTTGAGTTTGAAAAGGACAGATAAAGGCAAATAAGGAAAAGAGTGTAAGACATGAAGAAAATACATGAAGAGTGTAGAACATACTATATTGGAGGGAGGACATCGGAAATTAGGCAAAGGGAAACAAGTGATGAAGGACGCGTGTAAGGTGCATCTGCGGATAGGGGTGGTCTCACACGAAACCATTTGTGCTTTGCCTCTCTTGTATGTTCTTCCGAGTGACTGCTGCCTTGCGTAGCGCGCTCTGCAAGTTTCTCGATTCTTAGAGCCTAGCTACCGATGTTGGACCTTCACAGCAGGAGGCTCTCCGCAAATCAGCAGCTGCTTCCCTTAAACCTTTAACGACAGAAGATGCAAGTTCATTGATTGGTAAAAAATCCAAGCCAACCCTGAAATGACGTGGCCACAATGCTCTCCCATGCATGCACGTGCTTGCACACGCACACACACACATGTGCTTGCAAGCCTGTGCGATTGCACTTGGACACGCGCACAGGAGGGCGCAAAGGAGCGTGTTTTGTATATTATATATATTATATAATTATATATATATTATATAATTATAGTTTCATTCAATATGTGCAGATTTGCAATTTTGCATTTTGTTTTTGTCTGAGCCTCAAGACAGTCATTTCAGCGAATGACTTTCCTTGTCGCTCAGGGCTTGGACTGCAAAGCGTTGCTAAGTTTGTTGCTTGTGCCCGCTCAAAGCTTAGTTGTGCCTCAATGAACCAGAGGTGTAACCACAGGTCTTGTTGTTCTTGTGTGGAGACTTCTTATTCGTCGAGTCGGTGACCCTCATGCTGAGGCCAATGTCACACTGACATGAATCAATGAAACACGCCCAATGCTATTGTTCTTGATTGGGTTTGAAAACTGAACACATCGTTGGAGGACCTTGCAATCAGGCTGCGTTTAGACTCTTAGACCTTTAACATTAGTAATGCACGTAGTATCTCGTAGTGTGGGATATTTTCTCGAGCTTCAAAGCTTCACCATTCATAATTGATATGTACAACATAATATAACTAATATAATTGATATTTAATAGACTCATCTCTTCTCATCTCATCTCATCTCATCTCATCTTATCCACATACATTGATTTATCATCACAAATCATGCCTTGTCTCTGACTTCTCCAAGGCCCTGCTTCAGAGTTCATCTGCCACGTCCACAACAGAGATCAACACCACCAGTAGCACCACCACTGTGCGCCCTTGCACTGTCAAGTTGAGAAGTGTATGCTGGACAGTTTTCATGATAAAGTCCTTCTATTGTTGCAGATGTCGAAAAATCCTGAAAAAATGCCAGGTCCCTGAATTCTCCTACTATGTGGGAGACTGGTCAGACTGCTCGGCTACTTGTGAAATTGGAAGCCGCCAACGGGAGGCACGCGGGGACAGTTTTGCCTGTCGTGATGGAAGCTAAGTAGGTCAGGGCCAGGGTATGCCAGGGTGCTCTGAATTGACAAAGGACCACGCAGAGTGGAGCATATCAGAGCATCAAGATGGGAATGTGACGTGTGGCCGTGTGGCATATCATAAGATTATATAAGATTCATAAGACTACATTAGGGACTACATGGCAATACATGGCAGTTCTGCTGCCCGTCCCTTTGCTGGACCATGCTGGACCTTGGGAGACAAGCCTGCAGGTTTTCTGTTACCGGACATGCTCAAATCCCCGGCTATGCACATCTGGTGTCACAGACTGGCACTGCAAGTATCTCAGATATCTCAGATATCTCAGTTTCAGGTGCTGCACTTTCCGTTCAGATTCAGTGTGAAACGTCAAGTGGTCTTTGGTGGCAGTGGACATCAGTGGTCTATTTGTCTCTACTGGTCTAAATTACATTACAACGCCTTGGCAGTGGCATTCATTACTTGTACCACTATGCAGCACATGAGTTTAAAATAGTTTAAAGATGTTCCCGCAAGTTTGGACAGCCACCGCAACAGATTCAAATCAATTCAGATGCAAGACACATGAGACCGAAGGAACGACTGTCTTTTTCCCCGACCACCAATTCTTGTGATTATAGGATATTTTAGTTACAAATTAAATCAAATTAGTTTCTCATGGGTTCCACATGACATGTTCGCGAGACTGGAGGGAAGCTCATGAGAACGTCCCAGATGGCAAGGTTAAAGGATGTCCGAGGTTTCCAAAGGTTCGCTGTGCTTTGCAAAGTTCCTGACATGGAGCCAGGAAGGGACTGTATGAAAAGATCATTCATGCCAGATAGGAGTGAATTCGTGATAGTTCATGAAAATGTTGGACTGTAAATGAATTCGGAACATTGGCTGAGGCAATCCAGAGGATTGTGGGTTTGGCAAAGGTTAGTGAACCTAACAAACAGCCTTGTGGTTCCCAATCCTGTCATTCTTGAAAGCTTCAAGCAAAGGTTTCAAGCACAAAACGCAAAGAAAAGGGTTTATATAATATGGTTTAATAGTTTAATTCAAGGAAAGTTCTGAGTATGCAGTGATGCCGAACCGAATTCTTCACTGCTTCGTACTGTATCGGGGGAAATGCGCCAATCGAGATTGTTTTAGAGCCAATTGAGGACTTACTCGTTTCAGTTCGACTATTAAAAAAAAAACAAACATATACAAGCCCCGTATATAGTTGCATACATGCATATTGCATGCACATTGACTTACTATAAACATCTAAGAACATCTATAAACATCTATATATAATCATTGCTTTGGTGGGTCGCAAACTTCGCAGACTCCAGGGTCGAGGGCGGTGCGGTCTCCTGGGACCCTGGAACCTGGTCAGGAAAACTTTCAAGCTTCAAAAATTGCAAGCTTTCTATAGGTCTCCAGATTCCAAAGTTTGAAACTTACCATGTCAAGCGTGCTCACCTTGCTTTCCTCCAAAAGTGTCCAACTTGGATGTCTCATTTTGCCCGAAAATCATTCCGTCTTGGTGTTAGGTTTCTCGGAGGTCTTTCAGGCATTGCAGGGCAGGCACAAGTCCCAGGAATGGAAAACTGAACTTTGATGGCTAGTGGCTGCTACAGTGGGCGTTCGATTTGAATGTCCGGTACAGTGGGTGTTCTAACAAATCTTGCAGAAAGACAAGTTTGTTGCTGCTTTCTGCCACCCGCGTTTGCCGTTGCAATCTTGTTTCTTTTGTGGAAACAGCATTTGTTGAAGGTCTTGCCGTGTCAAAATTTAGCAAACCTGATCAACATACATTCTGGAGGGTCTTGCGGAACTAATTTCTTTGCTGATCGTGGCAGATTTTGGGCTCGCTTGGCAGTCATGCTGGAGTCTGGGGAAGTTCTGGGGGCTTTTTCTGGCGGCAAAATTCAAGTTCATTCAGGCACTGTTTATTAGCTGCTCCAGCAGGAAACATTGGTTGTAATCTGTGAAGCTATAATGACTTGGCGGTTTCTCGTTGGCCAATTGAATTCCAATCTGGTCCTTGGAAGGTCTTGGTACTGCGAAACCAAGCGAGACGGATCTTTGCTTTGGAGCAGCACCGGTTTGCCCTGCCAACGCCTCATTACTTGCATCCGCAGAAGTATCCCCCTCCAAGCATCTCCAAGCAGCAATGGTCGCATTTTAGAAGTTCGACTCGGTTTCGCCCCTCAGTGGTCATGGGAGGCTGCAATTTCTTCTTCATACTGACGATTTAATTTTTGTTCATGATGACATTCTACACATTCTACACATTCTGCACGCGCACACATGCACACCCATACATTGGTGTGTCTGAAAATGGGGTATCCCCTAGGTATCCCCCCACATGGCCATTTAATAGGGAAAATGATGATAAACCATTGGATTTGGGATATACCCTATTTTCAGAACCCACATACACGCACAAAACATGCATGCAGGCATGCAGGCATGTAGGCACGCAACACAGGCACAAGCGTGCGCACACCCCCACACCCACGCCCACGCCCACGCGCACGCGCACACGCGCGCAAACATAAACACACACACACATATCACAATTCAATACAACCGTAAATACAAACAGACACAAACACACACTCATAATTACACACATTCACAGAAAGACATGGTGACTCATGTGTCCACACACGCACACATACTGTACGCAATCGCAGCTGCTTGCTCACAAATACAGAGCCTGTTTGGTGTGCTCTTGAAAAGCGGCGGATGAGTAAGGCCACGAGCACCGAAACCAAATCAACCACTTTGACCAGAACACTCACTACATCGACAGCCACGGCCTGGCCCTTTGACAATACACATCTTGAATCTCTTGAATCTTAAGTACCATGATTACCATGCCCTGCTGTCCGACATTGTCAACATTGTTCGATCACATGCACAGGAGGTGACCGAAACCAGCACTCGAGGAGTTGTTGATGGCTGGGAATGTGCCCGGTTCCTGGGAGCTACTGGAGCTACATCACAGATCGTACAGATCGGCATAGATGGCATAGGTGAAGCAAATGCTGTATAATGCTGTGGCTATGGAAATCAATGCGCGGGTCAGAAGGATTCAGAAGGTCGAGATGATAGAGATGCTCTGCCAAAGGTCCCTGGAGCCACAAACTGCGTCATCGAACAAGTGGCCTCGAAACTCAGAGCAAAGTTGACTTGTTTAATGCTAACAACATGAGTAAATATATATACGTGCCCTCCTGAACTTGGATGGTCCTCGTAGGTAGTTCCGTATGATTCCGCATCTTGTTTCGTCCAACCAGGCAGCCACCCAATGTGGCAGCTTTTGCTCCTGCTGTCGACGAAGCACCACACAGGCGGGTGCATTTCAACCCCGTGCGATCCATTGCGATCCTACGTGCGTTTTGTGTGAACCAGGTACCTTTCATACCTTCACGCACTACAACTCCCCGTCCAGAAACAGACGCTGGCACGCGATATTTCCGATGGGGTTGATTCCAAACCTTTCAACCTGTTGGCTCAAGTACCACCATGGTCTACTTCATAAGAATCCGCTCAGGCTCAGGACTAGTGCCAGTTGTTCAAAATTGTGCCACCAAGGAAGACTCATCTGGAGTGCACTGGACCCAGATTCTGTGACTCCTCCATGCCTGCGAATGTGCGCCAAGAGTTCGACTGTGAAATTGAGGCTTGTTGCAGTGTTGGTTGGACTGGTGATCACGGCAGTGCGGTGCTCTGGTGTGATTGGATTGGACTGGATTGGATTGGATTGGATGGCAGCGGCTACAAATTCTTCAGGACCAAAGTGCAGATTCTGCGCATTGAGATCATTGAGCTTTGTTGCTTTTGCTCCAAAATTGTGAACAGTGCTGCGGTCAGCCTGTCAATGCAATACACTCGCGATCCTTACAGCAAATCGATATCTTTCTGGTAACAGTGTGGTGATTACAGCTGAAGTCCATATCCTGACTCGTGGCATTCTGTCGTCTTGTTGGCTGCCATGCAAAACCACCATCTAAGGCCTGTGTGGTTGTCACCTTTGCGGTCATTGGGTGGCGATATTATGTCCGCAAGCCGTGCCTCAGCGGCAAGCCAACCCGGACTTGTCCCGCTTGATCCCATTTTGTCACTCCGGTCCCTCCGTTCCCTTCGACCAATCCTGATCGGATCGCGACCTGACCTCGTTTGACCTTTGAAAAGTGCGAGGCAGTCCAAACAGAAGTCACGTCCACACAGTGCGCAATCTCGTCAAGCTCACGGAGTGCAGGCCTTTGCCCGAGCTATGCCTGGAATGACACCCAAGTGCCATAGAGACACACATGCTGTATACATGCATGCCATGAGTGATCATTCAGACCCAGAAAGCATGTATGGTACACATGTGCAAGTGCTGCCACTTTCGATTTTGTAGAGTTATGCTTTCATAATTTTCATACTGCGGAGGCTGAAACTGTTGGAGCGGCAGCTCGTCCAACCAGTTCTGACAGGACACTCGGCATTTTTCATGTTTTTCCCTTTGGTATCCTTTGGTTTTAGTCAAGTTCTTCTCAGATCTTTGCGGCTAGTTTGTCAAAAAAGGTTGCATTTAGAATATACAGAAAAATTGCTTTGCATTTGTGAAGTCTCCAGGGAGACAGGGAGCCTTTGCTGTGTAGATCATATTTGTCATCATGTGTGCAACATGGCAGAAATTCAAATCCATGGTCCACTATAGTCGAAGGAAGTTTAGAAGTCAAACTTCCGACAATATGGACAGATGAAAAGCAGAGGTGGTAAGAGTCAAAGAAGAGAAGAGAAGAGAAGAAGAAAGAAGTCAAAAAGAGAAAGTCTCAGAAGAAAGAAGATCCAGGTGCCCGAAAAGGTAGGAAAGTCGCGAAACACTGTGTTTTTCCAATGATTTGTGGCTCCCGAGGGTCGAACAGTAGGCTCGCTAAAGCGGCGGGTGCGGAGCGCGCTGGGCAGATGAGAGATGAAAAATTGCACGCCGTTGTGGCGCGAAGCACATTTCGAAGTCAAAATGTACAAAGCACCTAAGCTTCGGAACACTTTTAACATACTTTTAGAAGTTGCGCTGTCGAAAAAGTGCACGCCGTTGTGGCGCGAAGCACATTTCGAAGTCAAAGTGTACAAAGCACGCCATGTTCGGACCACTTTTGGAAGTTGCGATGTCGAAAACGTGCCGGCCGTTGTGGTGCGAAGCACATTTCGAAGTCAAAATGTACAAAGCACCTGAGCTTCAGGAGCACTTCTAACATACTTTTAGAAGTTGCGCTGTCGAAAAAGTGCACGCCGTTGTGGCGCGAAGCACATTTCGAAGTCAAAATGTGAGAAGCACCACATGCTCGGACCACTTTTGGACGTTCAGATGTCGTTTCGCGTGGCAGGCGCAAAGGATTGTGGACCTGGTCAGAAGTGAGCAAAGCGTGAGGGTTTTGTAGCATGTCCAAAAACGATGGCAGGCGTGGGACATTTGAAGAGGATCTGCAAAGATGCATTTTCCGTGGCAGGCGCAGTACAAGGGACATGTTCATCACAAAAAAAGTTAGGAGGTCAGGGCGCTGATTTCCTGAGACACTGAGAGGGGTTGCATTTTGGAGCATCTAATCTTCAGGTTTGCTGAGATGATTTTGCGTGACAGGTGCAGCACTTCGTGACCTGGCATCACTTTTTAGTGGCAGGCGCAGTACTTTAGACAGGTGGAGTGGAAAAATCGCAAAACGCATTGGTACGAGGCCGTCAGCTCTGCACTCAACTTTCCGAAAGTCTTTCCATTTTTGAAGGAAGGCTCGCAGAATTGTTTCGTTTTTGATGTTGTCAACTTCGAAAAATGAGGAAGTCTCGCAGACTTGTTTCGTTTCTGATGTTGTCAAGTGCAAAAATTGAGGAAGTCTCGCTGAATTGCTGCGTTTTTGATGTTGTCAAGTTCAAAACCTGAGGATGTCTCGCAGAATAGCTTCGTTTTCAAGCTTGCAGTGTACGCGTTGTGGTGCGAAGCACATTTCGAAGTCAAACGTGTAAAAAATTGACTGGCTTGGAGCACTTTTGGACGTTCAGATGTCGGTTTGTGTGGCAGGGGCAAGGGATTCTGCATGTTATCAAAAGTGAGCAAAACGTGAAGTTTTGTAGCAGTTTCATCTACAACCGCCATAACACTACACTACACTACACGACACTACACGACACTACATTCCACTCCACTCCACTCCACTCCACTCCACCGCACTGCACTGCACTGCAACTACAACTACAACTACAACTACAACTACAACTACACTACTTTACACTACACTACACTACACTAATTACATTACACTACACTAATTTCTTTGCACTACACTACGCTACGCTACTTTACACTACACTACTTTACACTACACTACTTTATACTACACTACTTTACACTACACTACTTTACACTACCCTGCTTTACACTACACTACTTTGCACTACACTATACTATAGTACTTTTCACGGCACTACTACACACTACACTGCTTTACACTACACTACGCTACGCTACACCACACTACACTACACTACACTAAACTACACTACACTACACCACACCACACCACACCACATTGCACCACACTACACCACACCACACCACGCCACACCACACTAGACTACACTACAATTATAGCTACAATTACGCTACTTTTCACTACGCTACACTAGACTACACTACACTACCCTACATTACATTACACTACACTCATTACACCACCACAAATCCAACTGCAACTACACTACACTAATGACACTACACCACAACTACAATTCCACTACACTAAAACTACAACTACAGCTGCGCTGCACCACACTACATCCAGCAGTTGTGGGCGAGGTGACCGTCTGACCGACCAGGTGACCACTGCAACCATTGCAACCACTCCAAAGGTTTCCTATTCTGAAACTTCCGCCACCGCCTTGTACGGTACTACTGTATATATAAATAAACCTGCTTGTGCGCCGCATCAGTGCCGCAACAGTGGAGACAAAGCACCACTGATGTTTTGACCCCTCATGCATGAGGCATCGCTCACACGAAGCGCCTGAAAAGACAGTCTTTGACAGGACAGGCCACGAGATTGATTCCATGTATTTCTGCATTTTGTTTTTGCATGGTGAGATGAAAACTGTTAACCTTCCCTTTGATTCTTGTTGCACTTATTGGGGGGTCATTGAGTCATGAAGCTACCCTTGCAGCAATAGATTGCATGAGTGCAAGACTGTTTGAGGTGCAGTATGACTGTTTGAACTGCACGCGTGTAGGATTCCACAATGAATCCGCTATGTCACATGTCCTTCTTCTTGGCCACATTTCCTTCCAGGAAACTTGGACGAGGAGTACCTTCTGCTGCTCCGGATGGCTACTATGAGGGTCCTCCAGAATGGCCATCCTCTCATTTTACTCCGTTCTGCTTGAATTGAAAGATGATGCAATCAATTTGCATTCATCCTGCTTCGTTTTGGTAAGTTTCTTGTGCTGGTATGCTTCAATATGCTCCTTGCCGTAATTTTCAATCAAATATGACAAAAGCCAAGGATGAATGATGAAGAAGCTGGCGTGTCATCCAAGACAGCAAGTCCTCGTAGTGCCTTCAGCAGGTTGGAGCTTGGAATGGAGTTTGCAAATGCATTGACGAATGCATGGACAGCATGGACTTCACACAATGAAGGTTGTCCTGGTTTCCACCCTGGTTTCAACCCATGACATGAAGTTGAAATACTTTGAATACAGCTGAGTCATGTCGTTTTTGGGAATTGGTCTGCCTGCCAGGGCGTTCAGCCACAATGCATTTGAGACCGAGAAAAATGAATCCGCCACCCCCTTACTCCGCGCATCCTTTTCACACTGCCGACAGAGATGGAGTATGATGGAATGACTTATTTTGTGGAAACTTGTGGCAAAAATTGCGCAACATGTGAATCGACATTATTCAAACGTGTCAAACCATTGTTCTAGCACCGGCGATCCAAAACGCATGGTTCCTTCCTCATCTTTGTTTAGGCCATGCCAGTCACTCTGCCGCTGTAGTGATGGGAAAAGATTGGCAAAGTTCTGTTGGCATAAGTTGCCCACTGATGTCAATAGTGCTGCCACATACTACCAAGTTCCGTCCAGGCAAAGTCTTCCCCGAGCAGACGAAAGAGGCAAGGATGTCACCTTTGCATACCTTTGCAAGATCAAGTAATTCATTCTCAGAGCAAAGGCCAATGTGTTTGTGTATGTGTCAGTGTCTTGATAGGAGAATGGGCTCCCTATGGGCGTACCAGTTTGGTAGCATCGGCATGGGGGAATGAACATCCATGTGCTCGCTCCTTTAAATTCAGAAGGTCCAAAGTAGACAAGAACAGGGGAAGTGCTCAGTAACTACCCCCCTCACTTCCCCTAAGCAAGCACGTCACCTTTGCGCCTTGGTCAAGTTGATCTTGTGAAGGCAGGAACCGCAGGAACCAGATAGCCGAGAAAACAGAAAGTGGTTGCCTCGACCATTATACGGATGCAGCAAAATATTGCACAGCAAAGCGCTGCTTTTTAGTTTGTGGGCAGCCCAGGCCTGAATCAGAAAGGCCAAGTCCAAATGCACCCTCCGGGACAGAGCTGAGCATGGCATGTGCAATGATCGCCCTTAGGGTCCACCGAAGTCATAGTCAACTTTCTCACATCAAGACGTCGAGTCCAACTTGACTCAGATTGTTTTATATATGTTGAATTGATTTTAATTGCCATCATGTGCAAGTTTAAACTTTTGTCTTTAATATTCCACTTGTGGTCTTTCCATGTTTTTACAATGAACAACTGCGATGTGATGCAGGACATTGCCTCCAGGGTATGCATCAGCAGCAAGACGGAACCGTCGAGTAGGTGAGGTGATGGGGAACATCGGTTGTTCTACACTGCTATTTTAGCTGGCTAGGCAAAGGTGGTTTGTAAATTTCTCTATCGTTCTTCTTGGACAGGCTGTGCTTCCAACTAAGTGACTGGCATTGGGTGGACTTCTCTGTATTTGACAAAAAGTTCACTTGCGTGGGCAATTGCCTGTAGGGTGAACTTTGACAGCATGCCATGATTCAAGTATCAGAATTCGACCAATCAAGTCTAGCAGATGTAGACAGAACCTTTTCCTTTATATTTTGCCGGTTGGAGTGCGATGATATACAGCTGCAATCAAACAGGAAAAGATCCTCCAGACAGTGTCAGCAACTAAGAACGGAGTTAATACTTTGAACCAGTGCCAAGTGCGTTGGAAAGAAAACACATGTTCAAGCATGTTCAGACATATTCAAGCAGTCTGTTTTTATTCTCCCTGGTCGATTGCTTTTTGCTTTGTGTGCTGCGATAGAGTCTGATAGAAGCTAATGCATCGCTTCTCCTTACTGCCATGACTGCTTGAAAGGCAGAACCTGGAGAAACTGAGACAAACATTCCTGGACAGGTGGATGATATTCAGATTCCGTGATTTCGAGAGCTTTTCTTGCCAGAATTTGATCCTGCTACCTCGAAGATGCCACAGGCAAACACTGATGATGGCCCCACAAAGAAAAGCACCCCAAAGACAGGAGGTGCCTGGCAAGTCTAGATCTTTCAAATGTTTTGAGCTATTTTGAAATGCGTTCGCTGATTTTTTCTTTTGAATTCAGTGGTTGGCTCTGAAGCTTTGCGAAGGCGCCAAAGACAGCTCAGCCTCGGCCCCAAGTCAGGTGCACCGGTCCAAGATTGTCAACGATGCGCGTTTGGGAGATTTTTAGAGGAATGCCTCCAACACAGTTTCACAAGCTTTCCTTCAAATCTGCAGTACCACTGGCAAAAATGACAAGTTAAATTAATCATTTGACCCATATTGAGCCATATTGCTTCAACCCCCAGGAACCGAAGACTGATCAAGCTCCTGGTGGAGGTTCGCAGTGGTAGACAAAACTTGTACGCCAGATCCAATCAGCGCAGCAGTCTCCCTGACCTGGGAGGTGATGGCAATAAACGCGACAAGGACGAGACACATATAGACACATACTACATGTACACATTGATACAATTCCACATTGTATGGTTTGTATGTCTTGCATGATATATATATATATATACATATGATTACATATGTATATATTTATATAGATTATATGAGAACTACACTGTAATGATATGATAAGATATGATATCACATGATGTGACACGACGCAATACAAAATGATACGATATGATAAGACATAATATGATACATAACTTGATACAATGTACTACAATATACTGCAATATAACACAATAATATACAATATATATATATATTATATAATGTGATAGTACAATATGATACGACACGATATGATCATATGATACAATATAACGTAATATGATACCAGTAGTACCGCACAAGGCGGTGGCGGAAGTTTCAATAATAGGAAACCTATAGGAGAGGTTGGTTGTTGTGAATCAGGGATGGCAGAGCGAATCCACTGATGGACTCAAAGGTGCTTGAGGTCTCCTCTCTTTCCCTCTCTTTCTCTGACTATCTACCTACCTACCTACCTACCTATCTATCTTCTACGTATCTATCTGTCTTCTATGTATCTATCTATCTATCGATCGATCGATCGATCTATCTATCTATCTCTCTCTCTCTTTCATCTGTCTATCTGTCTAGCTGTCTACCTGTCTATCTGTCTGTCTATCTATCTATCTATCTATCTTTCTATCTGTCTATCTATCTATCTATCTATATATATATATCTCTCTCTCTCTCTCTCTCGCTTTCATCTGTCTATCTGTCTAGCTGTCTACCTGCCTATCTGTCTATCTATCTATCTATCTGTCTATCTGTCTACCTGTCTATCTGTGGTGCAGTGTCGTTCAGTGTAATGTAGTGTAGTGTAATGTAGTGGAGTGTAGTGGAATGTAGTGTAGTGTAGTGTAATGTAGTGTAGTGTAATGTAATTTAGTGTAGTGGAGTGTAGTGGAAGGTAGTGTAGTGTAGTGTAGTGTAATGTGTAATGTAGTGTACTGGAGTGTAGTGGAGTGTAGTGGAGTGTAGTGGAGTGTAGTTGTAGTTGTAGTTGTAGTGTAGTGGAGTGTAGTGTAGAGTAATGTAGTGAAGTGTATTGGAAGGTAGTGTTGTGTAATGTAGTGTAGTGGAGTGTAATGTATTGTAGTGTAGGGTAGTGTAACTTAGTGTAGTGGAGTGTAGTGGAGTGTAGTGGAGTGTAGTGGAGTGTAGTTGTAGTTGTAGTGTTGTGGAGTGTAGTGTGTAGTGTAGTGTAATGTAGTGTAGTGGAGTGTAGTGTAGTGTAATGTAGTGTAGTGTAGTGTAATTTAGTGTAGTGGAGTGTAGTGGAGTGTAGTTGTGTTGTTGTAGTTGTATTTGTAGTGTAGTGGAGTGTAGTGTAGTGTATTGGAAGGTAGTGTAGTGTTGTGTAATGTAGTGTAGCGGAGTGTAGTGTAATGTAGTGTAGTGTAGTGTAACTTAGTGTAGTGGAGTGTAGTTGTGTAGTTGTAGTTGTAGTGTACTGGAGTGTAGTGGAGAGTAATGTAGTGAAGTGTATTGGAAGGTGCGACTCCTAAAATCGAACCACTCCCAGCGGCAAATCCCCATGGCAGTGAAGGACGGAAAAACTCCGAAATTGCACCTCAAAACTCCCTAACGTAACTTCTGAAACCAATAGAAAAAATATTTTTGCAGCTATTTTTTAGCTACTTAGAAAAGGATGATTTTAGCTACTTTTTCCTCTTGCTGCTGCTGCTGCTCGTGCTCCTGCTGCTCCTTCTGTTCAAATGACAGCTCCAGGATGCGAAACACCTGGCCTCGCCACACCCAAACACCACCTAATTTTGTGTTCAAAAAGGCGCCAAAATGAACCACCAGAAATCCCTAACGTCCCTTCTGGAACCCTACTACAGAATACCAAAACACTTGTCCAATGCTGTTAAATCTTGCTGCTGTTGCTCCTTGCTGGTGTTGCTGTTCGGCTACTTTGGAAAACTTCCCAAAAACCGTTGTTGCATTTCTTGTTGTCCACAACCTCTCTTCCCTGATGCGCTCCCCCTTGCCGTCGGCCGGGGTCGGCGGATATATATATATATATACATACATATACGCCCATGCTCTCGATACGCATGATTGGATGCATGTGGTCTTGACTGGAGAGATACCTGTAGGCATACAAAATCATACATGTGGGATGTACATATGACATACAATACAAATCCCTGTGCACCTCGCGTACGTGCAGAGCTAGACATGGACATACATACATGTGGATGTATAGACATATTAGACAACATTGTAAAACATATGTGGTATACATGTATGCATACACACACATGTATACATATATGGATATTTGTGCAGACAGACAGGGACTCACAGATCTTGAGAGATACATACTTGAATACACAAATTCACATCTGCGCAGGCACACATATGCCCGTACACACACAATCCATACATGGCTATGTGCATGCATACGTTTCTATGCATATATACAACTACAGTACATATAGATATATAGATAGACATGCAAATTGTGTGTGCATGTATGCGGATATGCGGCATACATGTGGTATATGTGTGTGTATATATATATATTATGTACTTATGATATTTATGGGTTTTGTTTGTATAATCTTGTACATACATAATTGTGCTTCACAAACTGCCAGAGTTGTAAGGTACTGCACATGGCTGCCATCCCAGTTTGTTCCTGTCCAGCCCAGGAGTCACCTCGAGGCGCTGGCAATGCTTCCAGGACTGAAGAGTTTTTTCGGCGAATCTGGATATTTGGAAAAGCTAGAAAACGCACTTAGCCTTCATTGTGGTTTGGAAGACTGAGGAAGACTCATGAGACTGTCACATGTTGACTCCATGACAGCAGGAGCAAGAGCGGCACTGGAGCCAGTCGATGCCTTACGGACAACTTTGGTAGCGGCCAATTGGGGTATATCAAAGGCTTAGTCACCTAGCTCTCTCGAAGCAGAGTTGAGATGCAGATGTTTTTTTTTTTTGACTTTTGAGTCAAGAAGGCACAATTTGCGCATGTACTCCTGATCATTCTTTGAACAGTCTCAGTTTTACCCAAGGTGTTTACTGGTGTTCACTGCACTGTCCCGTCTTTCCAAATAGATGGGCTCACTAGAGCTAAGGAGACAGCTCTGCAAACCCTCGTGTCATCCTGCCTTGAATTTAAAAGAGTTGAGCTAATCAGACCTTTGCAAGGCATGTTGTTCCCCTTGTTACTTGTTTCTATTTGTTTCCATGCGGCATTGAGCAGGTGGCAGCTGATACCGCTGCGGCGCCTGAGGTTGGTCACTCCTTCCGCAGAAGTACAGTGTATGAATGTATTTGACATATTTGACCATTGCACCCTGCGCATTGAGCTACACGAAGGTGAAAACATGCAAGTTCACACTACTGCGCTATGCTATGCATTCATAATACGATTTCCAGAAATTTACTGAAGCACAGAATCGGCTTGGATGCAGCCATTGTTGGTCATTTGTTGGTGGTGCCTTGAAGTCTGTATCTGTGGCACTTTACTGTGTCCCAGTGTGTGGATTGGGGGATGGCCCTGCTTTGGTTCTCGTGTAGTTGGCCTGCCAAAGCAAGCGGCTGTGTCGGTTCAGTGGAGACGGTCTGATGCATCATATCAACGATTGACGGATATTTTCACCTTTAAGATACTGCGCTTGCATTGCAGGCATCAGATCTCATCGCAAAGGTAGACCATGAGTTGGACCAGTCTCAGTGCAAAGCTACTCGGTGGCAATACGCTAATTTGGTGGTCATAGGTTGTCCTAGCCCCAGTCACTGTCCCTCTGGGTCTTGTGGAGTGTTCGCGATGAAATACGATGCCAACATATGCAAAATGAGCAATCTCAAACTTGGCGCTTGGTCTTCATGCAGGATTTGGAAACTCGTCGGCGGGTCTTCAAGGCTGCTTGCACTTGTCGATTTCATACAATCACGATGTCTGGGTATTTCTTAATTTGCTCGAACTTTGTCCAAAGTGCGACGTCTCGTGTGCAGAATCTCATCCTCAAGTGGCACCCAGACAAGAACCAGGAAGAGGCTCTCGCTGCGGAGGCAGCTTGATCTGATACCGTGACAGAGCCTCATTGTATACATTGAAATTTCATGATTTTTATGTATCAAAGCGCATCCTGTTCAGGTCTTTCGCCATTTAATGGCGCGGCGGGGCAGATTCCTGGAGGCATTATAGTGTGATCAGGAGGACATGTCTGAATGAGTCTCATTCAGACACATTTCCTATTCATGTCATTTCATATCATGGATTCAAGCAGCAGCAGTTGGCAGTCGCAGGCTTGACGCAGCATTTGGTCCTCAACGTGAACACACTGAAGTCTGGTGTGTTTATGCCGTCGTCTTGGACTTTTTTTTGGCGCACATGTTTGTGCTTTGTAAATAGAGTAGAGCAACCGTGGCGAGCGCCCAAAATGGTGCAGCTTGCAGCGGTGTGCAGTTGGACAAGCCTCACTGGGAGATGTTGAAGCCTCCCTCACAAAGCTGAAATAAATGCCGATCACTGGAATTGTTCAGCGCGAACCGAGTTTAAACTTATCCTGTCGAGAGCATTTTGCAGTGACATGTAGTGACTCCATGCGGCCCAATCGGAATACAGATCAACATGATCGAATCAAACTCTGCTTGATTCTTCATCCTGCTGCTGCTGCAGCCTTCCATAGATTCAAACATAGTTTAATTTTTCCTTGCTGACTCTTTGACCAACGTTTCGGGCAGTTTGCATTGCTCGAAGCGTTGAGGACCCGTGAAGAAGTGCCGTGGAGAACGGTTTACTCACGTTTTTGTGATGCTCCAATGTGAAACTATTCAACGACGGCCAAACCTTGTCGAACTTCTCAAGCAAAGAGATTGAATTTGGAACTGCAGGACGTGGATATCGGTTCTATGGCAGATCGGGACACTGATGTGCAGGCTAGTGGCCTTGCGGTGGGTGGCAAGCTAAAAGAAAATCAAAACAAATTTGGTCAAATCTATCTTCAAATTCTTTAAACCTTAATTAACCTAATTAATTATATACCTAATGGAGGGCTATTTATTTTAAGAATTGTTTTTTTTTATTCCTGCTTTTCTGCTGTCCCTGCTTCGCTGCTTCTATGCTTTTCTGCATCTCCGCTTTTTGATTTTCCTGCTTCTCTGCCTTTCTGCTGACACCCTAAAAAAGCCCTAAATGAAACCCTGAAGGTAGAAACCCTAGATGAAACCCTGAAGAAACGCTAAACCTAAATGAAACCTTAAAGAAAATCGAAAGATACCCTTAATGCACACTAAATGACACCCTAAATGAAACCCTAAAGAAACCCTAAATGAACCCTAAAGAAACAAACAAAATGAAACCCTAAAGATTCCCAAAGAAACCCACATGAACGTGTGAACTACCAACATGTAGCAAATACCACTCAAGATGAGAGGTTGAAGTGCCAAAAATATCGCAAATACCGCGCAAAATGGAAGGTAAACATGCCAAAATGTAGCAAATACCATACAAAATGACAGGTTCTAGTTCCAAACTGTTGCAAATAGAAGGCACATGGCACAAGGAAAAAAATCTAAAAGAACACCCCAAACCTTATCAAACAAATCCTAAAACTATTCTTCACCAATACCTAAAAAATACATTAAAATATCATATTATACCTAATTACAGTATACCTGATTCCCTTTCAACATTCCGAGCATTGCGGTGGCATGGCCAGGCCGCGGACATTGAGGATGATGGCTCCTACCAGGGCCCCGGGTCGAAAAAACTTGTGACTTAGCTAGGAATTTGAGATGTGGATAGATTGCAGTTTCGATTGATGTGGACAGATTTCACTTGTCGCGCGAATTGTTGTTTTCCTGCTGCTACCGTTATCACACGACTTTGCACTTTTTGTATCTTTTTGTGCGCTTATGTGATTTATGTGCATTTTTTCTCTACCGGCGGGCCACAGCACATCCGTGCACTTCCAAGGACCAGCTGAGTCGACAAGGATCCTTGAGTGTCTTCCGAGACATTGACATGGTTTGCCGCCAAGTTACAGCAAGATCACATAGCACTCCATGTGCGATTTTGATGTTTTCTGTTCTTTTTGGGAAGTACTAAGTAAACTAAGTAAGCCAGAGCTGGCGTTTGTTGCGTTTGAGTTTGCTCCCATTTGTTTCCCTCTTTTCAATTCTTTTCATCCCCCTTGGCCAAGGAGGACCTGGTGAAAGACGCGCAGGAACAGCAGCTCCTTTCGGAACCAAAGTGCCCCCAGAGTTGTTTGGCCGATTCTGCCTGCGTATTGGATCGCATTCGAATCGTATTGAGCCATGAAAATACTAGCAATATTTTTGAGATTTATCATACAACATCACAAACCAATGAGTGTTATTGCTATTAGAATCATTGACAGTAGAACCCATAATATTATATGTTATATGTTATATGTTATATGTTATATGTCATGTATTATATCTTATATCTTATATCTTGTATCTTATATCTTATATATTTTAATATATTTTATATATTACATATTATATATATATTATAAAGTACTATTATTATTATTATTATTGTCGTGTATCAAATATTGCTACTATTGTCACCATTTTCCCGATTTTCTTTGAGCAGAAAGTCGTGTTATGTTGAGACTTTGAGACCTGGTGCAAAAGAGGCTTTCAGGTACACAAGCAACAACCTGGATGTGCCAGTTGTTATTGTGACAAGTGAGATCAGCCCTTGGCCGCTTGACGAATCATGTGCAAAGCGTCACAATGATCGATGCAAAGTTTTGGATTTTGGATTGTCACAATGGGTTCGTGTTTGACACTGACAAGCCCAGCTATGAGATCTCCAGGGAGAGAAGGCAAGAGATGCCACTGGAAACGCCACGTTTGCCAGTGCACCTTTGACTTTAGATTTTTTTTGGGGCCTTTTGCATACTCTTCTGTGAGTAAATCAGTGAGTCAATCAGATTGCATATTGCCAATACGCTTGCCTTTTCAAATGTGGTTATCCGCCCACTCGCAAAGTCTAGCCTTGATTTGATGCCTTCTCTTTGTTCTCGGGACTCAATCGACTATGCATATCTAGTCACTTGAAAATACTTGAAACAACGTTTTTAATTTAGCATCATTGAATGTAGACGCATGTGCGCAGAAATGCCAGGAGATCATCCTTGCACTTACTGCTACACAAGGTTGAATAGAAGTAGCTGAAAAGCGCGAGATACACAACAGGCATCATAGACTTTGACACCATACCGACCATACCCCTTTGCGTTGGCACTCTTCGCGAACTACCCCCCGCGTAGGCTACCTCTGCAGTCCGCGTAGGCTTCGAGTAGACTTTACGTAGCATTGATGAGTTCAAAGGGCTAAGCATCAAAAACAACACAGCTCATACTGTATAGTATATTTATATATATAATTATATATACTAAGTCACCAGCAGATAGAATATTCAAAAAACACTGGACAACAGATAGAATAGTCCAAAACGCTATCAGCAAATCCAACAGATAGAATATTCATGATAAGCAAAACATTAAAGAAACTATATGATTTTGATGATTTTTGCAAGCAAATCAAGAGATAGAATATTCTCACCTGCAAAAATGATGTAGCCCTAAAATCATTGATTCTCTATGGGATTAATGAGATAATATTGCATTTGTGTTTCAATGTTTTCCATACCTTAAATCATTGATTCTCTATGGGATTGCTGAGAAAAAAATGATGCATTTGGTTTCAGCGTTTTCCATGATGTTATATTTTTGAAATCATTGACTATCTATGGGATTGCCGGGAAAATGTTGCATTTGATGTCAATGTTTTCCACAATATTGTGTCCCTCAGATGATTGAATAGCTATGGGATGATTAGGAAAACATTGCATGTGGTTTCTACTAATTGCACATCCAAACACATGAAAATTGTATTCTTGCTAAGGCTTGTGCCAATGTTTTCCTAATATATGATATTTATAGAATGTGACCACTGGCAGCCAGCAAAGCTGGCATTCCAGTCTGAATATTCTATCTGTTGATTTTTGAAGACTGTTTAAAAAGAAATATATAATCTACAAATATATATACAGATAACATTATATTTTGGAATTCTTCCAAAACCATACCTTCAACATCTCCCACCCACCAGATAGAATATTCCAACAGACCAATGATACCAGTGATATTCACTTTTTGATGAAACAATTCTTATGTTGTTTCATAGATAAAATATGAAGTTCAACGAGATCACCCAAATTCACCAATTCAAACGTTAAAAAATTATTCTTTGTTGGGTACAATAATCAGTAATCCATGGAGGATGCAGAAAACCTATATATATATACATGAAACCAACAGATAGAATATTCCAGTGATATTCACTTTTTGATGAAACAATTCTTATGTGGTTTCATAGATAAAATATGAAGTTCAACGAGATCACCCAAATTCACTAATTGAAACGTTAAAAGTTCATTCTTTGTTGGATACAGTAATCAGTAATTCATGGAGGGTGCAGTAAACCTATATATATACATGAAACCAACAGATAGAATATTCCAACAGACCAATGATACCAGTGATGATTCCTTCTTTGATGAATATATTGATATGAAATTGTTGATTTTGTTGATATTCATTCTTCATCGAATAAAATATACCATTGAAAATGCAGAAAACCATATATATATATACACGGATCCAACAGATAGAATAGTTCAGAGATATATTTCCATAAATTATAAGCTCAAAATATCAACGATTTCGTATATATATATATATACGCGAAATCAACTTTTTGCTACTCATCTTAAACAGATAGAATATTCTCACCGGGAAACCAGGTTTCACCCGCAAATTTTTCGATCTCTGAACACTGGATAATATTCTATCTGCTAGTGCCTTAGTATATATATATAGATTAGCCTTTTTCAAATGTAATGTGTGCGATCACTACATAGATGAGTACTGGGCTCTTCTGTTTTTACTGAGCATTCCAAGCCTTTCTCATTGTTCATGTCATGATTCATGTCATGATTCACGAGCAGTTTTTTTCATTTTTAGAAAGCTGCACTGCAAGGTCGAAATCAGGTGGCCTTGCGCTTGTCACAGCTTCCTTGGCACGGGGCTAAGTTCTAACTCTACCATACTGGCATAATCTGTTGTGTAGATACGTATAGATTGTCAAATTATATCAAATAGTCTTTCCAGGAACAATTGCTCTTACAGTACCAGAGCAATCAGTAGGGGCATGTTGATCCCTGAGTCTTTGTCTGCTGATAGGCTCTTGAACTGGCAGGGAGAGGTCATCGAACAATGGCAGTTAGCCCAATGCAGCTTGGCGTTCCCCCAAAAATGATACAAGTTCTCGAGATAAACAGTATCGCTCACACCAGCTTACCAACTCTTGTTCAAAGTAGCTTCATGAGTTTTTGAATCCTTGAAGTTCTTGATTGTTCCTGTATCAAGAAACAACTGACAACTCAAGGTATGACAATTTTGCCAATTGTAGCTACCTGTCTTCCAAGACGTTCTGTCCTCAGTCTGGTCTTCTCCCACAGCTGCAACTTTGTATCAGTTTGGAACGTCGCGTACTGTGCAAAACATGACGGAGTCAATGCATCGGACCTGTCAATTATTGGAGCCACGTTGTTTGAATTTCACCAGCCTTGTGTAAGTGTGCCTGCACGTGTATGCATGTGTGCCTGTGTGCGTGTGTGTGTGTGTGCGTGTGTGAACCGTTGCTGTTATTCGCAGCATCACAAACGGAATTACAGTTTTTACAACACATGTTGCCCGCTTCCACTGTAAAACAGCCAGTGCTGAACCACAACGATGTTGAAAGCTTCAAATCATGAATGCAGGGGATGAGCCGAGATGATAGGGACATGAACAAGGCAACAACGTGAGCATTAAGGAGGGCTATGCCATGGCTTTTCTCCAGTCTGATCAACTCCACATGCCTGCTTCAGGTTGAAATGAACAGGCCAGTCAAGAATTTGTTTGCCGTTTCAAGATGATTTATTAAGAAGAGTTTCCACAACTTGATCCTTTGGACTTCCGATGAATTGGATTTCTGGACTCCTATCAAATCTATCAACAATTTTCTGAAGGGGTGTCTTAAATTCTCCTGGCCTTCTTGGGAAGTGGACACTTAGGACCCCTCAAGGCGAGTATAAGGACATCCCCTAAGGGTTTACATCCAACTAATCTGCACAGCGTCAGTGGCAGTCTGGGTGTGTTAAGCTGTTGTGTTCATACGGCCAGTCTGAAGGGAAGTGGAGAGCGTTCTTGGAGCCACCACTCAATAAGGACGCTCTAATTTTGCTGCGACATGTAATATGGATGCAGATTGCAGATAGCTGTGAGCGAATGCGCTTTACAAACTTTTCGGTTGGTTAGCTGCGATTTCTCATTGCAGCCGGCCAAAACAAGAACCAGACATCTGAAAGGTTTGTGATGGTTTATGCCAATTTTATGCATGTTAAATGTTAATGCTCCGATTGCTTGCCGAACAAGGCACCAGGTTGCTGCTCCTTCCATCTGCCATGTGCAACCCTGTATATAAATGTGCTTGGATATGTTTGCGCGCTGCTTAGGGTTCCCGCAGGTGAGAGCGAGATCATTATTACAGTTTTCCTCAGCGAAACATATGCCAAGCATATCTCTGGGGTTTGCTTTTTACACATTTTGCAAATCTTGATCAGAGGGTGTGACATGACAGATGTCTTGAATGAATCGTGTATTTTGACCAAGTTGGCTTTGTTTCTGCAAGTTTCAGTTGTGCACAAAGGACACATTGACAAATTCATCACGTGATTGCCTACCGGCGCAGGTGCAGCTGGCACCTTGATGCCGTACTGTATGTATATAATTAGATAATAATTTGACATAATTTGGATGACTTAAACCCCGGCAAATGCTTGTTTCATTTTGTCAAATGTTTTTCCTAAGTGTGAAGTGTGGAGTGGAGAGTGTGAAGTGTGAAGTGTGCAGTGTGAAGTGAACTGTGGAGTGTGTTGCGGGAAGTGTGGAGTGTGAAGTGTGCAGTGCCAGGTGTACAGTGTGAAGTTTGGAGTTTGGAGTGTGAAGTGAAGTGTGAGGTGTGGAGTGTGAAATGTGGAGTGTGAAGTGTGGAGTGTGAAGTGTGGAGTGTGGAGCATGGAGTGTGAAGTGTGTAGTGGGGAGTGCTGAGCGTGAAGTGTGAAGCGCGGAGTGTGGAGTGGGGAGTGTGGAGTGTGAAGTGTGGAGTGGAGAGTGGGAGTGTGATGTGGAAAGTGAGGAGTGTTGAGTGTGGATTGTGAAGTGTCAAGTGTGCAGTGGAGAGTGCGAGGTGTAAAGTGCTGAGTGTGAAGTGTGAGGGTGTAGAGTGTGAAGTGTAGAGTGTGGAGTGTGAAGTGTGGAGTGGCGGGTGCAAAGTGTGAAATGGAGTGTGAAGTGTGGAGTGTGGAGTGTGAGGTGTGAAGTGTGGAATGTGGCGTGTGAAGTGTGGAGTCTGGAGTGGGAAGCGTGGAGTGTGGGGTGTGATGTGTGGAGCGTGGAGTCTGGAGTGCTAAGTAATACTGGGAAGTGCTTTGTGCAAGCTTTGTAGTACAAAGTGGTACCGGGAAGTGCCTTTGTGCAAGGTTTGTAGCACAAAGTAGTACCGGGAATTATTCTGTGCAAATTTTGCAGTATAAAGTAGTACTGTGAGGTCCTGTGTGGACGCTTTGTAGTGCAAAGTTCCAGATGTGTCAAGCAAGAGTTTCCAACAAGAGTGTCTTACAAGAGTGTTTCAGAGTATTGAGAGAGAGTGTTTTGCCAGAGTGTGCCACAAGAGTGTCGAGCAAGAGTGTCAGTGAGGCAAGAGTGTCTCGTAAAAGTGTCCCGCAAGAGTGCCCCACAAAGAGTATGCCACAAGAGTGTCACAAAAGAGTGCCCCACACGATTGTCCGAGAAAAGTGTCAAGCAAGAGTGTTTTGCAAGAGTGGCCTTTCATGCGATCGAGCATCTCCTGTTCGCTTTTCATTGTTCTGTAGGAACCCTTCTTCTACGTTCGGGTTCGTGGCTTCTATCAGGTTTTCTCAACACGTCAGCGAACCCAGAGCGCACTGGTGAAAAAAAAGCCAAACCAACACCGACTAAAGAAAAACCACGAAGTTTGCACGTCACAAATCATAAACTGATGTACAATGATATAAATGGCACGCATAGATCATATATGATCCTTGCAGATCTAGCCATGCGACGCCACCATGATCGGCAGAGCTCCTGTTTTCCAAATCATGCCTCAATGTTGAGTCTGAAAAATTGAAACACACTTCCTTCAGGGATGCCGTTGTCGTTCTGAATAAAACCAATTTTGATTCCCAAACATTGCAACAAGATTGCTTCTTTTAATGCGTCACATAAAAATCAGAAATCTAAAGTTTTATTTCCTGATGTCCCTGGCAAGTCTTTGCATTTATTGTCGAACAGGTCTGTTTGAAGACACATATTATGCTGTGAAACATTTGCTGTGCATTCAGATGTCTGAGAAGTGCAACATGAAAAGTACCAAGGATTTGGTTGTTTGGGTGGGAGCACGAGGTGAAGCGCCGTGCTCAGAAGAAGATTCAGAATTGTGGGGCGGAACTGCTGCATTGGCATGATCGGCACCTAGGTATTTTCACATGTGGCAGCCCTTGGAGGTTGAAGGGACCAAAGGACTGCTCTGACCGAAGTATGAAATGAGATGTCAAACACCTATTGTACTGTAAGTTGTTTTTGATCTTCGTGGGACATTTTGAGGTTACTTGTAGGATATTGGTCTTTAGTGATGGTCTAGTGCCAGAATGATGCAAATCTGCATGGCAGCGCTAGATTGGCGAGTAGGGTTTTTGAGTTCAGAATCATAAATCAGGTACCCGCTTTCTTTCCTGTCCTTTTCCTTTCTTCCTTTCATCCTTTTCTCCGTCCATCTTTGCCTAGGATGGACAGATGAGAAGTGTGGTGAGGGGGTGGGCAAAGACTTCAAAGACAACCTACAACGTATGCCAGAATTGAAGTAATACTGTACAACGCTCCACCACTAGCACAGCCGTGTGTTACTATCAACACGAACCCAAACACCACTATTCCCGGAGACCGTGACTCGAACAAACTTGTAGAAACATGTAGAAACTGAAAATGCTTCAGAGATTTTACGCTAGACTATGCAGTAGGTTGGCGCTGGAGAACCCGTGAATTGAGATTGGTTGACCATTTCACCGTGAGTCATAAGTGTGTTGTCGACAACTTTGGCCTAGCTTGCTTTTTGGACGCATACGTTTAGTTTCTGTTTCAAAAAGACTCCCCACTAGCTACGTTTGCCAGATTGTGTACCTCAGGCCAAGGTACTTCCACTTCCATACACTATGCATACACCCTAAGTTAAGACATGTTAAAATTAAACGAAGAAGGAAGAAGAAGAAGAGGAAGAGGAAGAAGCGGCCCCCATTAGACAAACTTCAAGTTTTTTTTTCCGAGAGCGTCTGAGCGCAGGGTTCTTCCAATAGTGGGGGTCTGTCTCTCATCTTCTCATCTTCACATCTTCTCATCTTCACATCCTCACATCTTCTCATCTTCATATCTTCTCATCTTCACATCTTCTCATGTTCACATTTTCTCATCATCTTCACACATTCACATCCTCACATCTTCACATCTTCTCATCTTCACATCTTCTCATCTTCACATCTTCTCATCTTCACATCTTCTCATCATCTTCACACATTCACATCTTCACACATTCACATCTTCACATCTTCACATCCGCTCATCTTCACATCTTCTCATCCTCACATCTTCTCATCTTCACATCTTCACATCTTCTCATCTTCACATCTGCTCATCTTCACATCTTCACATCTGCTCATCTTCACATCTTCTCATCCTCACATCTTCACATCTTCACATCCTCGCATCTTGACATCTTCTCCTCTTGCCTTCTTGCCCTCTTGCCCTCACATCTTCACATCTTCTCCTCTTGCCCTCTTGCCCTCTCCTTCTTTTCTATTTCTCTTCTGAAGGCGGGGGCAGGGGCAGTGCCAACGAGACGGCACGAAACGCAACCCTTTCGCACGAAATGAGGCTCGATCGCGAAAAACTGAAGTAAAATTGCGATTTCAACTTGTCCCGCGCAACCCTTTCGCACGAAATGAGGTTCGATCGCCAAAAACTGCGGTAAAATTGCGATTTCAACTTGTCCCGCGCAACACTTTCGCACGAAATGAGGTTCGATCGCGAAAAGCTGAGGTAAAATTGCGATTTCAACTTGTCCGGCGCAACCCTTTTGCACGAAATGAGGTTCGATCGCCAAAAACTGCGGTAAAATTACGATTTCAACTTGTCCCGCGCAACCCTTTCGCACGAAATGAGGTTCGATCGCCAAAAATTAAGGTAAACTTGCGATTTGCAAGTCGTCCGGCGCAACCCTTTCGCACGAAATGAGGTTCGATCGCCAAAAACTGCGGTAAAATTGCGATTTCAAGTTGTCCCGCGCAACCCTTTCGCACGAAATGAGGTTCGATCGCCAAAAACTGAGGTAAAATTGCGATTTCGTGTTTCCGGCGCAACCCTTTCGCACGAAATGAGGTTCGATCGCAAAAACTGAGGTAAAATTGCGATTTCAACTTGTCCCGCGCAACCCTTTCGCACGAAATGAGGTTCGATCGCAAAAATTAAGGTAAACTTGCGATTTGCAAGTCGTCCGGCGCAACCCTTTCGCACGAAATGAGGTTCGATCGCCAAAAACTGAGGTAAAATTGCGATTTCAAGTTGTCCCGCGCAACCCTTTCGCACGAAATGAGGTTCGATCGTCAAAAACTCGGTAAAATTGCGATTTCAAGTTGCTCCGTGCAACCCTTTCGCACGAAACGAGGTTCGGTCGCCAAAAACTGAAGTGAAATTGTAATGTCTCTTGTCCAATCGCCACCCTTTCGCATGAGATGAGGTTCAATCGCCCAAAACTGAAGCAAATTGCGATTTCCTGTGTGTAAAAGCGTCTGTGTGTAAACACGTCTGTGTGTAAAAGCGTCTGTGTGTAAAAGCGTCTGTGTGTAAAAGCGTCTGTGTGTAAAAGTGTTAGTGTGTAAAAGCGTCTGTGTGTAAAAGCTTTTGTGTGCAAAAGCTTTTGTGTGCAAAAGTGTCTGTGTGTCAAAGTGTTTGTGTGTAAAACCGTCTGTGTGTAAAAGTGTCTGTGTCTAAAGGGGTCTTTGTGTAAACGCGTCTGTGTGTAAAAGTGTTAGTGTGTAAAAGCGTCTGTGTGTCAAAAAAAGCGTCTGTGTGTAAAAGCTTCTGTCTGTAAAAAAGCTTCTGTCTGTAAAAGCTTCTGTGGGTAAAAGCTTTGTGTGTAAAAGTCTCTGTGTAAAAGCAACAGTGTGTAAAAGCGTCTGTGTGTAAAACTGTCTGTATGTAAAAGCGCCTGTGTGTAAAAGTGTCTGTGTGTAAAAGTGCCTTGTGTGTAAAAGCGTCTGTGTGTAAAAGTGCCTTGTGTGTAAAAGCGTCTGTGTGTAAAAGTGTCTGTGTGTAAAAGCTTCTGTGTGTAAAGGCTTCTCTGTGTAAAAGCTTGCTCTGTGTAAAAGCTTGCTCTGTGTAAAAGCTTCTGTGTGTAAAAGTGTTTGCAATGCAAACTATTGTCTTGTACTTGTGCTATATTGTCTTGATACTCCTCTTCTCGACTGCCTATAACACATCTTTAATATATTGTTTTGTAATATGGTGTCTCCATACTAACAAGAGAAGACCCTGCTGCTCTACGCTCTCGGGCCATCCGTCGTCTAGTTATCGGTAGAAACATGTTGGCAACCACTCATGTACACTCCCGTCCTGTCCTAATCGTCAATTTTGGCAGCGCATCTGCAACAGAAAGTTTTAGTGCGAGATGTAGAGGATTACCGTAATGCAATGTAATCCATATATTATATATAATCTCTTGTATCCATGCTATGTAATAGGGCTAAACTTATTCGACACATCGCCATGGGTGATGGGACCCTGGGGAACTTGTTGTCTAATCCGAATATCTTCGCTGTTCTGCATTCTACCTTAAATCATCTTAAATCTGGGTTTGGAATATTTAGCAGTTTGTTTTCCACTCTAAGGTGTTGTCGTTGCATCCTTGTGTGTTGCTTTGCAGCACTGTATAAGTTTGCGATGTGCGCTTTGCCGGGGGGAATTGTTCACATGGTTGGCCAGATGGCACTCGTAGGTATACATTTCCTGACTTTGCCATGCCGGTGAAATCACCTTTCAAAACCACGTTGTCTCCCTCGGATACTGCTGCATGGCACAGACCTGGCTGATTCTCAGTACTTCGTCATTAAATTCGCACGCAATGCCATAGGTTTCAAAAACATGCAATGCAATGATGGTGTTAACATTTCGCTCTTGGCTTCAACATACTTTAAACAACTTTAACATATTTCAGAATAATCTAAAATACTTGAACATCTTTATCAGAATCTAACAGATCGTAGATCACAATCCCTGCCTCCAGCTTGCTCTGATGCTCTGTTTGCAGCTCGTGAGGAGTCGACTACATTTTTGTGGATCACCCGTGTTATCACCGACCTGGTGGCTTTCACCTCAGTGATTTTGCATTGCAGTGGCTTCACAGAAGAGATTACCGGATTATATCGGATTTCTTGCAAAATCGCTGATTCGTTTTTTGGTGCTATTCAGCCTATGCCTTTTCTTGTTGATTGCACGGAGGCTTGTACTACAATGCACAGGAGGGTGTTGAGTGAAATGCTGAGCTGTACAAGATTGAAATTGAGTGTTGATTTTCGATTGCCTCTGCTTAGTGGCATAGCTTGCAGTAGCATTCATTAGCTAGGTACTTGAATTGGGGACAGTGATTGCTTGCTCTGGCTGCTGTAGACATTATTGGATGTTAAACCAGACTGAACCATCTGAACTCTAGCTGATAGCTGACATGCTTTGAGGTATGCAGACAACCTTTTTCGGTTCGCTTTATTCACGCTCGCTGCGCTCGAGGCAAATCCAAGTCATGCATGTCCTCAGATGTCAGTGTGGGCATGAAATTGCACCAAATCACATGAAGACATGTGCCTCAGTCTGCCTGAGTCTGCCTGAGTCTGCTTGAGTGTCTAATTGATTCTTTAAGGACTGTTTCATGAAGAGGCAAAGTACATGATTTGAATATGTTGAGTCATCAACATTTGCCAGACTCATTCAAGTTCTCTCCAGTTTGAAATATTTTGAAGTAAACGCTGTTTGTCGGTGTATGCACTTTGTCGTCGACAACACAGTCACATTGTTTTGTAGTGACCACAGTGAAATCATGTGTATCAAACACGAAGCACCGGGCTGAAACTACAGTCATTTCAAATTTCATGTCATTTCATGTCATTTCATGTAATTTCTATTAATTTCTAATATTAGAGCGGTCAAGTCTTCGCACTCTGACTGGGAGAGGACTACGTACGTCTTCCTTCAAAATGCAAGACCCCAGAACCCGTATCAGGTGATTCATGGTGATTCATTTCTTTTAAGCATGCCAATTTGCGCCGCCCAGTGATGGAAAGTCCCAAGATTTCTGAAGCATGTCATCAGAATAACCCCTCCCTTTGTAGAAATCCTCTTTCAACTGAGGCAGAAGGCATTCTTCGCATCTTTTGGAATTTTGCAAATTTGGAACTCCATCCGTCTCCAGTAAGGGTGATGTGGCTCCTTGTTTGCGCACATCTATTAACTAATCAGGTCTAATTAGTGTATATAATTGTATATATATTATTATATATTATTATATATATATATATTATTATATATATATTTATTATATATTTATGAATTATTCGTATAATTATTAGGCATCCCTTGATATCCCTTGTGTGCAGGCTCCATGCTGTTGTGCACCTGGAGGAGCCGCCTATGGTGAGAAAGTCTCTGGGACAGCATGGTACAGGGTACTGTATCCCGGTATCCCTGGGATTCACTGGGATTCACTGGGTATCCGGAAAGATCAAGCAGTTCCACTGGCATATCAAAGCCCTTTTTCAGCAGTTCCACATAGTTCCACCGTGACGTGCATGGATCAGCCACTTGTCTGGTTTGGCATATGTAGAGTTGAAGGCGGATGAAACATATTAATGAAATTTAATGAATATTAATTATATAAAAATATGAAATCATTTATTCATTTGGTGTCATTCTTCTACTGGAGCGATGCATTACTCAGTCTTTGCATGCCACCAACCCAGGTAATGTTCATCGCCAACGACTGGCAAAGCGCGCTGCTTCCAGTCCGTATCGTAGCCCTCCTTTTTCAAGAATGCATGCACACTAAGTTTGCTTATATAGTTTATATATCATCATGTATCAAGGTCAAATATCGTCAAATATTCGCATGCCACTCGGTTTGCCTGAGTGGTCCAAGATTGGGAATCGCGGAGCTATTGAGGTTTATTTGACGCATAGAATGAGACCAATGCACAGGCCACTCCTAAAGACTTCGCTTCGCTTGAACAAATTTTGAACCTTCGACACGTATTTAGCGATGTTTGCAATATTCACTTCTGATATAATGGACAGTTTGTTTCATGGATCTACAACATTGGTTTCATTCTCTGGCAATCTCTGGCACCTTTATCGCAGCTGCTTTGCTTATATTGGGATTTCCGGCCATGACTGGCTTGAAGAAGGCTTGCAACGGACATACGGAGACCCTTTTTCTATCAGACTGTTTTTGTTTCAGGTGCTTTCGATTTTGTCACCTTCTGCATCTTTGCGCTGTCCGGTAATTTCTGGTGCGTTATGTGCGTTGTCCAAAGCCTCTTCGGGCAAGCCTGAGAGGTAGCAGTTTAAGTTACATGCAGTTACTGTAGCATCTGTAGCATAGGCCTCAGGCGGTGAATGCCAAGAACCTGCACCAGGTTGGAATAAGTCTACTCGGGCTGCTCCGCATGTTGCCGCAGCTAAGCATTGCTTCTTGCCTGAAGTCTGAGCAAGTTTACATTTGCATAGCTGAAATATGCTGAAATATCGTATAACATCGTATAATGATCTTATAGAATTTAAAACACATTCTACTATAGTGTTTTTTTTGGCGTTCTATGTTATTGTATATGTAAGGTTTTTTTTTTTGCTGCACGGCATCTTGTGATCTCTGGCTTGGCCAAAGAATACTTTGTCGCGACATAGCCAGATACTAACACGGCTCCCTTTTTGCAAGGGAGATGCTTGAAGATCACTGACAAAAACGCAAGATGTTTGCATTTATATTTATATTGCCAACCTCGATCCTGCACTTCTGTTGGCAAGGTCGGGGCCTTTACAGGAAGTGCACTGGTCATAAAGGCTAAGATGTTGGCGATTTTGCATTGACTTGCATCGATTTACAGTCTGATGCTGCGTAGGAGGCATGCCAGCCATGCTCAGCTTCGGATACGATGTGCTTTCTTGCACAGGTGGCTCCTTTGCTCGGTCTAGCCCCGAAGCCGCTGCAGCAGGTCCGTTAGTGCTATCAGACTCGACAACATGTTCGACCTTGAAGAGTCAAACTGGACACAGCATTCCTACGTTACACACATTCACAGGGACATGTATGCAACACAACCGGCATGAAACGACGTCATTAACTTGCACATAAAGTTAGACATTCACGCAGGGATAAATGCAGGCACAGGTTGGCACAGGCAAACGTGACAGAAGCATACTCACGTTCTCACAAAGAACGTACATACACAACCATGTCTATCATATACACATATATACACATCACATCACATCACATCAGAAAATACAAGTACGTTAGATGAATTGCACGTAAAACTGAAACCACGCTATATACCTGCATGTACAAGTACTTCGGACATGTGGCTTGCAGTACGCACAACGCTACCAGAACATATTTACATGCACGCAGCAGCGATCAAAAGCACCCCAAGACAAGATTCAAGACCAATTAGGCAAAGTCGTCCACTGCAATACCTTAGCCACTGCTGACGCTGCAGTTGCGGAAGTGCCACGCAAGCTCTCGCGGAAGCAAGGATTATATATCACTTCGCGGAAGCTCCGCGGAAATGCCAAAGACTTCAAATGTCACAGCGGAAGCCAAAACCCAAGCCGCAAAAGCATGGCGGAAGAGATTAGGAATGGACAGGCGGGCGTGCCAGAGGGTTTTGAACAATGCTCACCGAGACATGCTTTGGCAAGTCCCTGCATCCAGAGAGGGCTAGAGATGGAGCCAGACAGAAACTTATGGAGAATATGGAGATACAGAAACTTGCCAGACATATATGTGACATACTGGGCTCGTAAGTATGGATGAGTGGGGGCATGGATGGATGGATGCAGACGGTTGGACAGGGGGACAGACAGATACAGTAGACGCAAGCTGACAAACTGACATAGATGTACATGCCAACCTTTATGCGTAATTACAGAAGTACTGATGCATGTGTACTTGCATACGTACTTGCATAGTCGCAGTGCATCACACTGCTTTCTATTCTCTATTCCATCCCATCGTGTCCCATTCTGCTTTACCACATTTTACCACATTCCTTGACATTATGTCGCATAACAATGCATCACATAGCATCACGATGCATCACGCTCATACATGCCTGTGTATACGTACATGTGCTTTCCCTCAAGCCACAGAATGGATTGACCGTTGGCAAGAAAGAAGTAGGGATGGAAGCAGGAGGCAAGGCAAAAGGAACACACGTAATCTGTTTACATATTTTGCATATGTCAGTATGTTCCTCAGTCAGTACGTGCAGGCCTATCTACCTGACCTTTTATCCAACTGACCAACCCATCTCCTTCTCTGTTGACTCACTGAGGAGCTGACTAACCAACCTGCGCAACTCCATTGCGTGCGCTGCATTAGTTGCATTGCTGAAAACACATCCCACAGCCACGATGCATGCACATGCATACATGAAAGCATATACTTTTTAAACATGTTTGAACATGTTTTACAAATGCAGGTCCAAGACAAGTGGGAGACAAGTGTAGAATCACAGGGCCCACAGCACCATCAGCATACAGTCGTTCCATGCAGGGTATTAGTATTGCAACTTGACACTTCTAGGTTTACTGCCCATTGCAGTCTGCACTGACCACGATGTTAGGTTAGCCCTGGAAACAACCGTGTGCATGCACAATGTGTGTTGGATGTTGTCCAAAAGGGTATATAACGCGAAAGGATGTAGAGTTTCCATTTTTGCAATCACCCCCTCATCCATCCGGACAAACATACTACTCACACACACACACACGCAAATATAATACATTCATAGGATGCTTATGTCGCTATGCACATACGGCTCATATCCAAGACTCATTTCGCAAATCCAATAATTAATTTTCTGATCAACTATATTATGGTCAATTATTATGTATATCATTTGCACGGACATATAATATGTCTACATATACAGCACCTTTTCACTTGTGAACGCATTCATTGTTTTTTTGGGATCCCCATTGACAAACTGGTTTTCTTTGTTGTGGGTGCGTCCTGCCTTTCGGGATCTAATCCAGATGAAGTTGGATATTTGACATATTTGATACGACATTCACTTGATGTGACGCATCACACTGCAGGAAGTGTTTGCAGCGTATGCAAAGTTCATCCGCTTGCCGCTCCTTCACCCAATCGTATCCACATTTAGCTTGAGCACAGCTGGCTAAATTATGTCACGGTTGAGGGCCGCTAACTTCCGCTGACTTGATTTGGAGATGAAGATCGACGTGCAAAGGTAGTTTCGAGCATGCAAAGCCTAGCCAACTATGGCCAGGTGCGCAGAATGTGATGCTGGCGTTGGCGCTAACACACCTGGTGGACGTGGCCTCAGTTGTGTTTCCATGTTTTCCCCAGATAGCTGTGGGTGCTGACTTTGAAGAATTTTCCCCTGCACCCAAAACACAGTCAAGGACGCTGCGGTTCTTTTGAAGCGCAGGATTTTGCATCGCATGATTGCAATTGCTTTTGGATATTTTTGGATGCAGTGGAAAGTTGATCAAGTTCTTCAAGTTATTCTTTTTTCATCTTTTTTCGTTATTCCACAGGTCGCCACAGGTCTACATTGTTTGCTTTCGGGCTTTCGGAGTTCCATGCTGACCATGCTGAGGCTGTCGCTCTGCTTCTCTTCCCCGCGGGCTCGCAGCCTGCAAAGGTTGCTGGTCTCTGGGTCATGGTCGCGATGGCAGGTGCCAAGATTCCCAAGGAGACACTGGAGTTTCATCGGACAGGTAGTTTTCACTAGTATATTTGCTAAATTTTGATAAAATTTGCAGAAAATATCCGCGCCAACTGACTTGATACTACGCAGTCACACCCACGTGACACGACTGGACAAGTAAGTATGATCAATGGTGCTTTGCAGGTGCTGAGTATTGCACAAGGGCTGCAGATGTTGCTCCTCCTATGACGCCAGAAGAGTTCAAGTGGCAGGCGCAGGTGCCAGCATTGTTCGGTTGCGTTCCGGTCTTCCGGGGAGCTTTAAGTCACACCCACCGGGACTTGATGATGGCGATGATGACGATGGTGATGGTGATGGTGATGGTGATGGTGAGTGATGCATGTGCGAAAAAATGCTGCTTTCGCACATCTATATCACCATTTGCACATTGGCACAGCTGAAACTTGGAAAGACCCAAGGTCAACAATTAGATACAATTAGCACGTATTTGGTTGTGTTCGCATGCCAGGGAACCGAAAAAACAATGCAACACCTTGATGTTTTCTGACAAGATGCTGGGAACAGAACAGCTTGTGGCTGCTGCATCTTGTCGCTGGAGCTGGACCTACAGTATGTTTTGGCCGAGTAGCCGCAGGTTTTGGGAACCACCAGCCACATTTTCCTATTTCTTTGCGGGGCATATTGCATGGCCAGGACAGACCGAGAGGTCAGAAAGTTGGGGGTCAACCGTCCTGCTGTTTATTGTTTCCTTGTGTTGCTTTTGCTCTACTGCGAGAGAATGTGTGCAGGACCTCTTCCCTGGGGCTTGCCTCTGCCATCCTTGGCCGCAAAACAAAAAAAACGGAAGGCGCTCTTGCTGCGCTTGTCACAGGTATTTGCCATGACAGTTGTCACGGTGCTTGTGAACATTTCCCAACCCCTGTCGCATGCTGCACTTTTTCACTTTTTTGTACTTCATGTCAGCGCTTCATCTTTGATTTTTCCATGCCTTAGATTCTTTGCTGAGTTTGCCCTATGACTCCAAGATATGAAAACACAAGTGGGTGTGCTTTGCCAAACTTTGTCAGGATGTCCGGAAAAGAAAGGGGTCACCATTTCCAAGGTGCCGCTTTGTATGTAGCGCGAGTGAAACATGACAAATTCAACTCATTCAAGTCTTGAGTGTGCCCTTGAGCATGCGTTGTGAACAAAAGCATACAAATGCTGTGTCTACTGAGTCTACTCAACATTGTTTGTGCAGTCAGGATTCCAAAACCACGGCAAAAAAGCAGGAGCTGTTCCAACTGGACGCGCTGATATAGATGGCCAGTTTGCGAACTTGTACTGTAGGACAAAACTGAAATCGGCGACAGCAAGGCCGATACCCAGAAAGAAGTGCACTCCTCAGATTTTTGACGTCAGAGACGAAACAGGATGAAGGATGATGAAGGAACTTTTTGTTTCCAAGAATTCTGTTGTTTTGAGGCAAGCCGCAAGCGAACTACAACACCTCCGCCCAAGGCCCGCGATTCCTGGAGACTAAAGATGTCATCACTCACGATGGGCCTCGCATGTAGATCTTCAACCCTGGCATTTCAACTTGGAATGCACTCGTAGGAGAAATATGGAACAGTAGCTCTGGTGCATACGAATATGAGTGGATCTCTTTGTCTCTGCTCGTGCCTTGAATTTTTGCTTTGCAGTTCCAATGATCCAAGTCCTTCTGAAGCGCTGAATCCTATGTGCCAACACGCTTAATGTCTGTTCCGCATCACAAGCGACTTGCAGTTTTTTGTCGCCATTTCAGAGCCCTTTCTGTACAGAAGACCGGCCATTTCTTACGCACTGGCAGAATTGTTTGAGGGGATATACATTTGAATCATTGTCCTGCAAAATATGTTAGCAACCTTGCTGCCTTATCTCTCTCCTTGCTTCTATTCTCTCTTCTGTGTTGCGCAAGCCCCTTGGTTGGCAACATCCCGCAAGGAAGCTAAGTATTGGGATTTCGGGCAATTTTCAAACGCCCTACATATGAAAATAAATATATCAGGTGTATAAGTTCCATCCGGAATCTGAGTGGGATCATATTGAACCTGGATATCCTGGATTCTTTGTGGTTTGGTTGTCCATGGTGGTCCGGTTTCCGTGCGTTCAAACAGCCTCAGAACTGCAGACCGTTGCAGACTGAAACAGCATGAAACAGCGACGTGCCAAACTGCCGTACTTCAACCAGCCAAGCAGGTAGCCGGATAGAACCGGCCCGGCCAGAGTTTTGTGAGGTCAAGAAAACAAAATGACATTGCGATGATGGTGGCACTGTGTGGCCCTCTTGAAGCACTTGTGAAGCATTCGTTTGACATAGCACAGTGACATCACTGGTTGTCAAACGTTTTTTTTTCTTTTTTTGATTTTTTTTGGCAATTGCCGGAGCTCAAAACTCAGGAAAAGGAATTGCGGAATTGCGGCACAGCGTGGCCAGTGCGATGCTGAGATTTGACAAAGAACCAATTGGGGAAAGGTGCCAGCATGTGCCAGCAAAAGCAACAAGCCAGAACAAGCCCATGACTTGCTCGGCTTCTAGGTGAGTTCGAAACCCGTGCGCATCAGCCAAAGGAGAGGTGAAGCAGTCCCGCTGTGAAGGTGACTGCGAGATACTGCGAGGGTGATAGGGCATTGAGACCTTTAAATGTACAGTTTTATTTGAAGGCTGAAAATAGGCGCAGCAGGTTTCACACTAATTCAATACATCCAAGTTGCCACGTGCTCAAAGTGTTGTATTTCACCAGATTTCACTTCCAGCTCCCAGCATGGGCGTCCGTTTGCAAATGGTTTTCTATTGAGATGGCAACTGAAGGGCTAAGCCCTGCTCCAGCCCAAGCTATGCGCGACACCAGCGTCAGTATGCGTCAGCTTGTGTTTTGAAAGCCGGGCTATCAAAATTCAGTTTGCATGCTGATGTAACAAGATGCCAGCGAATGAGAAAGAGCTTGGCGAAGTCGTTTCGCCTGTCACGACCATCAACAAGCAGTTGCCTTATAGCCTTCTACAGTATTATTTGTTGAGTCTTGAATTTCCCTTGTCATCAGAATCAGAAGCGGTGATCCGTTGACGAAGATGTACTGTACACATATGTAAACAGGGAAGCTGAGCATGGAAGACAGGACCCTTCGGCGGGAAGTAGGGCGGATTCTTCAGCTTTCTTTTTGTAAGATTTGCAAGCAACAGTTGCTGCATTTTCAGGTTTCATCAGTCCAGATGTATATTTATTGTCCACAACTTTGGCTACCAGGCAGGATAAACACTTTTTCCCTGGAGACTGGGTGCAATTGGTATATTGTTCACCATCTTGTGACGGCAAATCCTCAATAGAAATGTGCGGGTGATGGCCATGTGTTGCCGCTAGGGAATCTATCCCTGCAACAAGTTGGTGCCCAATCCAGAGGCCTCTTGTCGCACAGTGGGGGCCAGCATAAACTGCGCAAGTGTGCCAACGACAGCCAAAGACTATCAAAGACTCTTAATTAAAGATGTTAAAACAGAATCAATCGTCATAGCTGCGATTGAAAGGCTATTTTCTGTACTGCACCGCATTGGTGACTCATGATTCGACTTTGACGTCCTTCATTAAGAAGAAAATGTAACTTAGTAACATCTCGCAACACAAGCCTTTTGAAGCAAAACCGTTGATTTGGCAGGGCACCCTCCCGATCATTATCAAGAATGTCGACATAGATGATTTTGGCTGGAGCCCTAATCTGCAAATACCTCGGCCTTAAAAGTTGTCTTATTTTTTGGGCTACCCAAATGAAAGCCCCGCTTGTGCGAATTGAATCAGACTCCCTTCCAGATAGTTTTTCTATATTTTCTTGGTACAGAAACATGTGCAATTGGCTTTTGCATGACACACCAAAGCCATCCGAAGCCAGAAAGGAGGTTGATTAAGGGAGAGGTGTTTGTTTGAGGAAAAATACAGTCAGTTCCTAATAGCACCCGTGTTGGTCTTATTTGTTCTGGTGTGACCTTTAGGAAGACAACAAATTGTTCTCAAGATACTTGGTTTGTAAAACGACATCCTAAAGTCCTAAATCTCTCATGGGTTGCCATGGGTTGCCCAGATTCAAGTCTGCATAGCCAGCATCACTCAATTTCCGGAAGTTTGTGACCGCTTTGTGCAATGAGGTTTGAATGACACTGGTGCCTATGAGCACATGATCTACCAATATCCTCCATGGGAGAGGCTTGAAGATTGATGCACTTAGAATTGTTTAGATATGGCAAGGATATTGAAAATAAGTATACGTACAATAGTGTGTATATAGTATATACTAGTACATGATATATATATATATATAATCAAAGGAGTTTAGTTCGAAAACTTCAACGTTACGGACGAATGTCCAGGGGTAGTCTTGTCATCATGTTCATGTCTCATCATGTCAGCCACATTATCATGCCAACCACATCATCATGTGAACCACTTGCAACCACTTGGGACGTGCAACAGCTCGGAAGCGTGTGAATTCACGGGTGAAAACACTCTCGGGCGCGAAACCCTGTGTTTTTTTTGGTAAAGTGCCTCCTGGGGTCGCTGAAGTAGGGTCTCTGTTTCCGCGGTAGTAGGCCTAGAGCTGCAAAAGTTGCCGCAAAAAGTGCACAGGACTATAGCGACAGCTCGGCTTCCGCTGCAAAATGTTGAAAAATCGAACGGACGCGGAGCGCCTTCATTCACTCATTCATTCCTTTCTTCATTCGTTCATTCGTTCATTCATTCATTCGTTCGTTCGTTCCTTCCTTCATATATTCACACATTCATACATTCATTCATTCGTTCGTTCGTTCATTCATTCATTCATTCATTTCATTTCATTTCATTTCATTTCATTTCATTTCATTCCATTCATTCATTTCATTCATTTCATTCATTTCATTCATTCATTTCATTCATTTCATTCCATTTCATTCCATTTCATTCCATTCATTCCATTTCATTCCATTTCATTCCATTTCATTCCATTCATTCCATTCATTCCATTCATTCCATTTCATTCCATTCATTCCATTTCATTCCATTCATTCCATTTCATTCCATTCATTCCATTCATTCCATTCATTCCATTCATTCCATTCATTCCATTTCATTCCATTCATTCCATTTCATTCCATTTCATTCCATTTCATTCCATTTCATTCCATTCATTCCATTCATTCCATTTCATTCCATTTCATTCCATTTCATTCCATTTCATTCCATTTCATTCCATTTCATTCCATTTCATTCCATTTCATTCCATTTCATTCCATTTCATTCCATTTCATTCCATTCATTCCATTTCATTCCATTTCATTCCATTTCATTCCATTTCATTCCATTTCATTCCATTTCATTTTCCATTTCATTCCATTTCATTCCATTTCATTCCATTTCATTCCATTTCATGCCATTTCCCATTTCATGCCATTTCCATTTCATTCCATTTCATTTCCATGCCATTTCATGCCATTTCATGCCATTTCATGCCATTTCATGCCATTTCATGCCATTTCATGCCATTTCATGCCATTTCATGCCATTTCATGCCATTTCATGCCATTTCATGCCATTTCATGCCATTTCATGCATTTCATTTTCATTCCATTTCATTCCATTTCATTCCATTTCATTCCATTTCATTCCATTTCATTCCATGTCATTCCATGTCATTCCATGTCATTCCATTTCATTCCATTTCATTCCATCTCATTCCATCTCATTCCATCTCATTCCATCTCATTCCATCTCATTCCATTTCATTCCATTTCATTCCATTTCATTCCATTTCATTCCATTTCATTCCATTTCATTCCATTTCATTCCATTTCATTCCATTTCATTCCATTTCATTCCATTTCATTCCATTTCATTCCATTTCATTCCTTTTCATTCCTTTTCATTCCTTTTCATTCCTTTTCATTCCTTTTCATTCCTTTTCATTCCTTTTCATTCCTTTTCATTCCTTTTCATTCCTTTTCATTCCTTTTCATTCCTTGATTCCTTGATTCCTTGATTCCTTGATTCCTTGATTCCTTGATTCCTTCATTGCTTCATTCCTTCCTTCATTCCTTCATTCCTTCATTCCTTCATTCCTTCATTCCTTCATTCCTTCATTCATGCATTCATGCATTCATGCATTCATGCATTCATTCATTCATTCATTCATTCTTTTTGATTACACCGACGATCACCCCCAACAACGTTACTACTTGGCTTGTGTATATATACCCGTACTTTGCGCGAATCCAATCTTAACTTTGATCGGTTTTATGACGTGTTCAAATGAGATACAACAACATGCTCGCATTGAAAAATGAAAAACATGTGTTTATTTGGGATCCACTAGAGCTGGGTTCCGAGAATGTTGCTTGGCAAGGGAAAGAAACAGATGAATCACGCTGAATCTGAATTGCAGCTTCCACTGTAGCTGGATGTCATGATACATCAGCTGGATGCTGGTGTGGATGCCTAACTTGAGCCACACCACTTGGGAAGGTCATACCATGGCGATGATGGAAACGTTTGGAACTTGACCAAGGCAGAACTCACTCTTTGACTTCGCTATATTTTATTCGTTTGGATGGGAGAGCGGTTCACGCCTTGCTTGAGAAAAATATTGTTCACATTGATAATATGTGTTACCTGGTAGCAAAATGAGGCAGAATGCTGCAGTCAGGAAGGAGCCAAAAGCATGGCAGAGTAAACAGTTCTCAAGTTCTCAAGTGATGCAGTGACAACAATTATTTACTTTGTCTACACTGTACATTGTAGTATATAACATATATAACATACAACTATAGTACCTGCACGGTATATTGTAGTAAATAACATACAACTGTAGTATGTATAATAGATATATAAGTATGAGGTGCTGAATGTGTGTGATTTGTATATATACATATAACTATACATATAACTATATATATAATATATATATATATATATATAATGTATGTTTCATAGTGCACGCACACACACACACACGCAACGCCTGGTCTTTGCCGACGAACCTTGCAATGTGGTTGGTTTCCATTCGCACTCAGCCTTTTCTATTTAACTTACAGCAAGCGAGGAGGAGTAACAAACATATTTTCTTTGAGTGATCCTCACCCTGACAAATATTTTGACATTTTTGACATGGTTTCTGACATACCGTCTGGAAGTATATTTGGTATATATATATATACTATATTCTGGCATAATATACTCTGACATTCTATCTGACATTCTTTCCGGCTTTCTATCGTTTTTTTTTTGACATTCCATGCGGCATTCTATCTGGCATTCATTCTGGCATTCTATCTGGCATCTATTCTGACATTTTATCTGGCCTTTATTCTGACATTCTATCTTGCATCTTTTCAGCCATTCCTTCTGGCATCTATCTGGAATTCTATTCTGGCACTCTATCTGGCATCTTTTTTGACATTCTCTCTGACACGGGCACTGCCGGGCCTGAGACTTGGGGTTCGCGGTTGAGGTCCGGCAGTGCCCGCTGAGATCTGGCGCTCGCGGTTGAGGTCAGTGTTGAGGTCCGGCAGTGCCCACTTGTGCCTCTGCCCTGCTCTGCTTTTCATCTGTCCATATTGTCGGAAGTTTGACTTCTAAACTTCCTTCGATAAGGTGATGATGATATAACATGATATAACACGATTTACTTGTAGTCTCATAGTATGATGTCATGTGATAGGGCATAATTTAAGGATAGGCTCCATCATCAATTTGGCCCATCTCTTTAGGAGCTTTATACAGGTTATTTATCAGTTAACTGGGGCATTATTTATCACATAACTGAGCATTATTTATCACTTAACTGGGCATTATTTATCACTTAACTGGGCATTATTTATCACTTAACTTGGCATTATTTATCACTTAACTTGGGCATTATTTATCACTTAATTTGGGCATTATTTATCACTTAACAGGGCATTATTTATCACTTATTTTTGGTGATATTTTGGGGTCTACAACATCGTGATTTTCACACGTTTTACAGTTTTGAGCTATCAAGGATTTTCAAGATGTTATTGGTTCTTATGCGGTTTACCAGATTATGGACGTAGCTAGTGCTCGAATTTGGAAATAATTGATGGGAACGAGTTTTGATATGGGATTCTGTAAACAACACATCAAGGATGTGTAACTTGTCCTTTTGTTTCACCGAAGGATGTGTAACTTGTCCTTTTGTTTCACCGAAGGGCCATTAAGGGGGTATGTGCAGGGCAAACCACTAGAAATCTTCTTTGGAACCTACAAGCAATTTGGCTTCGAAACCTTTCATCACTGGGGATGTGAGCGCTTCTAGCCATGGATCTTTTGTCTTTGCTGGAGGATGATACAGATCCACCAAATGTTGACAATTCATTGGTTGTTTCTCATTTAGATGTGGCAGTGGCGGCTGATCAGCCTTTGCCATTGCAGCCTGTGCAGCAAATTGATGAGAGTTTACAGTTGGAGTCATTAGAAGAGAGAAACTGTCGCATCCCGTCGATGGCTGGCAAAGTCGGCCAGGGGAGGCATGGTGGGGAGCACGAGAAGGGTTTATTGGCTTTGCATATGCGCCATGCAAAAATGCTGCGAAAGAATCACAACTTTAGACACATCATGGCGGATTTATTGCAAGATTCTTGCTTCATGAAAAATGGCGTGCCAATCCAAACGCTCGCAAGGGTTACAGCTACTGGGGTTGTTCTTTGCATGCAAAAGGCTTCAACAAAGGGCAACCAATACAAGCGTGTGATTCCCTGGATTACATTCTTGCAGGTAGCCTACGGGAGGTTGAACCGTTCTTCACATATAGCAATGTCGCTGAATGTTTCTCAGAGATCTGTCAAATTTATGACAACGTTGGTGGGCCAGATTTTCATGAACCAGCAAATGGTTGTCTTGGCCAAACTGATTGCACTAGCTTCCAAAGGTGGTGTGCACGCTTTCATCAAACAAATCAAGTGGGACGAAAGTCAGTTGTTGTGTTCAGTGAACGCAGACAAGAGCGACAGCAGAGTTCTTTCAACATGGCAGATCATGGCAGTTCGGCAAAAACTGGTGCTGGTGCTGCCTAATGGTACAAGCTTGGTGTTACGCTTAGTCACCCCTCCCATTGCTCTTCTTGCAAGCGGGGCACGTCACATTTACTATGGGCTTCGACACCATCCAGTTTATCAGGGCTTGAACAGGCTATTGGACTTGCTTGCAGGCATGTGTGAACACAAGGTATGTATCTGGGAAAGTGACGGGGCCTACTCGAATGAGAGGCTCATGGCTCATGTCTTACACAAGAACCAATCAGATGAGGTTCAATTTCTGAACATTCCTTGCCGGTGTCAGAACCATGCAACACAGTTGACGAACGTTTCGCTCCTTTCATGCGTAGGGCAGAATTTGTTGAACCGTTTATACGGGATGACAGTTTTCCTGAGGAATTTGGGTTACTGGTTACGCATGAGACAATCACTATTGGACTGGCTGTCAGAGACTTTGGATTTCAGGCAGGAAATTTTCAGCCCAGATTTGAAAGGCCACGTTCAGCATTCAGCAGTGTTGATGGAACTCATTGATTTCATACGGTCAAGCCGGAACATGGAATCATCAGAGGGTCACAAATCCTTTGAACGTAAGGTTGAAGCATTCTTGGATATGTGGAATACTGACACATCAAACGGGACCCCTGGCCACATTTGCTCGCATGCTGCATTAGCTAGTGGTGAGCGACATTGTTTGGATAGAAGTGACGCTGTGAGGAAATGTGCCAAATCATTTCTCGATCTCTTTATGATTCTTCCGAGTGTTCCGACACCGAATAAGTGGACCACTATGAATGGCAGCATTGACTTCCTGTTGTCGGGCATTGTCATTCATAAGTGGCTTCCACAAATATTTCGGCGGGCATTCAGAGATTTCAAGTTTTCTGAATTTACAGAGACAATGGCTAGTGCCGATCCGAAATTAGTGGAGTCACTCTCATTTCACGCAGTGAATGGACGTCGACACGACTCCACTCTAGAGTTTTTGGATTCTGATGCATCCATGTGGGGACTGGTGTTGCTTGCAGTGGCGATGGAAGCAACCAGAGCATTGACATTTTTTTGGCTGTCATGCTTAAGCTTCTTGGTCATTCTTGGGAAGCTCCAGATGCACACTTTGGGCATATGATATGTGATGTTTTGTTTTTAGCTTTCGGTACTGTTTCAACCATAATTTAAACCAGTTTAAACTTCAAAAACAAAAGGAACAATAATAACAACATAATCTGTGATAAGTAATTTATAATACTGAACAATACAATATATAACAAATTTTGTAATAACATCTTATATAAGGATATATAATAAAATATACATAATATAATAACATATAATATCAATAATTTTATATATAATATAACTATAACTATGACTAACGATACAGTATGATAAAAATAAAAAACATATATGATGAAATAAAAATAATATAATATTATTTTATATAATACATATTATATAAACTATATAATAAATATTATATAATATATAATATAAAAAATAATTGAATATAATATAATTTAATTAATATAATTTTTATTGATGTTTTATTAGTATAATACAATATTATTTACAGTGTAAAAACTCATATGAATATGATATGATCATAAAATATAAAATAAACTATAACAACAAATAATTGAAATAACAACAACATAGTCTATAATTTATAATAATATAATATTAATAATATTGTAGATAGATTTGATATCGTTGATTCTCGTCCATATCATTTCAAATGTTGTTCTTAAAATACTAGTAATGCAATAACAAATGTAGATGGTGTAGATGATCAGATACATTAATTTAAATAATGATAGAAAATTGAGGTGTGTTTAGATAGTAATGTAAATTTAACTCAATAGTATAATGTTGTTATGTTATGTTTAAGTTAGTGTCAGTATCCAAACAACTTAAACAATATAATATAATATAAGATAAACCTTCCTAGTAAACACGCTATTATAAATTTAAGCTTTATAATTTTAAACAACTGCTAAACAAAAATATAAACAAGTAATTAGTAATACAGTTTGAGTCAATATGTAATATATAAGGTAACTTTATGATAAATTACAAATCAAATCATACATCATTAAACATTATTTAATAATTAATCATTGTTAATTCACTGTTTATGTGTTGAAACAAACACTATTCAATGACAATTTGATTACATAAATAAAATCATATAAGGTCAATGGATCATACAGTGTCAGTGACATGGACATAGATATAAAATATATAATATACTTATATATGATTCTAATTATAATTGTAACTGACTACTAACATACTTAGTTGCGAATGATTTGAATAATAAAACAATCTCACAATTGCAAATGATCTGTATGACGTGATGATATGGTAAATAAACAATAAATATGTATATTTAATAACAAATTGAATATATAGATGATTATTACATGTGTTACAATTTGAAAGACGAGTATAAACTACAACTTACAACTAGACAATTAAATTATTCATTATTGTTCTATAATAATAATAACAATTTAAAACACATGTTTTTAATATCATTGTAATGTCAGAGCTTAGTTAGTAGATAAAGTTTTAAACTGAGAATTGAAAAGCATTATTAATTATAATTTTAATTATTATCATTTCAAATCGCAATTCAGTACACTGTTTGTTTCAGAAAAGCAAAGTTTTATTAATTAGAATGCAGCATGCTGCTGCATACATACATATCCTAATTTCATAATAATCCACCCTTAAAATAAAATAGCATAAACAACATTACAATATGATTGATATTTATATAAATATAATATAATATAAAATATATATATATAATTTCATAATTTAATAATTTATTTACCATATATGTATAATTTATTTATAACAATATTTACTAATATTACTAATATTACTATATCATAAAATGATATACAACAATATAGTTTTTTTTTTAAATAACATAAAATATTAATAATATATATTATATAATGAAACAGAATATTTTATATTATATATCAAGTATATCTTAATGTGATTAATATCTTATTATTATATAATTATATATTATATATATATAATTTATATTTATATAACATAATATCAATATTAATATTAATATTTATATTAATACAGACTATCGTATATTATGTTGTAAGATTTTTAATTTATAATACCTATGCCTATATTATATAAAATAATTTAAAAAATATAATATATAATAATATAATAATATATATTAATTGTTTTATCAATGTAAAAAAATATATAATAGTTAATAAAAGCACATATCATAAGATACAAGAGACTACAATTTAGTCTAATTTTGTTATATATGTAATAAGTAGTAATAAGTAATAAACAGTCAGTAAAATAAAATTGTAATAACAAAAATAAATGATTCTGATAATATGTTTTAGTTTTAATCATTCTCATTATGCAAACAATGATAAACAAAATAATATGTAATATATAATATAATATAATATAATATAATATAATATATAATTTAAAAATAATAATAGATAGTACAGTATCAGATATGATATGATAATACAATAATATAATATATTATAATATTGTAATACAATATAATTTAATACTATGATAATATAATATAATTTAGTTATATGAATGCTGTTTTTTTCCTTCCAGACACCATCAGTGACCATCATCAGGTTCAAGCCTAAAGGCTCGTGAACGTCCTCCTTTGTACAAGGTTTTGGATCCCAAATACAGTATTCTGACTCAGGTTCAGCAGTTCTTTGCGTCGTTGCTGATGTGCTCTGAGGGCAGTGGACGCTTGCTGCTATTGTGGTTCAACAGTGGGTATCCTACATTTGAAGACTTCTGTTTGGGCGAACCAGCGAGAACTCGGGAATTGCGACGTGTCTTTTTGTTGGCTAGTGCTTGGTGTTTCCGACGACATGTGAAATACCTCAACAGTGAGCAATTTCAATTGACTCTATGTGGAGACTCAAATGCTGACACAGGTACCATGGACCAGTTCTTCCAAACATGGGATCGGAAAAAACACTGCTGTGTGTCTTCAGGGATCTGTAAAGAAATGAAAAAGATGGGGGTTACATCGAATGACCTGAAAACACGAAAGTGGAGACAAACAATGTATCACACTGCTGCTACATTACAATTAAGCATGGCAGACGTAGAAGCCATGCATAGCAGAAACCGGGTTCTGGCCCGGAGTGCATTTCACTCAATTGCATCGAAATTCATCAACAAGGAATGCAAGTCTTTTTATGAAGAGGCTCAGGTTTTACAAGGCTGCAAGAAGAGTTCAGAGACGAGCTGTTTAAATCAGGATTTCAAGAAGGATGGATTGCAGGTGATCAGTCAGAAACCATATCAAAAGGGCCAATCAGCACTGGAACTTTTTCGGCACCGGTATCTCAAAGGCAAGATGGCGAATGAATCCTTCAACCCTTGTTCCAAAGAGGTCTGGAATGAAGTGAAGGATTCATACAATTCTCTTCCACAAGATCAAAAAGATATCTATGAGTCTATGTCTTCTGAATCAAAGGCAAATGCTGCGCTTCAGAGGGCCAAGAAGAAAGCTGAGAAAACCGGGAACGCGCAGAGGGATGAGACTGCGAACAATGTCGCTCTGGTAGATGAACAGAAGGAATCACCTTTTTTTCACGTGCAATCTGTTCCATACTCAAAGTTGACCAGCGCTGTTTCAGATGCTTCTACTTTGGAAGACGTAGTGCAATTAGCTGGAAAGAAATTGAGACAGGAACTGCCCGGTAAGCACACGTTTCCTCTTAGTGAAAATGTGTTGGAGACTGCCTTTCAAGGGTTAGCACGCAATGGTCTTTCTGGAAAGGCGGCAGAGGCCAAGTTCAGAGTTGAGTCAGAGCGAATTGCACGTCCCCCCGACAACGACATTTTTCCTGAGCGTGTCGTGCATCAGGGCGTGTGCGGAGAGTTGTGCAGAAATTTCACTGACCCAAGGCGGATTTCATTCCATCAAAGAGTTGAGGACTTGTTCCATCAACTTGTCAGAGATCTGGGAGGTGTCAAAGAAGCTGTGGGTTACGATCCTCTATGTCACTCAACTTCATTATTTATTTTCTATTTTTATATTATATTATATTACCATTATGTTGTTAGTTAAGTTCCGTTTGTTACGTGGTTGTGTGATGTGTTGTTTCACTTTGTTTCTGTTTGCTGGGGACGACTTGGCTTGGCATGTTCAAACGATGATTCAACCCAGACTCAAGAATCACCCAGATAGGTTTTGTTTCAGAATTCTCAATTGAGGAAAGTTTTGATTTGTGAGCATCAGTATCTGTATGTATCTGTACTGTACAGGTCCGTACTGTAGTCTTTTGTATTGTATGCTGGCTGCATGTTATGTAAAGTTTACTTCTTGGTTGTTATTTATTGAAGTTATTGGTTAACGTCACCGTCATTGTTATGTTTCGATCATGATATGTTCCGATACTATGAAGAAAAGTTCTATTATAATATCATGAAATTGACCCCAAGTGATCTATTGTGTTTACTTACTGCATCACATCTATCACTGTAGTTGTAGAAACTCTGATGTAGTAGGAAATTCATTTTCTGCAGGTGCATGTCAAGTCGTTGACTCACTGGGGAAGACTACTGTGCAGTTCGCTTTTATGACTGCACCATCGGCTCAATCTGGCATTCACAAACCTCAAGAGGTTTTTTGCTTGCTCAATGTTGCGTTGGAAGGGGATGAAGATGATCCAGATCCATTTTGTGGGTTGATTCTGGAACTGGCCACTTCGGAGTATATCACTCCGCAAGGTTCTCTTTATCTTCCAGTCCAGGCAAACAAAGTTGGTGCGTTGAAAATGTTTGCAACAGATGAGTTTGTGGAACATCTTCTTGATTTGCCCACCGTATCAGACCCTAGCAACTACGCTGATGAGATTAATGTCTGTTTGCTGAAGTTTGAAGATATTCTTCCATCGGTCGTGAAGGTTCTTGGGATCGACTTCGATGTTGGTACACTGGTCGCAAAGAGCCATGAAGATACTGACATGGATGCTTTGGGTGATGATGATGACGATGAGGATGTTGGCGAGCTTCCCCTAGGTGATGGTCGTGCTGCTGAATCCAATTCTGATTTCAACACAATGGAGGTTGACCTTTTGTCTTTGTTGGAAGGGTCTTGTTGTGGGAAACCAAACAAAGGGCCAGCCAAAAAAAGACAGAAAAAGAAATAACAGAACCCAGATGACATGGACAGGGAAAACAATGAGTTAACACCTGATTGCCAACCAGAATCTTTGTTGAATGATCCATGTTTGCGTACCTTACTTTCCCCCGAAGATCTCGCAGTTTTCCAAGATGTTGAACAGTTCTGTGCATCAGTGCACAAAGCCGCTGATATCAATGAGCATCGTCATGCCCAAGACCAAGTGGGGGGTGTCGATTTCGGCGGGGGTGACAGTGACAGTGAGTCCGACGGGGATGTCTTGGTAGATACTGGTTTATCCATCGACGCTGACGCTGCACCTGCAACTTGCAGCCAGTCGCAGCAAGGGAGTTCCTTTACTGAATGACTTAGCCGATTGTGGGATTGGCAGAGATGGACATGGGAAAGATTTTGAGGCTTTTAATTTCTCTAGCATTCATTTCCCAGGGTGCATATGAATCATAAACCCAATGGACAATAAGAATAAGTTGGGCACAATTTTCTTTCATTTTGTTTTGGGCGACATTGTGCAATTTCTAGTGTCTACTGTCAACGATGTGGTGAGATGTGGGAACCTTGTCATTAGAACTACTATGTAAACGCACGTTCTTATTTGTTTCAACTGTTGTTTCTCTGCATGGGGTAATTTTCAGGATGAACTTGTGCTGTTTCACGTTTTTCCAGATTTAGAATTTGAAGGTATTCTCTGATTTCATTCATGAATCATGACTAGTTTACAGCTGCAGCATTACTTACAAAAAGTTGATTAATCATACAAATCATACAAATCATAAATCAAGAACTACCGTTTGGATGGTCGGTATAGTCTACATGTGCAACTTCACAACTTATCAATCATATCACTCGACTCATATATGAACATCAAATCATATATTATAATTATAATATAATATACTCCAATATATTATATAAATAAATTATATTATATATTATTATATATATATATATTATTTTATAGTATAATCATATATCATATATTGCTATATGATATATGTTATAATTTGTAATATAACTTAATATATTGCACATGTCACATATCAAATCAATCATATCAATCATGCTGAATCATACCATATCATATCAGGCCGCATGGTGTATATAATTATATAAATATAAAACTTACAACTTAGAAACTTATAAATCATATAAATATAAATAGTGTTTTATTCATCGTATCATAATCACATCATTTAAATTATATATCATTCTATGATACAAGTAACAATTTCTGTATCATATCATATCATACCATATCACACTAACATAAAAATATAAATTAGAGATAAATAAAATGTGATAATATAACTTATAACTTAACATCATATCCTCCATAATCATAATTATTAATTATATAATTATATAATATATTTATATATGTCACATATATAAACAACATATTCATGGAATAATACATCATCATCATCATCATCAACATCATCATCATCATCATCATCATATATAATATAATATAATTAATTATAATTATGATTTATGTAATAAAATAATTTTATAATAATAATAATAATTTATATTTATATTTATATATATATAATAATATATAATGTTAATAAATAATAGTCACATAATCCTTCGGCAAAGGTTCATCTTCTTCATCGAAACCAAGATCTTCGAGCATCTTCTTCATCGAAACCAAGATCTTCGAGCGCCCAGGAGGACTGATCCATTTGGTGTGGTGTGTGACTGGGTGATCAATACATGTTTGAACAATTCGATACAATCAACTGGCCATTTTTACTACAATTCAGTGCTATGAAATAACAATATTAAAATATATTTTATATTTCTAATTATTATTTGCTATTGTGTAGTTTAACAGTATTATCTTATTACAAAAAACTGTTTATTACATACGATAATAATATATTATATAATATAATATATGACTTGACATATTAAATGTAATTTATTAAATGATTTATACTGTCTTATATTTATATGTATAATCTACAAATTATATAATTATATAATATATATTATATATTATATAATATATTATATAACTATAGTCTATAATTTATATTATATCAAATTATATAATATCAATAATATAATTTATATTATGACATCTGCAGTCTAGTTTGTCCACCTATTGTATCAAGGACCCGCGGTATAGTCTAGTATGACTGTGACTTAGTCTCATGGCTTGTTTTCTATCTGTTTTGGCAGCAGGACCAGCAAAACATTGAGAACAAGCACAACATGGACGCGTCTGGCAGCAGCAGTGGTGCAACAGTTGTTGGTGCAACTGGTCAGGAACCTATTCAGGCAGGGTCTTCCAATGAACAATCAATTAAAACTGAAATCTTTGCTAGTGGTTCCGATTATACCATTGAAGTGCGGCACATAAAACGGGGTGCCGTTTTGGCAGAAATGGTTGAGCGCACGTTGGCAGATTCTCGAGAGAAACTCTTGGGAATTTTGAAGTTTGTGCTGAATACAAGAAGCAACCATGGAAATTTGAATGCTATTTGCAAGATTCACTCCAACTGTCAATGTTGGATTTCGTCTTCGACACATTCAGATCTATTGTTTAATTGGCTACTGGAGTCACGCAATTGCTCCCGTGACAGTCACCAGATACTTGCTTCAGATTTAAAGAAGAGTATCGGCATGCGTGTTCGATCATGAACGAATCCTAGCAACATGCACTCCCGTAATAATCACCAGATATTACATATTACTTACAGATATTATTACAATATAGTAATTTTACTTGCTTCAGATTCAAAGAAGAGTATCGGCATGCGTGTTCGATCATGAACAAATCCTAGCAAGATGCACGACCAAGGGACAATCGACAAGTGTGATGGGAAACAAAGTTGCAGTGTATGCTGCTAGAGTGAATCTGGGTTTGGGGACCGCTGTGTGAGTTTTGGTAGTAGCGACTTGCAAACAGTGTTGCACATGTTGTTCAACTCTTTTTTGATCATTGTTATCCACATATCAAGAAACAATAGCATTCAACCCATTCAACATAGAATAGACTGAATAGACTTAAGAATTACAATCCGGGATGGACAGTTGTACCAAGGTTACAGAAAAAGGACCCACGAAAAAAAATATGCGAACGACTATCCTTTGAAGTTATGGTCATGGTTGGTGTTGATATCCATGAGTGTTATGTTAGATAGTGGGTTGTTGAACTAGAAGTTGCAATCAACGTTTGGCTATGTTCACCAAACATGTGTCTTTGGATTTCATTCATTCCCGACCCAGATTTTTTGGCAGAAATGTGGAATGATTCTTGGACAATTTTGGAGGATTTTGGGGGACCCAAAATGGGACAAGTTTGGCCAAAAATTAACTGATAAATAACTCCCGGCTAACTGATAAATAACTCCCGGCTAACTGATAAATAACTCCCTCAAAATAAGTGATAAATAACTCATTTTGCAGCAAAATGAGTTATTTATCACTTATTTTGAGGGAGTTATTTATCACTTAACCGGGAGTTATTTATCAGTTAGCAGGGAGTTATTTATCAGTTAACTGGAGTTATTTATCAGTTAATTTTTGGCAACATTTTTGCCAATTGTGGGATTACCGGGAGTCTGCAGGAGGTCAAATTTGGGTCATTTTTGGAGCATCTTTGTCGGGACATATGTTGTTTTGTACTTAGCTGTTTGAACAAAGGTTAACTTCTGTCACTGGGGAACCAACATTTGAACAAGCAAGTTCATCTCCAATTTGGAAAACGTAGAATCAAGTATGCAGACTGTATGAGTATGAGGTAATATTATGATATTATATGATTATATGATTATATAATTATATAATTATATAATTATATATATAATATATATATATATGTATTATTTATTGTATGAGTGTACAGTGTATGCATGCCACGTCTATGATTTAAGATTCTATGATATGGTTGTATGATGAAGTCGTGATGGATTTGCCAATTGTTGTTCATTTGCATGATGCACTGAGATCTTGTTGTTGCCAGACGCATTTTGCTAACAGGTAGTAGGAATAGGATCCATCCTTGAATCTAGCTTAGCCTAGCACTTAGCGATGCCCTCTCCTTCATCATTGTCACCTTCCTCTTCTACCCGTTCATCTCGGGCAACGACACTGATGCTTGGTGAATCTCCCCGTCCCAAACTTCGAAGGGGAATGCGCATTGACATGAGTGGAATGGACCTGAGCCCCAAGACACCCCAAGGAAAAAAGGATGGACCCCACGATTTGTTGTTTGAGACACCCAAAGGGAAGAAGAATCGGAGCAAGGGCAGTCCATCATCTTCTAGCAAGATGAGTGTACATTCGAAGTCCTCCAAGTCTCCCAGCACTCCCAAGTCCCCTACGACGCGCATGGTCATGAAGGTTGTGACGAGCATGAAACGCATGTCTTTGAGCTCTAAGACTTCTACTTCTACTAAGTCTCCCAAGTCTGTGAAGAAGGTCATCAAAAAGATTGACAAAGGCAAGTCTGCTTCCTCTTTGTCTACGTCTTCTACATCGCGTTCTATGAAACGTCCCGCAATCGACGTCGGCCTAGAGCGCATCCCGAACAAGAAGTTGTTTCATGATGCTATGTGCGAAATCTATGGGGAGTGGGATGACATGAAGAATTACAACAAATCATTCAATTGCCCCCCCGCCACGAGCTGGTCCAAGTGTTTTGTCTGAAATTATGTGACAGGAAAATGGGTTTACCCATTTTTTTACTTTATATTTTATATTATTCATTTTTAAGACTATACGATATGATATGATGAACCGAGAACCAAATCATATCAACCTAAAATAGTTTTTGCTGCTTAGATTAGTTCAGAAAAAATGAAGGACAAATTGACAATTTACTTTCACTAAATCAACGTTGGTGGTTTCAAATCCAAAGCAACTTCTTACTACTGGTGACCAAAGTTGTTTTTGGGTAGTATGAATTCAGCTTAACCAACATGCAAGAATATCAGAATAGCAGAATCGGAATTTCAATCATTACTCTACTCTACCAAAAAAATCACAAGTTCAGCAAAAAAGTAAGGCACTCTTGACAATTTCGGATGAGATAGAGAGAGAGAGATAGAGAGTAAAAGAGAGAATCTCAGAAGCACAAACTCTTTTTTCTGGAATATTAGTATCCGTATCCAGTATCTACCTCGTGCAACTTAGGTGGTGGCCTATGGGCCTTGAGGAAGCCGGTTGGGAAGCAAAGGTGCGCAAGGGTGCGTCCCCATCGAAATCTCCCAATTGGAAGCAATGGATCCCTCCTCTTGACTTGGAGTGAGCGGACGATAGGGTCGGCTCGTGATAGACGGGTGGGTGCTGCCTTAATTGGCGGGACCTGGCATATGTTTGTAGGCAATTTTTCAAGTGACAGTGCCTGCAGTGCTAGATTTTGTGCCATGGTTCTGCTCAGTACCACTTCCTGTTGTTGCTGTTGAGTTGTTACTATGACCCTAGGTATTTTTATCCTCCGTTCTTCTAGTTTTGGAAACCACTGAATTTGTCTTGTTATTTATGCTGAAACCTGGTGTTGGGGTCAGGGCCATAGTTCTTATCTTATTTGTGGTTGGAGTGGTACTCCCAGGCTATCTTTGTTGCATTTCCGCTTGTCTCAACACGACGACCAAGCACTAATTGCGAAAGCGTTTAGGGTTACGATATGTAACAGGTTAGATGGATAGAAGAGACTCCAAAAACATGTGAGTCAGAAAGAGATCTAGCAGATTGAGAAGGATGCGACAAACAATAGGGCGAGCGCTATTGTACTTACAGACTTGTGGCGTGAACTGTATTATGTATTCAATCAAAATCACAAACAGCTGAGAATTGACAATCATTTTTTTCTCTCATGACTCTTCTTTGGCCAATGAAAGTGAAGTGAACTGACATGGTGCATTATCTTATCACAGTGCTTTCATTGGTGAGACATGAGACATGACATGAGTCATGAGTTCTGCTTTGACACATCCAAGGTTTGAGGTCTCAGGTTTTTCCATGTTTTGCGATTTACACTGACAAACAAATGTCAGTGAAGCCTTCTTTTTCTTTGGGGCATGTTTTTGTCACACTTTCACATCATTTTGCATGTGACGTGGTTTGATCAAATGATGTTTGTTACCCTGAAGCATTTTGCTGAGTTCATAGGTGGTTCGTGATCCCAAAAGTATTGACCGTTCCAGGATTCAAAAAATCCAAAGTTGCAGCGATGGTGCGTCCCGCTTCGTCCAATGGTGATTGTAGAAAATGTGGTGGAACCTTTGGGGAAACCCGTGACCCATTAGACAAAACAGGCAAGACCTTTCTGCAAAGGAGATGTCCTTCTGCGCAGATTTGCCGTGTTTGCTACGGTTTCATCAGGAACAATCCAACCTATGGGGAACATCGCGACCATGAGCTGAACGAAAAGTTGAATGATCCTGTCTACAAGACGGAGTTTCTCAAAGCCAGGAGTGAGTGGTGCGAGGAGCGCCAGGGTGGTGGGAAGAGACGACGTCTTCAGGGTGAGAAAGGTGCAGGCGACTTAAAGAACAATTCAGTTTTGTGAAACATCAACGGTTTTAAAGTTAGAGCGGGATCTTATTGCCGTAACCTAATCAATGCCAGTTGCTGTAGTTAAAACATGAAACTTCATGAAACTGTTGTTCTGTGTGTTCCCTTCTTGTTGCAGCAGCATTTATGTAACATGTAATTACAAAATGTTCCCTGGCATCAATATCAACCTGACTTAGCTTAACTTATCACAATGATTTTGATTCTTACTCAAAACAAGTCTATGATTTTATCTGTAAGTGTTTTAACTCACAAATCAAACACAATCCGTATTGTCAGTACGTATGCTGCAGCTTGCTGTAATATCATTTCATATCATTCATAGTCAATTCATATTCAGTATTCAGATTCAAATCATATCTGAATCACATTCCATACTACAGACTCTACTTGATATGATTTGTTTTTACTGTACTTATCACACTATGACTCTGACTCTGACTCATGACTATATGATGACTATGACTCTGACTATGTCTTAGACTTTACTTATAACTTACTTATAACTTAACTGTTAACTTAAACTTATAACTTATAACAACTTAGTTAATTTATACAACGACTTTATTATCATATATTAATTTAATATATGATGATGATAATGATAATGAAATTGACATTGATATTGACATTGAATATGCAATCTATAAATTATAAACTATATATAATATAATATAATATAATATAATAATAAATAATTTTATATTATATAATTATATAATCACACACGTTCGTGCTCAGGTGACACTGCTACGTCTACATCAGCGGTGGAGGAGAGCGGCATCTCTACCAAACAGATCCTAGGTTACATGTGGCCAGTGGCATTGCTGAAGAAGCACGACAAGCCCACTCCGGCAGCGAAAAAACTGCAATCAATCCACCATCAGGGAAAGCTCGTCAAGGGTTTGATCTTGGAGGAATGGGCCATCGGTGCTTGGGCTCATTTTAACCCCCCCTCAAGACTCAAAAAATCTAGACGCTTGTGTGGGTATTGGAAAGATTCTGATTCTGATAGGGGGGTTCCTGTGCTGTACTGTACTGTACTGTACAATGACTAGGTAATTGCCGATGCTACTGAATCAACTGATGTGACACGGAACATACAGAGTTGTATAATCTAGTTTTTAATATGACATGTGACATATATAATATAATAAATTAAATTATATTTATTTAATATAATATAATTTACAATATATCATAGAATCAAATCATATATCATATCATATAATCATATATATAAATATAAATATATAATATATATAATATATATTATAATCATAATGTAATTAAATGCATATCATATACTATATAAAATATTGATAAATATAATATAATTTAACATATAATATTTATATAATATACAAATATAAAAAAAATATAAATCATATAGTATTATACAGTATTATTATATAATATAATAGAATAATATAAAAATACTATATTATATATTGTATATTTGTAATGTAAACATGTAATTACATATATCATATATCATATATGATATATGATATGATAAATTTTATTTATATAATATTAATATAATATAATATATAAAATATATAATATATAATAAATAATGTATTATATAATATAATATATAATATATTAATAAAATAATATATAATATAATTTAATATTATACGCAATATACAGGAATTAAAATAATATGATTTAATAATATGATTTAACATAATAATATAACATAATTTAATATAATATAATTTAATATAAATATAATATAATATATGATAATAATATATTTGTATATTATAATTATAATTATATATTATATAATTATATAATATAATAATATAATATAATTTATTTTTTATAATATTCTATAGATTTTAGATTCTGTAAAGTAAATATTCTGTAAAAATAATAGTATGCAGTATGCAGCATGCAGTAGCACACAATAGCACACACTAAGAATAACTAGGACTAGGAGTAAAGCTCGTTGCTGCGTCTCAGGTGCTATCGAAGTTGCTAGCCATTCGGACAAGAAGGCCAAGCTTGAGACCCGCTTGGCACTGGACGATTCAGGTGATGAAGCTGGTGAGGCTTCTGGGGCTTTCGAGCATCTTCAGAAAAAAGTTCGTGTCACTAGTTCTACCAATGACGATGGCACTGAGATTACTTTGAAAATGCCGAAGTCCAATGGCACCAATGAAGACGATGAACTTCATTCATTGCTTTGGGGCTCTGCCACCAACAATTCGGATGATGAGACTGACGCCAAGAAAAAGAAAGCCAGTGGTATCAACAGGAACAAGCGCACTCTTCGTGCAGAAGCACGCAAAGATGACGGGTCAAGTGCAGCGGCTTCTACATCCAATGATGCAAACACGAGCACTTCCAATGACGGCTTGTGGGGTTTGTCCATTCCACCAACTTCTTCTAGGAAGACGCATCAGGAATCCCGAGAGCTTGACAAAATCGAGGCAGTGATTTTGCAGGCAAACCAAATGAAGCGGCAAATGGAGGACCCAAGAACGGTTCAGCAGATCACAGTGGTGAAAGCCCGCGCGATGCTGGACAAGATCGACGGCAAGAAGACGGAGGAGGTGAGTAGAATGGTGCTAGAGATGATCAGGAACGAAGGCAATGGGTGTCGCGCATCACAGGTGTGGGACAGCTTGAGGGAAGCGAAGTCTTTGGTAGAGGGGATTGTCGAGTTCACAGAAGCTCTGCAAGACCAAGAAGCCAGCACGGAGACTTTGCGTGCTTGTGCCGTGCGCATCAAGGATTTGGGTGTGAGCCTTCCCCGAAGTGTGAACATGGTGATGTGCAGGCGATCTGTTGAGAAGCTTATCAACCAGGAACAGTTTGAGGAGATTTTCAAATTCTTGGACCCATCATGTGCCAAAGACATCCCCCTGGGCATTTCCACAGTTCTTCCTGAGGGTGAGGAGAAAGAGAAGCTGAACGCTTTGATCATGGACGTGCAAAGCGGCTCTATCTCGCACTGCATCAACCAGATTCTGCTGAAGGAGTTCACTTCCGAGTAACTTGATCTATCTCAGTTTGTGTGGGTATGTAACTTTGATTGTCCTAGTCATGTCATCTAAATACCGCCGGTAGTAGTAATAGTAGTAGTAATAAGTAATAGTAGTAATAGTCATAGTCATAGTAGTAATAGTAATAGTAATAGTTAGCAATAACAATAATAATAGTAATAAATCATAGTCATAGTCATAGTAGTCATAGTATGTCATGAGTCATAGGCATAGTCATAGTATGTACGAGTTATAGTTTTCTAATTTATAGTACAGTATATTGTTACATTATATAATCATATAATAAACAATACTACTATAGATTGATATCACTTTCATATCAGAATCATATCTGATTAGATTAAATAGATTTTAATTATATAACTTATAGACTTATAGACTCATGCAACTTGTAATATAATACAATAGTATGATTATAAATTAAAAATTATAATTGTATTGTTTAAAAAAATAATTATCATAATACTATATAATAAAAATAAAATAATATAATGAAATATAAGATAATCAAACATATAGCTTTAATCATTTATCACAACATTATCACATCACACATCAAAAACCATATTCTATATTAAATACTACATGCTAACTATTTAAAATCATAAACTTCATATTATAGTAGAGTAAATAAATGGAAAATCCAATTATATATGGAATATATATTATATTATATATAATATATATCATTATTATATATATTATATTATATAATTATAAATTATATATATAATTATATAATTAATATCACATATATATAATTATATATAATTATATAATTATATATGTGATTATATATAATTTTATAATTTATATAATTATAATTATTTAATTAATATCACATATATATATATTATAAATATAAATGTTTTCAAATATAATATCATTATTTACAAAACAGAATTTAATTCAATGACATAATATTAATATTAATATAATATTATATAATATAATTCACATTCATATATGTAACAAAAATGATATGTTTCGATGATACAATATTTGATATTAATATAATTATAATGTATAATTTGATAAACAAATAATATAATTATATAATACAGAATACAAGTTCATATTTTAAAAAAAAGGATATGGCAGATATGGTTCGATAAATCAATACTAATATGCGGCGGTATAGGTCAGGATGATGACGACAACGATGATGCTTGATGATAATGGTGATGATGATGGGGAGGAGGATGATGATGATGATGATGATGGTGATGGTGATGGTGATGAATGATGAATGATGATGATTCAATTTGATTTGATTTGGTTTGATTTGATTTATGATTCAGATTCTTCATATAAATAAAATGACACATGATCAAAATGATAACATGATAAATGATAGATTGGGGTTGGTTTTGGGCCAGTGGGCGTTTGTTTCCTTTGTTTAGGGTGTTGTTGTGCTAAGGTCTTCTGAGGCTGACGAAGCAGCAAATGCAGCTGCAAGAGAGAAGTTCATGATTCACAGCGTCGACAAGCTGGTTGAGTTCATCGATATGTTCAAGGAGTCGAGCATTTTCGAAACATCTTCTCCTACCAAGTCCCCTTTCAGGGAAGAGCTCAACAAGATCTTGCTCCTTGCCAATGCTGTGGCTTCTCAAAGAAGACTCCAGACTTCTGACCTAGATGAATTGGAGTTTGCAAAGAGCTCCCTTCTCAAAAACAGAACCAGTGCTTTCTACAATGGCTTTACCATCTTCCCTCTTGGTCTCTTCATCGTTGACTCTACGCACAAGGCAATCCAGCAGTGTCGCCATGACCAACTGGTCTACAAGGAGCTGTGTGCTGCGGGTGAGTACGCCACTTCCATTGGCGTGATCAAAAAGGAAGCGATGATCAAAGACAAAGGACAGGGAGAGGGTGAGTTTGAGATTCTGGTTCCCAATTCTTCGAAGTTTGCAGACATGGTAGCCAAGCTCTTCTTATTCAAAGAGGGTGCTTCATCGGCTATGAAACTATCTGCAGCCTGCATCTCTTCGTGCAGTGAAATCGAGAATCGAATTGAAGAGGTCAGGAGTGCTCTTCTGGAAGCAGTCGCGACCAAGTTTGAGCTGAAGTTCAAGAATTTGAATGGCATCTTGGAAAAATGTCCGCAAGGTCTCAATGATGATCAGTTGTCCGAGTGCTGCCAGGAGATTCAAAAGTTGATTGCTTTTCATCCGTGTCCCAAGTTCCAGAGTGCCAAGCTTTTGGGAAAAGAATGTGCATCAGTGATTGACGAAACCATGAACTCACTGATCAAGATTGCCAAAATGTTGCAAGCAGCCGTGCCGAAGCTTGCAAAGATGGGTCATGGTTTGGATGATGCGGGTGAGAGCCTTTTCATGAACCAAGTGGTCACGGATCTCTTTGCGGTGTTGAGCGATGAGGATGCTTGTCGCAAGATCAAAAACTTTGCCCCTGTGCTCAAGAATGGCTTGGACTCTGTGAAGGTGACGATTATGTCAGCGGTTTCAGCATGGGTGAGCAAGACTGCTGCTACGTTCCAGTCCTTCCTAGGTTCTTTGCTTGATACTGAGATTGTGGTCACCTCCATTCTCAAGTATGAGATCGTTGGCAACGTTGGGGCCGAGACCGACGAAGGAGTTGATTGGTGTGGGGTCTACGCGGGCTTTGTTCAGCATGATCAAAGAATGACAGGAAAGGTCCAGGTGAAAATGAACGGTGAGATGAAAACACTGGACATGCACGTCGCATTTCTTTGTCTTGCTGGTTCTCTTCTACAAGTTTCGAAGTATTCCAACCTTGTGTCAACGACATTGGGTGAGATTGAGAAAGTGGATGTCTTCCAAACCCTGTACCAGAAAGAATTCACAGAGAAAAAGAAGACAACTCCAGCTCCAGCCAATGTGGAGAAATCCAAGTTGGACTACATGACGATTCTTCTTCCTCATTTGACCCGGCTGTCCAAAGCAGTGGTTGCGTTTGAGTCCATTTTGTCCAAGATCGAAGATGGCATCGGCTACATGGAGAACATCAAAGACTTTTGGAAGAAGTTGATGGAGACGCTTCGTGCCGCGTTTCAGAAGTATGTGCAGGAGATGTTTGGAGAGCTCGATAGCATCAAGAAGGGCATCATGTACTTGTTTGACCAGGTGAAGGGCAAACATGACATCCTGGACCTCTTTCAGAAGGACAAACTTCCCGAAGCAAGTGTTGCTAGCTTGGTCGCAGATGAGGATGCTACGGTTCTGTTGTTCTTGGGTGGGAAGGCAGGTCCTACTTGTGAAGGAATCAAAAACTTTGCTACTGCCATGACCCACATGCCGAAAGATATCATTCTCACCTCTACTTTGACCAATTTGTTGGTTTCGTTGTTGAAAGATCTTGCGACATTTGCATCAGAACAGAACCCAAAAGTGTTTCCTCAGAATCAGGATGTCACTCTTTCGAATGTGTCCTGGTTTCAGGGTTCGCTAACACTTGCACAGGTCCTCACACGACAGCTAGCACCGGGGGAGACCAGGTTAGGACTTGTAGGTAGATGCCTGAAGATCCTGGAAAACAAGAAGATGGGAGTTGAGCCATCTCTGAAGCAAAAGGCTTCCCAATTCAAAGATGGGAAGTAAATCAAACAAGCTGCACTGCTTAGCATGCAGCAGCATTTTAATTTTCATTTGTTTCCAGTGCGATTCATGTCAGGAACATGCCTGACTGTTCAAAGGGCCTTTAGAGCTTTCTTTGGCAAACTTATGTCACATGTGGTTGTGTGACAGTGAGTCATGATGTGATGTTTTACATCAATCAGATCGATCTAGCCTATGCTGCTTGAGCTGTGGGATTTAGCTCGATGTTGGCATAAATCCGAAACATGAGACAAAGACTGCAATGCCGAAGCCCGGCAATGCTTGAGAAGTGCGCAAAAAAAGAATAGTTAGTGGCTTGGGTGCGGATTAGGACTGGTGAGTGATGTTTTGACTGATAATTTTGATGGTGACAATGATGCCGATGAAGATGACGACAATGAACGATGATCATTCATGATGATGATGGTGATGGCGATGATGATAATGATGATAATCACGATGATAATGATTACTGATGTTGATGTTGTTTAGGGTCATGATTTTTGATTATGTTGATTGGTGAAAGGATGTTGTGATGTCGCCGCGTTGGATTTCAGAGTGCTTGCACACATATATAATAATTTATATTTTATATTCATATAATGCGGGCTTACCCATGAAATTCTCTACTATATAAATTGTAAATTGTAAGTGAACATGTTAACAGTTAACATGTTTGATAATGTAATTGTATTCTAAGCTGCATCAAGTTTTCTGTAAAGCTATTGGTCAAACTTTTTGGAGTGTACACTTGGACTTTATGATTTGTTTGCATATCGAAATGGACAAAAGCTAGTAGCCCAGGCATTGAATTGTTCCCACTTACTCAATCCAATTGGTTTGAGTATCTACATGTTAGTTACCAAATGTCACCACATTATTGTTTTTTTGGGGCCAACATACCGATAAATGAAACAACATGATCCAAACTCATCCATTCCTTTAGGGGCAACAGAAACGTCACTTGAAAAATACACGACACCAACAAGGGTCCAATATTGAATAGCCTTCACAAATTTTCTCCTAAAACTGTTTGTTTGGGCAATCCCAAACACCCACAAAATGCTCAAAAATGACCCCCAAATTAAGTGATAAATAACTCCCAAAAGGAGTGATAAATAACTCCAATTAAGTGATAAATAACTCCCAACTTAAGTGATAAATAACTCCCAATTTAAGTGATAAATAACCCCTAAAATAAGTGATAAATAACTCCCGGCTAAGTGATAAATAACCCCTGGCTAAGTGATAAATAACCCCTGGCTAAGTGATAAATAACTCTAAAGAAAACGTGTTGCAGCCTATACCTAAGGCATAATGTAATATGAACTATTGTCGCATAATACAATCCAATAATACAATGTAATGTAACAATATATGGCAATTTAGTGTGCTAATTATTATAGGGTATTATAAGTAAAACAACGGATAACAACGGTTTTAATTGTAGTACAATTCTATATGGCCTAATTTCTCCCATCCACTTACCTATCTAATTACATCTATGAAATATGGGCGATGCCACATGATCCAGGGCGCTGTAATGACATGCGACAGACTTCTGACTGTCTCAGAAGGCGGGTTGGAGTTTGCTCAGTGTTGGAATTTGCTGGATTGAAGGATCTTACAAGAATGCACATACACTCAAAATTGGAAATTGTTTTCCCCTGTCAAAGTTGTGATAAATGCTTTTGACAAACACGTGTTTGAAACAGGGGAAACCATAAAAGATTGATCAGGCTATGCAGAGGAGATGAAGACTTCTGAAGGAGAACCGTGGCAATCTGACACAGTTGTTATTCTAGTTGTGGCACTTTCTTATCCAAAAATTCCAAAACGTTCTTACACTTACACACCTGCTTATATACCCATACATACATTGTGTATGTACAATCTTATGCTGTGATAGTCCTTCGATGTTCTATTCTATGTGAGACTCGTGGTTGACAGCTGCTTATGAACCGCTCCCCCAGGAGGGTTTCGACTTGACGAACTGGTAAAGCAGAAGGAGTTCCTTAGATTGGAACAGCTAAGTTTTGCTGCCCTCTAGAAACTTCGCATTAGGTTGCCATGAGCCCTGCCAACTGAGCTGTTATATATGTCATGGAAGGATATGGAAGGGAACCAGTATTGAGCATGTTTTTGCATGTTTTTGCGCAACTGGAGTTTTGACAAATCCACATGAAAGGTGGCAACAGAATAATGCACAAACACTTTCATAAAACTGGTGGCACCGCTACACCCTGGACTTTGACACCGTTTAACGTAGACAGACATCATGGCGGAATTGAAGCAAACACATTGCATTTCTTGACGATGCCAAATTTGCTCAACTAGTTTCAACGTGTTGGAGATAGGTATAGGCAGGTTGCAAGTTGCCAGATTCATGATTTGATTGGGTGGAATTGTAAATTGTTTTCTGCAGGGCCACAAGCAAGTCTTTAAACTTGGGCTACATGGTGTTGCAAAACCTCCAAAATTCATAAAGCTTGCACGTTGCAAACTTCAATGTTCCGATATGTTCCGACAATTCTCTTACCCTCCAGGATTGCAGAACGCACCAAGATTGTAGCGTAACGTAGCCCAATTGGTCTCTGTGCAGCACGTCCCTTTTGATCCTTTTGACACCAACTGCGAGGTTCTTTCTAAGTGGCATCCTGAATGGAATTGACGTCGTCACGTGGAATCCCAGGCCCTTTGACTCACAGAGTCCACCATTGTCAAATATAGTGACTGGTTTCTGACCTGCAGACTGGTTTCTTTGAATCTCTTCAAATCTACTGTGACTCCACTTGAATCTCATTGTCATATCAACGTCTCTCCCTTCTCGGGTGCAGGCTTTGCAGGCTTTCTTTTGCAAAGACCCAACTCCTGAAAAGCAGTTGCAAGTCATATCAAAGCGGATCATAGGATTGACCTACATTGTTACATAGATTGACTACTTGACAATCCTTCAAGTGCGTTTTCACAGACAATCCGAAGTTTCCCTGCAAGACAAGGCCTGAAAGAAAGGATTTGGATGGATTTGGATGGATTTTGTAGACACGAGTATCAAACATCAGCTCTCTGATCTGTGAGAGGACGTAGGCAATCCATCAATCTTGAGACTGCTGAGCGTTTTCCCTAGACTTGGCTTAGGACAGATCCATACTTGGCGATGCAGTACGATTTTGATTCAATGCCTGCTGGAAAGGTGGATGCAGCTGTGGTCACATGAAGCCCATGACATACACTTGCGACGCAATCGGAGCATGAAAGGGATTACCCGCGGCGAAGAAAAGCCTTTATGAATGTGTACCCAAATGGCGCATGTATGGGTATTTCCTATTGCGTCATTTCAGCTGGTGCTGAACGTTTGGTTCAAATAGGTTGAAGGATGTTCAAGGAAACTTTCATGATGTAAAACGCCAGCCAGGCTGCTTGCAAGAGGCAGCTGCAGGCACTGGGAGATTTGCGAGTACAGCCACAATCACATCTTGTGAGATCATAGATAGATCATATATGATCATAATAATTCATATTATTATAGATTTTTGCTTGCGTTCACTTGCAATTGGTTTTAGTCACGTTATTGCAAGGAGAAAGTTGGTTTGCACGTTGATGACAACAAGGTCTTGGTCGCTGGCATAGTTGAAACGACGTCTTCCACACACTTTTGAGGAATTTCGAAATTGCCCTTGTTTGCACTCAACATGAATCCTGCTATGAATCAAGGTCTCGTTTGTTGGGAGACTGACAACGCAGAAGGGCGCTAACATCTTAGTTGGTCATAAAATCAGACACGTGGACTAGCTCAAGCTCCTTTGGTGATGAGGATGAGAACATTCCAACAGACTAGAGAGCTTTGGTGAAATGCTTGCTATGCAAGGAAAACTCAACTAGTAACTAGACCTTAGCAATGTGGTTTCTAATGCCTTCTACACATAATCCATTATGCATTCAGAAATGCATCATTCCCAGATTTGGGTCAAGTCCACGATTCCAGACTCTTAACTGATTCTTGACGCGCTTGCAAGAACAAAGCTTTCCTCGTTCGGCGAGTCAAACTGTCTAAGGTTGACATCATCCTTGAGGCGCAGCGCAAGCGCCACAATGCCCAAGCATGAACAGATTAATTTAGCCACGTGACGCCTATCCAACCCATCGATGGATTCCATGCATATCTATATAAGGAATTATAAGGATATCTAGGCATCCAAGTGTGCATGAATGTCACTTGATGTGATTTGAGAGGCTACCGAGTGGATGATGGAAGACACCGGCAACAATGTCACAGGCAACATCCAGGCCAAATGCCACTGCTATGACTGTTTGCGAGACCTGTGAATTTCTGTAGCGCAAAAGCCAACAACAATAATAGAATACCCAGAAATACTAAGAATGCAACCTCGGTGTATTTCAACAGAATGTAAACTGTACTGTGTAATATTGTATAATTATGTATTTGTAGATAGATATTTCAACAAAATGTATAGATGTGTATGTACATGTAACAGAGTGCCTGTTCACTTTGCATGTAACTACGTAGGCATATTTCGTGCTTGCCTATCCACTTCATTGCTAAGTGGTGGATGAGCATTCCAAGGTTATCTATTTGATTTTGCCTGTTTGTCGGCGCCATTTAACAGGTGTTGATGATGGGAAACGGAGATGAAATTTATGTTCAAGGCGCGGACTTTAGAGAACGGACGTTGCAGTCGATATGGGTGACATGGCAAGGCCATGTAGCCTGTCCATGTTGCTTGCGCCAATGCGATCCTGTCAGGCATGCAAGATATGTCCAGAAGATATCCTGGCAGATTCGTGGGGCATGCTCTGCATGTTTTGCTGTGTTGCTATCTTTAATAGTATTCGTATCTACAATTCACACTGGCACTCTGAGTCAAGTGATGGTTGGCACAACGTAGTTACTTGTTCCTCAACATCTAGAGCAGCTGAGTCCGCTCACATTTGATATCATTTGATTATATCTTAGTTCAGTCTAAAGTTTTTTAAAGAGTGAGTTGATTATAGTTGATTAAGTGGCCTCACACCACTGGCCTTGTGGTGATACACGACAGGATCAGTTTTGATCCTGCAGTTGAACACGTGATGTGACCCAATCAGCAAGATGCATGCAACTTCGATTTCCTACATGTACACGAACGGAGGGTGCACGGGAAGGATTGTACATATTCTGTACATGTTTGGTATATTACTGTATACATATACACATACATATATATATACACATATATATATATATGAATGTACAGTATGATAGTATGTAAATGTATGTAAGTATTTGGTGTTTGGATGTATTTGGTATTTGTCACGCAGGTATGCTGGTAGCGACTTTTTGCTGATGCCCTCAAGGCGCTGCAGAAATTGACACGGCGAATTTGTGAGGTTTTGCCATCAAGCTCTATCAATTCAAAAACAAGTCCTTTGCAGCTCTATTTTATAACCTTTGCATGTGTTATTCATGTTATTTCGTGTTATTTCATGTTGTATCATCTTGTTCCATATCCATAATTACTGTCGTCCTTCGACAAATTGAAGTGACCACTGCTCTGCAAAATTTCAGTCCTCATAGATCCATGTCATAGTCGTAGTATATGTGTGAGTGTGTAAATGTCACATGGTTTTGGACACCAGTCACCATAACTATTCCACGCGTCTGGAGATGGCTCAGATCTCCAATTTTGTCAGTTTGCCAGGTACGAGCCTTGCGGTTTGCCTCAGGTGGGGACAACGTTTGAATATGTTGAATATTGTTGAATAATTGGCTCGCTCAAATTTTGTCACCCAGAGTCCCTCAAAATCCCTCAAAGACAGAGACTCATTTTGTCTGCAGATTTTCAAAGGACAAAGTGTCCGAATCTGCAGAGACACTCGATCTCGAGGGAGCTTCCTTCCGGATCCTTCCGGCGCCTTGCATTTGTTCGATTTTGTTCGTGTGTCTCTCTGTTACAGATGTGTGCGCAGCGCTACGGCACCATACCTATCGTCACCCTCTGCGGTGGCCTGAAGGACAGCCCCAAAGCTCGTTTTTTTTTTGCGACATTTTGAGATGCTTTCATCATCTTTCAGCAAGATTCAGCAAGTACATAGCATCAAGACAGTCTTGCCATGTCTTGCCACTCTCTGCAGGACTCAGTAGTGGTTGAGCCGCCTGAAGAATCGACAGGGTCTTACCGTCGCAGATTTGCACTTGATAGTGTTGCAAGTGCAGGAAAGACATGCTTGGCAACATCTATGGCAACACTATTTTGGATGTCAGCTGCTGACATGCTTGTCTTGGCCAGGTTTGGCATTTTGCCGCTGGAGTTTGGCAAGTTCAAAGAGGTTGTGTACAGAGCTTGTGACACGTGCCCCACCGCTTCTAAGTGGATTGCTTAGGCATCGCACCAGATGTCGCTAGATGTCACCAGTCCTTCTATACTCCTCTATATTTCCTGTTTTCGAACCAACATGACACAAGATGGCACAAGCATGCCGTGACATAAGCACGAACAAACTGAATGGGTCAGTGCATGCCCGATGTCGGAAATCCACTAGACACGTCATGTAAGCATGCAATGTTTGTTTTACATTGAAGGATACTAAAACAGACTAACACAATAAAACAATAAAACAATAATATGTATATATATATATACACATGGTACTTCCATATGATTCGCATGGATAATAACTATATATGTGATATATAATGTCATCATCTCATAGGTGAGGTATATGTGCATGATTGTTCAAGCACATGTTCTGGCGCATTGTTCCAGTTCCAGTTGTCAAGTCAGTATAGTGGAAATGATCAGGGCATGCAAGCAAATGCCCGGACTTGGCAGGTATTTCCATTATCCTGATATTTTTGAAGCAATGCAAAGCCTGCATCTTGGGACATGCTGGCTTCTGTGGTGGCTTTCATGTTTGCAAACATTTGCAAACGCCTGCAAGTCTCCCAAAAATCTTAGATACTTGATATGGCTGCTAGCCGCTGGCTGCTGCACGAATCAGTGATTGGACGGGTTGAAGCAATGCGCTGAATACAGTTTGTAAACTGTTTGTAAAATATTTGTAAAATGTTTGTAAACTGTTTGTAAAATGTTTGTAACATGTTTGTAAACTGTTTGTAAAATGTTTGTAAAATGTTTGTAAACTGTTTGTAAAATATTTGTAAAGTGTTTGTAAACTGTTTGTAAAATGTTTGTAAAATGTTTGTAAACTGTTTGTAAAATGTTTGTAAAGTGTTTGTAAAATGTGTGTAAAGTGTTTGTAAACTGTCTGTAACATGTTTGTAAAATGTTTGTAAAGTGTTTGTAAAATGTTTGTAAAATGTTTATGAAATGTTTGTAAAATGTTTGTAAAGTGTTTGTAAAATGTTTGCAAACTGTTTGTAAACTGTTTGTAAAATGTTTGTAAACTGTTTGTAAACTGTTTGTAAACTGTTTGTAAAATATTTGTAAAATGTTTGTAAACTGTTTGTAAAATGTTTGTAACATGTTTGTAAACTGTTTGTAAAATGTTTGTAAAATGTTTGTAAACTGTTTGTAAAATATTTGTAAAGTGTTTGTAAACTGTTTGTAAAATGTTTGTAAAATGTTTGTAAACTGTTTGTAAAATGTTTGTAAAGTGTTTGTAAAATGTGTGTAAAGTGTTTGTAAACTGTCTGTAACATGTTTGTAAAATGTTTGTAAAGTGTTTGTAAAATGTTTGTAAAATGTTTATGAAATGTTTGTAAAATGTTTGTAAAGTGTTTGTAAAATGTTTGCAAACTGTTTGTAAACTGTTTGTAAAATGTTTGTAAACTGTTTGTAAACTGTTTGTAAACTGTTTGTAAAATGTTTGTAAACTGTTTGTAAACTGTTTGTAAACTGTTTGTAAACTGTTTGTAAACTGTTTGTAAACTGTTTGTAAAATGTTTGTAAACTGTTTGTAAAATGTTTGTAAACTGTTTGAAAACTGTTTGTAAAATGTTTGTAAACTGTTTGTAAACTGTTTGTAAAATGTTTGTAAAATGTTTGTAAGATGTTTGTAAAATGTTTGTAAAATGTTTGTAAAATGTTTGTAAAATGTTTGTAAAATGTTTGTAAACTGTTTGTAAAATGTTTGTAAAATGTTTGTAAACTGTTTGTAAAATGTTTGTAAAATGTTTGTAAACTGTTTGTAAAATGTTTGTAAACTGTTTGTAAACTGTTTGTAAAATGTTTGTAAAATGTTTGTAAACTGTTTGTAAAGTGTTTGTAAACTGTTTGTAAACTGTTTGTAAACTGTTTGTAATACTTGTTTTTTGGGGCAAAACTTCCCTACCTGACCTTGCTAGACTGCTAGACGTTCTTTGTTGCGTCCCGCCTCCGTAGGCCGTGGGTTTGTCACTGACTTCTCTTGGTGTGTTCGAATCGACCAGTGCGCCAAACCTTCTTTGAGGATCTTGATCTATGCGAAGGGGCCAGGGTCTGCAAAGAATATCAAAGAATTATATTTAATGTTTGTTAATTGGTTGGTGGATGTGACAGGCTAGGGTTCATTGTGGGTGTACAGATTCCATTCCCTCCCCAGAAAGCGTGCCAACTGCTGGAAGAAAATTGGCCACAACCCACAGCTGCAACTGAAGGTACGAGAAGAATATCGATTGGACACTGAACGATCCGCCCTACGTGCGTTGAGTGTCTCTCAGTGCCGAAAAAGTTTCACGCGTTATGTAGAGCAGCATAGAGTCTGGTTTGCCGCACTTTCTCATAGCCCAAGCTTTACAGTACATGTTGAAAATGCAGCAAGCCAGAACGTGAGAAGACACTGCCAACGGCCTCAACTGGCCAACGCAGTTAGGATTGGGCCCGTGGCCAAAATGCGGAGCGTCACCTGTTGAACCTGTTGTGAAGAATTTGTGAAGAGCATCACGGCTTTTGACTATTGAAGTTCTGGATGTTTGCGTGACGATACACGACGAACACAAGACGAATCATGATGACAAGGCACTTCTCCCTTCCGTCCGCACAGAACGGGAACAACTTAGAAATAACCATGTTTTGCTTTATGCTATGCCGCAAATGGATGTGAATGATTGTACATCAAGTTTTGCGGAAGTCGGTACATACGGCATCCATTGGGGCAACCTATTGCATTTCGTGCGCTGACAGTCTTCGCATGCCTTCGCAAGACGTTGTCCGTCACAGTGTTGCGGGTTTCCTTCGAGAATCCTGCAACCAGCGCACAGGGACCAACTTCTAGTACCAACATCATGTGTTTCAATACTTTTTATGCATTAAATTCGACAAAATCCCACCCCCTGCATCGTCAACCCGTCATTTTGTTTTATTTTCGCTGGAGTACCTACAGCCCTTCTGACGTCTGCGACATTCCCGGATTCGCTCCCGAGGGTCAGGGTCAGAATCTGTTGGCATCAACTGCTATCGTTTTTTCCTGCCATGGTCAAAGTACACCAATTAAACGACCCGCTTCGGTAAAGCTGCAACTTGTGGCAGAAAGGACTTTGGCAGTACTTTCGTCAATCGCCCCTATCTGGCCCTATCTGGCCCTGTCTGCACGTCAGGATCTGTGGGATCTAACGAATGTTGGCCATCCAAACGCCCTTTTGAAATGCCACCTCTCTATTGCGAATCACTGCGAAACATTTCTCGCGAAAGCATTGAAATGCACCTGTAAGATGCGCAGTGCACCATTCTGTACCCATTAAGTTTGGATATGTTGGATGCGTACTGTAGCTCTGTTCTCAGCAGACACACCAACGCTCTCCTTTTGTTTGTTGTAGTTGCGATGCTCCTGATAGGCGCACATGTAAAATGCTCCAGCAACGATCGTAATGAAATGTAATGAGTTGATAGCAAGCCTTGGTGAGATTCCAATATCATTTGGGCATTTTTCATCATTTTTCTGGTTTGTCATGAGCAGAGAAGGTTTAGGTGTTTCGGTGACATGATGCCGTGCATGTGTCCGAAACCGCAACGGTGCAGATCACATGAATGCAAGAAGAAATGTTCTGGGGACAGATCACTACAGTACAGTAACCATACCGTACCTATTCAACATGAGAATGTTTGTAACTATAAATGCTGATGACTGATGCTCATGTTTGTTTGCTTCGAATCTTCTTAAGTGTTTGTTTGCAAAAGGTATCTGTGATTGTTAGTTCCCCAGTGGGCTGTCCATGGCTGCCCACATACACACACCCACACCCACACGGATCAATAAGAAGTTTTGCTATATATATTCTTGACACATCTTGAAACCATGTTGCTCTTCAGGTTGCACGCTTTCCAACGTAGTTTCCACGTGGCCTAAATTCATGCGCCCATGTTTTGTACAGCAACCTCAGCTGTCCGCAGCTATTGGCGAAAGTCTATGGATTGAACAACGCGCAATTTGTTGGCTTATTGAAAATGCCACCAACACTTGAAACAACTCGTCCAGCGGTCAACCCAATTGGATCGCCCCCACGCTTTGATTTCAGTCCGCGAAGTGCCGCACTTCAACTGTCCAAGGGTCTTCTGACCACCCAGGGTCTTGGATTCCCGATGTTTCCTTTGTGAACGGGCGTCAGCAGCATGTGAGTCACATCGTTGGGCACGAAGCGAACGTAAAGACTGCGAAGGCTGGATCGAATCGACATACATCTTGGTGACGGGAACCGCCAACCATACCCGCCTGCACCGGCCAATCTTCAACGGTTGAAACAAAATGCATCACCAGAATTTGTAATCATGTGCCTGATGTTCTGTTGATATACATACATGTGTATATATATATATGGATTCATGAGTACGTTTTTTTTTTTTAAAGCTTTTTGCCTACGAAGCGCGCGGGTAGCAAACGCGCGGTGCGCAATGGGGTGCGCAAGTGGAATGCGCATGTGCGCCGCGCAGGATTTGAAAAGTGAACGTGCCAACGCGCGGGTGAACGCGCAAATGCATGCAAATTCGCAAGTGGGGTGAGGGAGTGAACGCGCAAGTGCGCGAGCAGAGTGCGCGGATCAACGTATAACAGCGCCCTTTCACTTTTCCGTTTTTAAGGTCATACAATTTGCCAAATATATATTACTTGCGGATACTAAGATATGTATTGGCTGGACATTGGTTTTCAGAAAATGCAAAAAACTGAGGTTAGCGATGGGACCTTTCCAAATAGCGATACCCCAGTTTGAATTCAAAAGTTAATAAGAAATAATAATTAATATTAATGAATGATATTCATGATATATCATGAGTGTTGATTTCGTCAAGTGCTCACATCGATGATAGACTTGGGCTCATGTTTGAAAGAAAAGGAAAGGACGAGGAAGGGAAAAGGACAGGGAAAGGAAAGGAAAATGAAAGAGAAAAAACAGGAAAAGGACAGGGAAATCAAAGCGGAAAAAAACGGAAACGGAAACAAAAAGAAAACGACAGATAAAGGAAAAGGAAAGATAAAGAAAAGGAAAAAAAGAAAAGGGAAAGGAAAGGGAATGGAAAAGGAAAGCGACAATTTTACAAGCAAATGATAATGCACCCGCCTGATTCTGCAAAAAAAATGCGTCGATTTTAGCGATACCATAGCGATGCCTTACCGATACCCAAGTTCTCCCAAGTGCACAGGATCCCCAACTCCGTGTACTTGTACTTCTACTTTTACTGATACATCTTCTATTGTACTTCTGCTTCTGCTACTTCTGCTACTTCTCATACTTCTACTACTTCTACTTCAACCACTACTACAACCACAACTACCACCACTACTACTAATTGCTGCTACTGCTACTGCTACTGCCACTACCACTACCGCTACCGCTACGAATACGATTACGACTACGACTACGACTAATACTACGACTACGACTAATACTACAACAACAGCAACAACAACAACAACAACAACAACTACTACTACTACTATTACTATTACTATTACTACTACTACTACTGCTACTACTACTACTACTGCTGCTACTACTACTACTACTATTCTTACTACTACTACTGCTGCTGCTGCTACTACTACTACTGCTTTTACTCTTACTTCTACTTCTACTACTACTTCTACTTCTAATACTACAACAACAACATTACTACTACTACTACTACTACTGCTACTTGCTACTTGCTACTTGCTACTTGCTACTTGCTACTTGCTACTTACTACTTACTACTTACTACTTACTACTTACTACTTACTACTTACTACTTACTACTTACTACTTACTACTTACTACTTACTACTTACTACTTACTACTTACTACTTACTACTTACTACTTACTACTTACTACTAACTACTTATTACTAACTACTAACTACTACTACTACTACTACTACTCCTACTACTACTACTGCTCTACCAGTACTTTTACCGCTACTATTACCACCACCACCACCACTACTACTACTATTACTACTTCTTCTTCTTCTTCTACTATAACTGCTATTACCACTACTGCTACTGGTTCTACGAATAGAAGTCCTGCTGCTATTGCTGCTGCTACTACGGCTTTTGCTATTGCTACGACCACTTCTACTACTTTACTGCTACTACTTTATACTACCACTACTACCACTACTAGCACTACTTCCGCCACTACCACTACTACTACTACTACTTCTACTTCTACTTCTACTTCTACTGCTACTACTGCCACCACCGCTTCTACCACTGCTGCTACTACTACTACTACTACCACCACCACCACCACGACGACGACGACGACTACTACTACTACTACTACTTCTACTTCTACTTCTACTTCTACTTCTACCGCTACTATTGCCACCACCGCTTCTACCACTGCTGCTACTACTACTACTACCACCACCACCACGACGACGACGACGACGACTACTATTACTTACTACTTACTACTTACTACTTACTACTTACTACTTACTACTTACTACTTACTACTTACTACTTACTACTACTTACTACTACTTACTACTACTTACTACTACTTACTACTACTTACTACTACTACTACTGTGCTACTACTACTGTGCTACTACTACTAGTACTACTATTAGTACTACTATTAGTACTACTACTAGTACTACTACTACTACTACTGCTGCTACTACTACTACTATTGCTACTACTACTAATACTACTACTACTACTACCACCACTACTACTACTTCTACTTCCACTACTTCTACTACTTCTATTACAACTGCTATTACCACTTCTGCTACTAGTACCGCCACCACCACCACGACTACTACTACTATTACTACTACGACGACGACGACGACTACTACTACTACTACTGCTCTACCAGTACTATTACCGCTACTATTACCACCACCACCACCACCACTATTACTACTTCTTCTTCTTCTTTTTCTTCTTCTTCTTCTACTATAACTGCTATTACCACTACTGCTACTGGTTCTACGAATGCAAGTCCTGCTGCTATTGCTGCTGCTACTACGGCTACTGCTATTGCTACGACCACTTCTACTACTATACTGCTACTACTACTATTGCTATTACTTTATACTACCACTACTACCACTACTAGCACTACTTCCGCCACTACCACTACTACCACTACTACTTCTACCGCTACTACTGCCACTACCGCTTCTACCACTGCTGCTACTACCACCACCACCACCACGACGACGACGACGACGACGACTACTACTACTACTACTATGATGATTAGATTTCCTGCTACTATCACCAGGTCCTAATATTTTAAGTGTTTCCAATGTTTTAGTACTACTTTTACTCTTACTAGTGCTGCTAGCACTTCGAGTATTCCCAATATCTTGGCATAATTAATACTAGTACTGCACACGGCATGACAAGTAGTACAAATACAATATCATATTTATTTCAGTTGCTTTAGCCTTAGCGATG